AAGAACAGCAGAGTGGCAATTTCAAAAACCTTTTTCAGGACCAGCTCTGAAGAAGTTTGAGTGAAACTCGTGTTCAGGAAAACATGTAGTGCTCAATGGGTCTGAATAAATTAATGAAATTCAATGATTTGACCTCCGACACTGTTAACATCGGGTCCACAAAGATATTTTCAACCAAAAAGTTTCAAGTATTCTGAGCTTTGCTTGAACGTGATGGTTATTAATGTAGAGTGTTCTGTTGCGAAGACCAGCAGTTTAGTGAGAATCATAGTAGAAATGAAATGGGTGGAAGAACTCCATCTCTGTAGAATCAAAATGAAATCATTCGTTCCTCTTCTTGTTATATGTTATAACCTGTCATTGAGTTCTCGGCTTCTGTTTTTTTCTCGAATTTCTCGAAAAACACAGTGACGATGAAAACAACACAAAAGCTGTTAATCAAGAAAATAATTTATATGGCTATCAGAGCTGGATCCTAGTATACGTACAGCAGACTAATATAAACGATCAGAATGAAAATGCATTAGTGGCTATTAGAGCAGAACTTTTCCAGGTTTGATTCATTTGGGTTTTGAAAAATAAAACTGGCTACCACAGTTGAACATCGAACGTTGATTCACACTGACTGGGGTTGTAAGATTGTTTGATATGAACACGTTGAAGTAAAATTAAAACCGACGTCATTTTCTATTGGTAGAATAGAGAAATCGTTCTGGAAACTGACGAAGACAAGAAGGAGCTTCCAATCACACTGAGAGAAATTAATAATGTAACCAACAGCGTCTCATTAGTCATAACTTTTTCTTGAACACAACTTTTTCACTATTCATAGGCTGACGTGACGTCAACTTCTTGAGCTTTTCCTTCCCGTCTTGACGAAAGGGCTAGAATCGACAAAGCTTTTCTTCATGGAAAATATGAGGGTCAGTCATCGACCATTATTATTTGTTCTAATTGCATTCAAGCAAGCATGAACTTTCTTTTATTTTCGCAACAGCGTTTCTTCAGTTTTTAAGTCATCAGTTTTTGCACATCTGTAGCTGTCAGATATTCGTAAATGTCTCTCATGGGAAAACCGTAAATATGCTTGAAAGCAATACTGGCTCAAGGCGAGTAAGACCAAGTTGTTTGAAGGCTTTGACATTGGTTCCATAACTCGTAAGAGGTTGCCAATAGAAGTATCGGAATGAGGATTCTTTGTTCTCAGTTTTTCGTCAATCTATTATGATGACTTATTATATGTACTTGTAATCTTTCCAAGTGAGATAAAAAAAGATACAGAGAGAGAGAGAGAGAGAGAGAGTGAGAGAGAGAGAGAGAGAGAGAGAGAATAAAAAAATAGAAAGGAAGAGTATGAAGAGACGAGAATAGAGAGAGATAGTGACGGATGTGAGTGTGACAGGCAGAGGGAGGGAAACAGGAGAAGAATGGTTTCTTTTGACAACTATTTTCCCTCTGTAGTTCAACTTCCTGCTTTTAGAACTTCAATGTTAATGTGCAGCCCCAATTTTCAACTTTGTCAACTCTTTTGACCTTCTTAAGTAGTTCGTATGATATTCGGGAATCATAAGAAACTCAGCCGCATGTTCCGGCATGTTTTCATGAACAGCAGGAAGTAGAATGAAAATAACAATAAATTCAGATTTCATCTCCCTAAAACCATTTCTCATTCATCTATCATCAGTCTCACAGATTTCATTGAAATACAAGCTTTTCCGTTCATCTATTTCATTTTTTTTCTCATCTAAATCAATAATATTTATTTTCTTCATTCTAATTTATTATCCAGAAAATGATATGACAGGAAATTGAGTAAGCTGTTGGCCATTGCTTCATACAACGTAAACGGTTAATGATGCAACCAATCATCCAACAATGCTAATTTCGCGTTTCTTTTTACATCTAAAATTAACTTCATGAATTGGATAAATATCTTAAAAATACTCGTCTTCTCTCATCAGAACATGATGTTAACATTCTCACTTTCTTTGCTTCCTATCAATTCTTTGAACAAAAGAAGGCAACGACGAATCCGACAAAATGTTGGACGAATATTGAACTGCTGTCTGGAAGAAAAAAAAACAGGAAAGCTAAGCTCATTTGAGGACGTTTGTTCAAAATTTATCTTTCACATGTTTCCATCTAAAGCCTTTGTATTTCCTTCTATGATACAATTAGGCCATGAAGCCATTTGATTTGTGACAAATGTTTCGAACAACCTTTCTCTTTTTGGCTCATGTTTGTTGATACTGAAACATGTTGTTGCTTCTTCAGTTCATCTTATCAAATTTAATATAAAAATGAAATCATTTTTATTCAAGTTATACTTGTTTGAATGTAAATATGAAGTACTTTTAAGATATAAAAAGACTTTTTTAACTCAATCAAGCTAAAGTTATGATAATATTTAGATGCCCTGGGGGCATTGGCTTATCTTCCATAACTTCCCTTTTTCCATGTCATAGCTCAAGCATTCTCATTTTTTTCTTTCAAAAGTTATCTGAAAACGAATTGTTTTAGTTATGAATAGGAGCTTCTCTGAACTTTTTTCTCTTTTTTTCGAAAATTAAAAGAGAAGTTGTCCTTCAACAACGAATGCAAAGAATGCAACCGCTGAGTAACGCTGAACGCATTAAAATGAGTGAATGGAGCTAAGGTCAAGTGTTTACGTGAAAGTGACGTGAGATATGCTAATTTTTCAGTTTCTTCAATAATTTGAAGGAAAGAAGCAAAAAAAAAGAAAATTGGCTTCAAATGACGAAAGGTCAAATGTATTTTGTTGAAATGGAGAGATGTCAATGCTTAATCTTCTATGTAATTACATGTATGTTGTACGTCTTAGTAATAGAAAGGAAAGCTTAGTTGTCTTGGAGCTTATTAATGTCCAGAGAACTTTGTAGATTTCCGGACAGCTTTTTTCATATTTCATTCAATGTTTCAGTAACGTTCCTCCGTCTCTCAGCTCGATCTTTGAGCACATATTAAGTCATTTAAAGATTGAAAAAAATAGAAATATTTGGAGCAAAAAACATTAACTTTAGCATTTATAATTCATATTTTCACACCTTCTCCAAGCCTATTTTCGTTTGAAGCACGTGTGAAGCTCACTTTCTCTCTCAATATCTCCCCCTCTCCCTCTCTCTCAACTGGATGAAGGAATGCCAAAGACAATGACTGATAAGCACAGAGAATTTTCGTTATTTCGTTATTTTGTTTTCTTTTTCTCTTTTTTTCATATATAATTCATCGTTTCATGGATATTGATGAGCTTAATTGCCAAAAACAATGATTCCTTCGCAACATTACATCATTTTGTATATTTCTTCCTATAAAAAAATATATAGAGTGATAGAGAGAGAGAAGAAGAAGAGAGAACGAGAGAGAGAGAGAGAGAGAGAAAGAGAGAAGGAGTAGAAGATGAAGAAAGATAGAAGAAGGAAGATGAGACAGAAACATTAAAGAGAGAGTAAGACAGAGAGAAAGAAAGAGAGAGAGAGAGAGAGAGAGAGAGAAAGAGAGGGGATATGCAGAAGTTCTTTTGTTATATTCTCAAGGGAAAGAGAGCTTCCTGTGCAAGACAATCTTACTCAATTTCGAACTTATTTTATATACAATGAAAAACATTATTATCTGATTAGAAGAGAAATAATTCAAACAACATCCTTTTATGGACATTTTAATTAAATTTACTTTTGAAAGTTTCTATTTGCAAGGTGATTGAAGATGAAAAATACATGGAAAAGCTTTGATTGCTAGAACTATCAGTAAGTGCCATCAACAGCCATGCTTCTACGAATCATTGAAAATTCTGAACATTTCATGATATGGAATGACGGGACAAAAAGGAAAAGAAACATATTCAAACTTTCATCTTCCTCCTCTCTTCTGTTCGCCTTTTTTTTCATAAATTTTTCATTTCTGCTTTCCTTTTTTGTTATCAACAAGTGAACTATGATTACTGCAAGCAAGATTATCATTAAAAGAAAAAAAAAGAAAATTTTGTTTATTTCCAAGACAATGAGAGCTAATTTGCATTTTTATTCTTCTTCTCCTTTCTTCCAACGTTTCTTCGATTTCATGTCCATAATTGGATTTCTTTTCGTTATCGTCTAAACCCATATCTGATCTCTCTCTCTCTCTCTCTCTCTCTCTCTCTCTCTCTCTCTCTCTCTCTCAACAAACATCTTCTGAGATCTTTATGATACTCTCTTCTTATTTTTTTCTCTCGGGTTAATTTTAGATTTTTTTCCGTTTTTATTTAAACATTCGCTGTCATGTCAGAAATGGACCTCAAGTGTTTACAACAGTTTCAAGTCAGAAATTTGTTTTGTTTTCTAGATGGAGCTTCCACATCATAAATCGTTTGAACAATGTCTTTCTCATGATGCTTTATCTTTTTTTCTTTTTTTTATATTCGTTCGGAGAAAACTCTCAATTTTTTCAGTCTGAACAGATGTTTTAACGGCAATGTTATTAATTCTCCAAATTTTGGAGATATGGCCCATAGTATTCAGGTATTTTAGAAAATTCATGGCAGCTTTGGATGGATTTTCTTGGTTTAGCTCAGCTTATTCCCTTCGAAAACAACCGTCCCAGGCACATTCACAATCCGTAACAGAGCCGTGTCTGTTCCCAAAGCCATTTACGAAAAAACTGGACATTTTCTGTCAATATGATTACCATAAGGTATATCATCGTTCAGTTACTTATCAAATGATAATTCGATCAAACAGATTCCTTATATGTGTGATCCAACGGGTGCTTTATCTAGAACTGAAGTAGAAATGCTTGATGACACCGTTAAATCTCTGAATCTGACATCATGTTTCTGTGCTTCAACATGTGATCCTTTATCTTCATCATACCAATTAGGGATTGTTGTAATTCCAAACGTGACCTTACATGAGTAAGTGCTTCTGAAGAAAAAAAAGTAAAGCTTCAAGTCAACTTTGTTTTCAGCTTAGAATTTTGTGACAAAACAGTCGATTCAATTATTTCACCTTCGTTACCTATTTCGGCATATCAGTATGGAGTTCTGCTTAATCAGTATTGGTCAGATCAATGCAATGTTGATCTGATGCTATTATATATCCGAATATGGGTATCTAATAAAGTTATTCGTCCGTTCATTGTTCCAATTTATGCGTAAGTTTCATAGTATTCACTGAGACTCAGACAAGCTTCCAGGATGAAAAGCATTGTTTTTAGCTTGTTTTGCTTTTGATTCAATTCCTTCTTCTAAAAAAATGAAATTGTTTGGAAGAAATGACAAGAAAGAAATTCAATTAATTCAATTTTTTCCATTTTTTTAAAACTTTCATTGATGCTCCTCTTCGTTTCTTGATATATAGATGGATTTCAGCAATTCGTTACAACGTCTTCAACGATTCAGTCGTCCCATCGTCACCAGTAATCGTGAGCCTGTTCTATCGGTTCTACAACGAGCTCTGAAGCATAATAAGAAAATAATTGAATCTGAGCATAGAGAAGTATCGGATGAAGAATTTTAAAAAAATAGTTTCCGTTTATTGAAGACCAACTCAACCGTACCAAATTGGGCTAAATGGACTACATTTGGCATGGTGTCATTTGTGTGTTTGGCTTTTTACATAGCCAATTGTGTGACGAATAAGATGGGTAAAACTCAACAGGTATATACATACTTTATAAACTTTCTTCACTTCAATGCTCATTCAGAAATCAAAGACTTCTGTTGCTTCAACTAGAAAATCGTCTGATCGCTTCCGAGCAGGTTTTGGAGGAGGGATGATTATGAACCAGACGCAGCAGAAGAAGAGTGTTATGATGTTTAGAACTTTTTCAAAGACTCCTAGAAACAATATAAATCGATTATGAATAAAAAATTTATTAAAAATATGTTTAAACAGTACAAAAGAGTTGTGATGCAGCTTCTACGGTAGATGATTCATTGCACTGTTAGTCAGTGATTTGATTGAACTTCTCTTAAATCACCACTTTCACTTTTCAATATCATTTGAAACTTTTTTTCTTTGCAGGCGTTCAAGGTTTGAGTTGTAAATTCCTATTGATATCATCAGAAATTAGTCTAGTTGATTAATTGTAATTTCTCTGCATCTGAGCTTCTGTTTTGTCTTTAAATCACTTCTCTACTATCATTCAAGACGTCGGAACATATTGGAACAAAGCTTCTCAGGTCAATTAATGTTTAATTTGCCTAAAGCTTCTGAACATTCAATGTTATTGTCATTTTTACCACTCTGGTATGTAAAAGTTTAAAAGGAAACAGAGTGTGGGTGGATGATTAGAATGAGAGGGAATGAGAGTGATTGAGAGATAAAGAACAATAGGAGGAAAGTTGAAAGTTTTCTACTAGCAACTTGTACCTTATGATCATAAAGGCTAATTTATCAGGTCAATTGAGAAATAGTTCTATGAGGGATACATCAAATGAGAGAGAATAAAAGAACTTAGTTCAGATATCTTTTTTCATCTTTAGCATCTGGATGAGCAACAGACTGAAATCGTAAATCTTCTTATCTTCAATACCCGCAACGAACTAATCACAAATGTAACTGAGGTGTCTTTCAAAGCTCAAAAGACTCTCATACTTGTTTATTTATCCTTTTTCTCAGTGATTCCTTTTGTTGTTCACATTAGAACCAATCAAAATTGTGATGAAAAAGTGTTTGGTCTTATCATTGTTATCCTATTTAACGGAGAAGACAAGATTGGTTCAGTTCCATTTCTAACCTTCTCTTATCAACTTTGCCGCGAGAAAAAACATTTTTTCTATTTTTTTTCTACCGCTACGTATAGTTCCTTCCTTCCGTGATATCTCATCGAATTATCAAATAAATTTCGATTCTCCATCATTACCTTTGTAGGATAATCGGCTATGTTACCGCTTCTACTGATCGCTCTCTCATTATCTTTAGTTCAAGCGGATAAGCTTATACTATCACAAATTGTGAGTTTCATCAACATTCTGTTTATTTTTAAATATTTTGAGTTATAATATTATTCTCTTTCTAGGTTTTTCGCCATGGTGCTCGTGGATCTATGGAGAGACCGACTACAAAGGAAGCCGAAGAACATTTTTTCAGAGGAACTGGACAGCTTACTGATGTACGATTGCCTAACTAATAACATTAAGTTTCTTTTTTAAGGAAGGAATAGAACAAGCTTATAATTTGGGTAAAGAACTTCGCTTAAGAACGCAAGATCTTATTGATATGAGAATGATTCCGAATCAAGTTTGTAATAGTTTTAAAAAATATCTTAACTTTCTATTTTCAGTTCGAATTCGAAAGTAGTCCATCGGATAGGTGTATTCAAACAGCTCAAGCAGTAGGAATGGGCCTATTCAACAATACGAAGTCTGGACTGTCTCGAGTTGTTCCAGTTCATTCAATACCCGTGAAAGACAATTGGGTTTGAATCTTTCTATTTTCATATTAAAAAATTTGTTTTCAAGTTCTTATTTCCTAACTTCTGTGATTCCATGACCCGTGAATTAGGAGAAGAATTGGGAATGGCTGGAGAATATAATTATGTAACAGCTCTTAGTTTTCTTCACAAAGTTCACTACATGCTTTCCAGTATCAAGTGCTGAAATATAAGTTCGAGAAGTTGTGCAAAGTTTCCAGATACTGGGAAGACCCTTCTCATTGCCGGAAAATTGAAGCATATACGTTCGAGAATGATGCAAAGCTTGCTGTTCCCGATTGGTTAGATGAAGACGCTCAAAACGAAGGAAAAAAATTGAGAAGCGAGGTTCCCTTCTTAGGTTTAATACATGTCAAACAAGTGCTTTCAGGCTTTACATTATATTTCTGGATCAGGGAAATATAAAAATTCTATGTATATCCAACAAAGAATCGGTCTATTACTGGATAAAATTTTAAATAGGATTAATGATACAGCGGAGGCTTACGCATCGGGGAACAATTACAAAAAGCTGTACGCTTATTCAACTGTTAGTCTACCATCTACCATTCGAACCAGCTGTAAACATACTGTTTAAGCATGATATCATGATTATGCCCTTGGCTGATGCTATTGGACTGAATATTTTCTACGATGAGCTGCCAACATTTGTCGGAGCTTTATTAATTGAGCTTTGGGAAATTGACGAAGAGTTCAAAGTTAAGGTATTGACCGTCCAAAGTTAATGAATCTAAAACTTCTTTTTGAAGTTTTTCTACCGAAGAGATTCTGGTTCGTTCCTTCCCATAACACGAAATGTAGGAATCTGTGGCAATCAAGAGATTTGTAACATCTCTGATGTGGTTGATTGTTGCAGTGATTATCGTCATCCGGAGCCTTGGAAATTATGCGGGGTAGGAGTTAATGAGAAGACATTAGATTGAATGAACGTTCCATTTATAGACAAGTGGGTTCGATAGTTCGTCTAGAGGTATATCAGGTAATGATTTTTGAGTTATAGCAGCATGGAGAAATGATTGATTATAGTGATATTGGCTCTGTGTATTGCAGTAATAGGATGCCTCTATTAGCGAATTTGTTAGAAGAAGGTTGATGTGGAGGAAAGATGATGATGATATGCTTTTGATAGATAAGAGGATATTATTGAGACAAACATATATTATTTGTTAATATTTATGTTCCTTATACAGTATAGAATATGAAATTTCTAAATAGTTAGCCATGAAGTCGAGAGATTGTCGACTTTGGCTTCTCTTTATGACTATTGAAGGAAAAAAATAAATTTTTGATTCCTGTGCGGGATCTTTTGACATCATAAAGAAATAAGCTGATAGATGAATGAACAAAGTATCCTAAACCAAATACCACCAATGACATTTCAACAAAGACTGAAATAATAATCAGATTTGTTACATTTTTGATATACTGTACTTACTTGACTTCACATGAGTGAAGATGCTTGCATACAATGCTATAGGAGTTGATACAAACACTCCTAGAGTAAGCCCACCCTGTTTGATACAAAATAATCTCAAAACATAGATTTCTCTGACATACCTGTATTACTAAGGTCTTGAACATTCGTCTGTGGTGGTTGATTGTTACTGCAGAAATAATCAACTGTTTCTTGCGAATTTCTGATAGTATGGAGCGGAACAAAGCAAAAAGCATCTGAAAAAGATGTTTTTCATAGATCACATTAGCTTCTTTGATGGTTAGAGCTACAGAGTGGAGAAATAAAGCTTTACCAGAGATGCACCTCCAAGCGCCATACCATAGTAAACGACGTAAATCATACATTTGACACTGAATATTGGAAGGTAAGTGAAAGCAGCTTTGGTGAAGAACTCTATTTGAGCGTTTGTAAACTAAAAAAATAACAGTTATAAGCTGAAATTGATTCAATCACTAACATTCAGATGATGAAGCTTCAAATCATAATCTTTATGAAATGCTCGATAGAAGATGATGGGTGGAAGGACGGAGTAAAAAAACATAATTCCTATATAATATCCATAAAAGAATGTATCATTCTATGAGAGAGATAATTTGAAAATATTAAAAGTTATATTGATATACTTGAATAAAATGATTCTGATCAGCAATCATGCGTAAACGATAACAGAACGAAAGAATCAGATATCCTCCAAAGGTTCCAAAGAAGAAACAACATATGCTGTAGAATTCTCCGCTACTTATTCCAAGAAAATATAGATAACCTTCGGAATAAAGAAAGTTCTCTCGAAGTTCTGGTAAAAGTTTGCCAATGAATGACCAACAGAAGCATAGCACGAACAGCAACGACTTAAAAGAAACATATGAAAGGGTTGGAGGAGAAGCTTGCGTTTACGTGTTGAAAATATACGGTTATTTTATATTCGCGTGATTCCTTTATAGGAGGCCTCAGATAGAACATTATAGAGCTAATGAAGAGCATTATGGTTGTTAAACAACCCACAATGTTGTGAGCCATCACAAAGACAGAATGGTTAGGCACAATTCTAAGTAACAGGTATTCGTTCATCTTGAATCGTTTAGATATAGAATAGTATATCGGGTCTACTTGTTAATAAAGAGGTTTTACTGAATAAAATGAGAAACATACTTCTATGATATTCTACGTGATCGCAGAAAATGTTCAGCTGTTCATAATTAAAGAGAACTTCGAATGGTTTACTCTTCAGCAACGTCAAGTATTCTTCAGCATTTCTAACCAGGAAGCAAGAACTCAACCTCACGAGAAACTCTTTTTTGCCAGAAATGATTTGATGAAAAACATACTACCACCTACCTAAGCAATTAGCTTTTGATTCTGAATTGATTCGTCTGCAGGCTATTTTGGACCACTTTCACCTCTAATTATTATATTTATCGTCTCCGTTTACTTTGAAAATATTCATTTTCAGAAGAAAAAACCTCAAAAATCTTAACATGTTTAGATGCTCACTTTATCCCATTCGAGCTGCTTCTCTCCAATTTGATCTCGTTAGTTGGTGAAAATGGTATCCGTCCAAGAGTTTGATCAGAAAGAACGAGTAAACTCAAAAGTTTTCAAAAATTCTCCCTTCTTATTTTTCAAAAAGCACCACCACCTGCGTCATGTCGATAGAAGATAAATGAAAATTTCGTGAAAAATTCATTTATGATTGCTACATATAATTAGCGGTGAACAATAAAAACATAATTTGTTTCAGTGTTCTGAAAGAATCAAACCTTCTCTCTGGTTCAGACTGAATGCCTGTGTCTGCAAGCTGATATTCGAGCAGAAACAGATAGTGCTACCGAAAATGAAACTGACTACGAACTTCGAACTTGAAAGGATTATCTGTTATAAAGCTTTCATAAGCTGTTGAGTATGAATAGAGAATTAAAAAAAGATTTGGTCAGAAGGATTTCTCAAAAAAATGAGAAAAAATGGTCAGCGACCTTCTCTGCAAGACATTTCTGAACTCCGTTTACACATTCTTTCATGATTTAATGAAAGAAATTTTGTTTTTTTGATGACTGACATTGTTTGAAAGGAAAATTCCGGCTCCAAATAGAAAAGAAATCGAGCAGTTCAGACAGACATCGGATTTAGGATTGGATATCTGGTTTGTTCTTCCATCATTCCAGACTGTTTCATTGTTTGTTGCCCTGACCTTTGACAGCTTTGTCAAAGAGCTCAAAAACATTCGGAGCTGTGGTATAAAAGAAAATTTGGAACTCATTTTTCCAAACAAAATTTGCTTCAACATATTTCAATAATGAAGTTCACAACCTTTTCCCTTTACACCTTGGCAATTTTAGCCTCTCTTTTCCAGTCTTATGAGGTAATACATTTCCGAACACTTCATTTCTCATTATGCTCGAATTAAGTCAACAGCTGTCTCTCGTGTGAAGCGCTTCTGTGGACAAGGAGGCTGTAATTCGCCTCCTCTCTGTGCTCAATGTCCTATGTGCTGCAACTCTGGACCAGGGCCACTTCCTCCTCCACCACCACCACCAGTGATGGAATCATGTTGCAACGCTCCACGTCCAAATCCAGGCTGTTGTCAGGTAAGATAGCTCTCCATACTTGGTTTTGGGCACAGATAACCCTTGCAGACCACTCTGGTCCCCGTTCCCATGATTGTGCCGCCTTTTAGAGAGTTTGTAATGATCAACGGAACGAAGGCAAATTTTTTTGCATGATTATCCCCCAAATCCTGATTGATAACTGAAAAATATATTCTATTATCCTATAACAAACGCGGCATTTTATAGTTGGCTGTTTCCCCTACCGTATCATGCTGCAAAGCTGCTCCAGCTCCTGCTAACCCATGTTGCCAAGCTCTGATTCAACCTCCTCCTCCCCCACCACCATCTTCCTGCTGTGCTGCTGCTCCAGTTCCAGCTAACCCATGCTGTCAGGTAGGAACACCTCCATGGTATAATTATTTTCATATTTTCAAGGGTGAATTACCTCCCCCACCTCCTCCACCATGCATGTGCCAAGCACCTCGTCCAATCCCATGTAGATGTTCCGCACCTATAATGGAATGTCCAAACTGCGCTCCACCACCTCCACGGTAAGAAGAGCATCTTATTGAAACTGAAAAAAATTTTCTAGCTGTTCTCCTATGGTCTTGAGCTGCAGATTATCTTTCCGAATGAGACGTGATGTTCATCAATCAATTCTATCCCAATTGAGTCAGATGGGCCTCTGAAGAAAAAAAAACATTATCACAGATTAATTTATTAAAGATATTTATTATGAACGGGAAAATAAAACTTTTTATTTTTAAAATTATCTGTAATATTCAAATGTTGCCTGCTTCTATCCGTTTCTTCTCATGTCCATATTTGGTTGCAAATGGGATATTTACTCAAGATGAACGAATGTCAAAACGTCATACGTGAGCGAATTTTAGCCTCAAGCTCTTTTAGTCCCAAACGATTCAATCTTACTGATGCTGCTTCTTATATATTTTCTGTCCTTTCCCTGTTTAATAGCATCGTTCAATCAAGAACAAGTAAGTTTCATATTCATTTTTCTTCTTTTTTTTTCAATATTCTCCTTCCCAGGAAGATAATCTCCTCAAAATTGCAAAGAAATATGCGGCTTGGTCGATGGGGAATGAGCCTAACGAAGTTGTAAGTGTTCATTACTTACAAAGAGTCAGAATCTCATTTCTTCGTAGGTTTTCAAGACGGAGCCAGTTCCAGGAACTATTAGCATGGAAGAATACAATCAGTTAAGATGGAATAATATCAAACCAATCCTTCGAACCTCACTTTCCCAATCTGATCCAAACGGTAAGCTATTTTTCATTTGTTCTGGATGTATTTTCTTATTCAACAGTCTCACCTGTGCGAAAATTTCGACATTATGTACGTATTGAACCTAATCCAGGTCCTCTACCTGTGTTGCAACCAGTTTATACTAAGCAGGGAGCTAACCAAACGTTCATTATTCCGCATCTTATGCCGAAACCTTCCAATGGTGTACATTTAAGTGAAAAGATGACTTTACTTGACCCATACCCCCGAATGCAATCGTCATCATCAAATAGTCCTCAAATTGTAAACAATGGCGTCATTCATGGCACTGAACGGACTTTTCCGTCAGAACGTCAGTCATCTAATAACCGAATAATAATAAGCGATGAGATGATAGAGGAAGGTAAGAAGACAGCGGATATTAGCCGAATCGTTCAAAAAAAGCAACGCTTTGGAATGAGGAGGGTAAATATGTTCCCTGATTATGAGGTTTGAAGATATTTTTCTCTCCCTCTATCTTGCATTTAATTCAGGATTCCTGTCAAACGGGATGGTGCGGAGCACATTGCTGTCCAAACCCTCCTGTTCATGCTACAACCTTACCAGGTAGCGTTCTATGAAAACTGTATGAATACGTCTTTTAAGGATCACCGACTCCGTCACAACCTTTTGTGGTAGTTATACATCCAAATCCAGCTTCGCAATGTGCTCCATCTTGTCAACCTCAATGTCTTCCTCAATGTACATCTCATGTGCAATTTGCACCTTTTCCTATGCCGGAAATAACTCCCAATCGTCCGTTCTGTCGATCTGACTGGTAACGGATTTCGGTAACCTATGTTATCTTTGCATACCCACCCTTTCAGTATGCCGTCTTGCCATGTAGATTGTTTGATTATGCCTCCAGCGACAATACGATGTAGCGTGATGCCTTGTAGATGTTCAGGGGCTTATGTTCAATGCTCTCCCTTTACTTGTTGTATACGATACCCGGTTTATACACCCATGCAAAAGCAATTTAATTATTATTTAACAGAACATGCTCAAAAAGCACCGATCTCAACTGGACAAGAGCAACTCGAAGGAGTTTGAAGACAAGGAGATATCAATTGATTCTCCATTGAATTCAGGTAACTTTTTCGTAATACAGAGCTGTATTCTAGCTCACCGTCTAGAAATTATTTCAGTGGGGCCTATGAACTCTCCCGAACGATCCAGATCTTTCCGAAAAAGTCGTGGAAAAGCGAACTTGCGGAGAAAGTTAGCTATAATCACATCAGAATCAAAGCGCGGAGAGTACAGAAGATTCTCTACCACTTCGTCACCTAGAAGAGTGATTATCACAACTACCCCTTCTACTACAACCACCACAACAACACCATCAACCACAACATCAACGACAACAACTACATCAACTACAACCGCAGTACCTTCTACAACGACCACAGCAGAAGTCCGAACAACAACTTACCGTATGACTCCCATGCCAAGAGTCATAACGCGTAAGTTTCCAACAACAACTACACGTAATAAGCTATCTTTTTCTAGTTTGTATATATTATATTTATAGCCATGCCTGAAGAACAGATCAAATCGAGAATCAATATCGTTTCCTCTGAGATTAACATGAGACCGTTATACCCTCTGAAGCTGACGGTCAGCACACAGTCTCCGATTCCATTTATTCCGGATTACAAAATGTGGACATTTAAGAAGCAATCCAAGACACTCAATGTAAGCGCCAACCTGAATTGAATGCAAGTACAGAGAATTGTTTCAGCCTCAGGTAATTCGTTCCGATAACTTTCTAGACATTCTAACGGAACTGGCGCAAGTGAATCATAAAGAAGACATCCTAGATTATCAAAATGCTCACAGTTTCTTGAAATATTTAACAGATACGGGGAAATAAATATATCATATATTAATAAATATCTCTATAACAACAAAAAACAATAAAAACTTCAACAGTTCTATTGTGCCCGTAAAAGATGTAATTGAAATAAGATCCTATCTATCTATTTGAATATCTTGAAACAAAACTCTGATCACAAATGCCGTCACTATTCCATTTAGCAACATTACCGTATAACTTAGGAGGTGATGGTTTTTGTAGGCGTCGGCACAGTTCACAAAATCCCGTATCGTTATGATGCTCAGGTACAACCCTAGAAATAGTAATTAATATCTGCAAAGAATCATGCAAGCACCAGATGGTGCTACACAAACATTGTTTTTATAAATTTAATCATTGAACAGTTAATTATTATTCCATTAGCTTCGAATTTGAGAAATTCGATTCTCGGAATTCTTCAATGAACATAGCAAGTATAAGAATCGAGTAGAATGACATCAGACATCAGAAATATATGTATAAAGAGCGTTCATGAGTTATGTTTATGAACTATGAATGGCTTGTTGAAAAGAGAAGTTTAATGATCTTTTTAATGATATTGCTCGCTTTCAACATTTTTAATTCTCTCATGAGAGAGAGGAGTTTCTATAGACCTCAGCTAATTTGTATTTTCATATGACGTTTTAAGCTGACCTGTAATGCTTTCTCCATTCATGGTGTTTGAGGTACTTCTCTTTATCGTTTTCTATATCTTTGATATATTTAACGAATTCATTCAAATTCTGAAAATCAGAAATAGCAATGAAAGACGTATTTGGAGCCTGAAATTAAAAAATTAAACAACGTTATAGTTTTGATTACTAACCCCAACGCTTTCATATATCTTCCTCTCCATCACTATGGGAACAACCATGCGCTCACTCAGAGATTTATAGAATTTCTCAGTCACATAATCTCTACAGTTAGTATTCTCAAAAGCAAAATAGAACTTATACGGCCTGTATCAGATAGAATCAATGAAAGAAGAAAGAGAAAGAGTTGTACTTTATGAGAGAAGCAACACAGGCATCGCTCTGTCTGTCAACTCCAACACAATCAGGAGCTGGCTTACCACATCTGCCATATAAGTCAGCCTTAAATGTTTTATGTCTTATATGTAACTTCATGCCTGTATACAACCTTTAGGCCCAATCTTTTTAGTTCTTTGATTAGCTTCAAACGATTGTTACCCGTAAAACAATTGGAAGCAAGCCAAGTTATTGATAAATCAGAATTTTTCAAATTCCAAATGTCATCCAAGTTATAATCAACTAGAATGATACAAGAAATTTTCAAATAATTATTGGTTGCAAACTTGGGGTCTCTAATTTCTTAACATGGCCATAAGGATACCAAACATCAGCATCTAATCTATATGTCATCGTCCAATTTATAAAATCTTAAAAAGCTAAAGTTAGATTGATTGTCAATGTGTCAACAAACTATTATCTGGACGGAATCGATCGTTATAAGGAGACTCTAAACTCCACAAGACGTATGGTATTGATAGACGTTTTGGTGGTATTGATTGGATAGCAAAATCGGCATTATGGAATAGAACAGCATCAGCTTTTGATAGATCATTAACATCAGATGTTATATGACAAAATGACTATACGGAAAGTATATGTATGTTGTACGTATGTATGTATTGTACCTGCTGTTGAGGACAACCATCGAGGAACTCTTTGTCTGTGATTGTATTGCGGAAGAATTTAGTCGCAGCATATATGAGAACCTTCTTTTGAATTATATTCTTTGGATGTGATAATGATGTAGCAGTATCTAAGTAAGAGAAGACGTTTAGATGATGAAATGAATATGAAAGCTTAACTGATTATAATGATATTTGGTTTTGAAAAAAAATGATAAAAGCATGAGAGAGAGAAAACAATACAAACAAACACGAGAGGAGATCTTCTCTGAAACAAATATATATTTTATGAGAAAAAAAAATGTTTGAGAAATGTGATAATGAATGGAAAACACACCCAAATCCTCATCTGTATATCTAACTATATCCAGACTGTAATAAACACAAAATCTTTTTAAAGCAGCTGTTTAAATGGAAAGCAAAAGAGAATTATGATCAAAGTATCCAAGTGATAGTACGAATGATAAGGATGAATGAAGCATTATCAAGTTAATAAAATAAATAAAATACTTTTTATTTTCTTAACAAATGCCTTTAAACAAACAGTAAAATGTAATTTTACACCTTGTTCTTACAAAAGAAACAAATTTTAAGAGAAACACTCTTCTCTCTCTCTCTCTCACTCTCTCTCTCTCTCTTTACAAAAGGAAGAACTGGGTGTTTACAAACGTTTTCAAAATGGGAAGCCCATATGAGAGAAGATGAGAAATCCTTCAATGAAATGAAAATCAAAATGTTTTCTAGATCAAAAGAACTACTTTTTGAACTCTTCTTAGAGATTATCATACTCCCTCATTTTTTTTTTCAGAAAAGAAAGTGAGTGAGAATGGAAAGAAGGGAAACATTGAGATTGAGATAGAGAGGAACAGAGAGAGAAATTAAAGAGAAGGAAAATCGAAACATGCGATGTTACTATTGTTAGGTAGAACTCCATAAACGTGTATTGGCTCAATCGCAAAAATTTGAATGAAAGGAAAGCTATCAACTTATTGAAACCATGGAAACGGCAGGTTTTTCAATCGGAAATGTTGGCTCAGATCCAATAACATGGGAAATGCGCGGTTTTCCTGATCTTCAAACATGAAAAATCAATAAACAATCGAAAATAGAGTATTAATGATTGTTTTTAGTTAAACAGAAATGCTCGTGTCACCTCTCTCTGAAATTGCTATTACTAATAACGATGTGATGTTGATGAAGAACTTATTAACAAAGCGGTTGAAGGTAACTAGCACTCAATCTCATCTCTAAGCCATTTTATTCAGAAACAAGAAAGAAAGAAGACCAAAATGACAAATAAGCCGATTATCAATGAGGGAGGAGGAGGTGGAGGAACTTCAACTGCCGTTTTCAAAACACCTTCGTTGCCTATGTATGCAGCTACATCATCTGCATCTTCCGCTTCACCTTCTACCCAAGACATAATGTCCACATGTACTCCTACCATCAATAACGTTATCAATTCTGACTTTGCAACACCAACATCATCATCATCATCAACCATTATTTTTGGAAAAACAAGAGCTAACTCCATCAAAAGAGCTATACAATAGGGTTTATGCTAATTTTTTTTGCTATACATTGAGTCTTTTGTCAATAAACTGTCAAATCGAAATGTTTGTCTTAGACGAAATTTCTTGAAAAATCATTTTGTTGAAATGAATTATTGCCTTCACCTCATATTACTTTCCTTACCTTCAGCTTTTGCCATGGAGATGTAAGTTACATTAGCATTCATAGTATGACAACATATGAATTGTAGGAATACAGCATCGACCGAAGACTATAACGTTTTTGCTATTGTCCTGTTCTGTATTTTGGTGTGCATTACCATTAGACATGCAAACGACTTCTATCATGGAGAATCAGTTGAGTACTCTTCCTTCTTTCATAATTCTACGTGCGATTTCAAAATGTGCACACCTTATAAGACACAAATGATAAAAGTTATTGTGAGAATGTGATGAAAAAGAATATTATAATAAACAGAAAAAAAAACGGAAATGATGATTACTAATGAATTATATGTTAGGTAACTCTGGTACCGGAAGGGATTGAGCCAGCCAGATTTCGGCGTGATGTGAAGAAGAACTACCTGACAAGAATCGAAAAAGATTTTCAAGAAATGTTCGATGTAATGGGAGCTGATTACACAAAAGAGAAAGATTTAATAAGCTTAGAACATACATGGTGTTGTTAAATAAATTGGAGGTCTTTTATAGATTTATGAGCAATTTACAGTCCCTTTCTCTCTGTATGTCTTGGTTTGTTGCTTATTAATGGGGTGTTAGAGTGATTTATCGCTATAACATAGAATCACATTTGGTGATAACACAACTGTGCATACAAGACAAATATCAAATAAGCTCTTTTACTATTCAATTTATAATTTAAAAAAACTTTTTTAAATATCTTGATATAACTTATACATTGTGCTGTAACATCCATTTCTATCTGGAGGCTTGCAGCATGTTGTTGACTTATCCTCTTCTCTTGCTGCCCTCTCTAACACCTTTCTCTCTTCTAATTCATGAGACATATACAGTACACTAACCGAAGGGGTATATCCCGAGGGAATGGACATAAAGGAATAATAAAGAATTAACAATATCCTCAATATGAATTGTTAAATGGAAACTAAGAGTATTCTTGAAGAGAGATTATACGGTAGAGCGTCTTGCCTTCATTCTTATCGTTATTAACAAAAGAAAATTTCTTCTTCTCTCTTTACTTTTCCATTTTGAAAGTTGTTGAAAGTCTCTGTTACTTTGTACGTTGAAAGTGAAGAAAGGTGAAAAGCTTAAAAACGTAATTTAGAGGTTTTTCAACACCTTTTTGAAGCTTCTTATCATTGTATTTCTATAACCAAACGGATTAACGCATTAATCTGTCCATAAACTTATTTCCTTTTTTTATTTCATTTATTATACTTGTCATCGTTCTAACTCCTTTTCTTTGTTAATTATCATTCTGAGAATCGTATCTGATGAATGGGAAAGAGGGAAGAAGCACAAAAAAAAGAGGAAGAAGTCATCTGTTTTTGTCGGATTCTTTGAAATTTCATCTGGAAAATCAACAAAACACGTCAGGTGGGAGAGAAGAGCTCTGCCTGTACCTGTCCATTTACACTTCTATCTGAAGAGATCTTATTGCTTTCTCTATTTAAATATTCCAATGATTCTTTTTTGGATTTGTTCTTTTGTAAATTTAAATTCCACACTGCTCCTCCCTTCATTAATCTTTCTTCTTATCAGTTTTTGAGTTGGAAAGCAAGTATGAAGTCAAACCGATACAGATACTTCACAAAAATTTCATTCTGATAGAATCATCCACCCACACACAAACTTTTGACGTCAACAAGAGGGCGAACATGCCAAGATTAGACTGAGTGTTCCATTTGTTTCACCTTTTTTTATTTTGCAAATTGTTACAATCATCAATCCCATAAATGTGTAATTTTAGGAAAAGCTAGGGAGATGAGCATATCGAGCTTCCTTTGCGAGAAAAAATTTTTTTTCCATCACACAGCTGGAGATCATACTAACCAGGTCGATTTGATCAAGTACAACTGTCACAAAATATTAATAATCTCACAAAAAGATAGACCGTGCGAATGACCTTAGATGGCAACAATTCAATTTTCTCAATTCCTCAGGTGGCTTTCAACCGGTAGTTATTAAGAGAGAATGAGAGAAAAAGAGAGAAAGGCAAGGATTATACACGCTTTTTTTTGCCCTCTCGTTTTGTTCTATCTCTCTTCTCACAGAGTCTTCCTATCTCCATCCTTCTCAATTACTCTTCTCAAAAAAAGTAACTTTATTATGAGGGAGGAGATAGAATGACCGGAAAACCTTGAAATTTGCATATTTTTTATAGAAAGGATTACTGACTTCCTTGACATGATTATCCTATACGTGCTTCACAATGAGTAGATGATGAATGAATCATTCATAATCATTGACCGTCTTGTCTGCTCTTAATGCTCGTTTTGCATGAAATTAATTTTCACGTAAAGCTCACGTGCACTCAATTGACGTGAAAGATCATTTTGTGTCTTCATGACGCAGATGATGGTTGTGATCATATTATAGTTTGCAGGAATAAGGAGGGACGCTTGCTATGTAACTGGCATGAAGTGTTTCATGCTAATGGGTAGACATGACCTCAAGAGATATCCTCAAGATACAAAGATGGATATTTGACAAGAGAAATATCTTCAAGCTATGTTATAAGATTCTTGTCAGGTGTTACGGAAGTTTATAACCGACGGTTAAAGATGTAACTGCCAACTATTGCTTGAAGGATTACTTTTGTAGAAGTTAGGATTACCCCTCAGGCTCTACAAGGATACGGTAAATGAGAGGAAATAGTTAGTAAAACCACTGATTAAGTATCAATTTGACCTTTTAATAGGAAGGAAATGTTTTTTTAATCCATAATATAAGAGGTGTCAAATGATTAGATATGTCATTCAAGCATACCGTATGTTATCGATGGCTCATTTGCATATTTTAATCAATATTTATTTCTTGTTCTTTCAACTATATTTTCATTCTTTTTGTCAGTTATGACCAGTTCTTTTGCGTTTAATCCTCTTTTTCAATTCCCTTTTTAACTTTATGAGAGAGGTAGATGGCGAGCAAAAGGAAGAGCGACTGAGAGAGAGAGGTGTGGAGAGAAAAAAAGAGTTTGAAGAAGAGAAAGAGGGAGAGAGAGAAAATGATAGAATAGGAGAGAACTTTAGGATTCAAAAGTTAAAAAGAGAAAAGTTCTAATGCCGAATACGGTAAATTCATAATCGTGCCGGTTCTCCTCGACGGTTCATACATCCAAGGACAAAGTCAGTTTGGAAAGATTTCAAACTTTCTTAAATAGAATAATATTAATATTTTTTTGATAGCATACCTCTAGGAAATAGTTTTTGTGAGAAAAATTACTTTGGTTCATTGACGAGGTTCAAGTTTTATGACTGTAAGTTGCAAGGTGCTCTTCCTTAATTACCGTAACTTTTATGCTAATTGACCTTTAATTGACAGTCGTAATGTCTTTTTTCACGTAATTTACAATGAGATGATGAGTTAGACAGTTCAAATAGCATCAGAAGAGAGAAGAAAGAAAATGAGAAGTTTGGAGAGAACTGTTTGAATATTTTCCTCCTCTTGCAATCTTCTTTCGAAGTTAATCTGAGATTTGGACACCCTCAAACGCAGAAATAAATGAACTTCAAAACAAACTTCTTATCGATTATAAACCTCTTGCTTAGTGTGTCTCATATGGATTAAACAGATAATCCCATTGTTCATAAAATTTTAACCGAATAAGTTTGCTTTTTTGCAACTTGGCCATTCAGGCCAGCTGACCTCTTGGAATTTGAATTAAGACTTCTTCATGGCTTTTAGTAAGAGAGAAAACTCTTTATTATAGCTTACAACTTCTCTCACTTACTATTGGTTCATAAATGCTCCGCCCACATTACTTCATCCTTCGTCCGCCCATATTAGGGTGGTCCCCACTCGAGGACGACGATGTGATTGCTGAAGAAATGGGCGGATCACACTTCACCTCAGATAGTCGTCGATGAAACTTGAGGACAACACATCTCTTTAATCCTCCTTTATCCTTGTTTTTTCTCGTCTTCATTTACTTCACTGATTTTTTCTTTCTTTCTGGTTCTGTTTTCTTCTAGTTTGCTCATTTTAAAAGAGAATGTGAGAAGCCATGAGAATAATTAGATGACATAAAGAATCCCTTGGTCAATCCATATAATAAATGTGACCTATGTTGCAGGAAGAAGCTTAGAATAAAAATTTCTGTTCAATCAGTTTCTAGCAATTGTGAATCATATGAGAGATGAAGCCTTACCCTTTCTGCATTCTCTCTTTATTATATTTCATATAAACTTTTTTTATTTATTTCTGTTTCAAGTGAAATATATATATATATGTATATGTGATGCGAAAAAGCTTAACTATAAATCTCCTTATAATTTTTATGGAAAACATCTTTTCATCTATCTACCTCATAATTATATGAAAATAACAAGTACACAATTTTTATCCTTCAGCCATTTAAGGAATTGCTTTATTTCGTCATCATTTATGACGTTTTTTTCTCCTATAACCAGCTCATAGTAACTCATCCTCCTTCATGCATCTACAGTATGCCTGGTCTATACGTGGTAGTTTTATTTGTACGACGTCTGTCTATTATCATTTGACTCTCCCACTTTCTCTCTCTCTTCATAATTCTTCTTCTCCTCCATACTTTCATACTTTCCCTCCCTTTTCTGATAGCTAGCGTGAAATCGATTGATCTTATCAGTTCCACAGTGTTATTCTAAGGAGCGTTGGGATCCACAGCTAAGCGGCTTAACTCCTTGCGCAACTATGTGAATTCTCTTGTAGAACCTCTTAATTGGCAACTTTTCTCGCTTTACTATTAGCCTGCTTCCCCCTAATAATCCCAACTTCTATTCATGAACTCTGCTAAGAAACAGCTATTTTCAGTCTATTATATAAACACGTGACGACAGCATCAGCAGCTTCATCGACGTGTTCACTTTGCCGTCTCTTAATACTTTCAGAAGCCGTAAATGCTCTGATGGTTCATTTAGTCCTCAGATAACAGTCTGATTATCCGCTTTTGGACATAAAACGTTTTCAACTTCAGCGTGTTCGAGTTCACGTGTTCTCCAAGAGCAAATGAAGTTCACATATTTTTTCAGATTTTCACCCCCTCAGGCCATATACCACACCCTAAACTCCCTTTTGTCATCACGTTGATCTTCAACAATTTCACAGAGTTTCTTCTCAATTTTATTTAATCATGACCTTTTTCATCAGTGAATTTTTGAAATTTGAGACTTGGGCCCCGTTCCGTCTCATTCTTCCTTTCTCCTGCTTATCAGTTCTACCGTAATCACATTCATATTCTCTTTTTTCTCTTCTCCACTTGACTATCCTATACAACTGTCCTTCTTCAACTTTCTTAGTTGTTTTTGCCAGAGCAAAATTCATATTAAACTGAATTCATTTCAGAATACTGTCATGGCCTACAGTCCGTTCCATCCATATATCCAATGCCCATCAACAACTACTCCAGCTCAATTTTCCTACAGTATGACATCTGTTCCAGGAATCGCAATGTTTCCTCCAGGAACATACAACCCAGGTTAGTTGAAAAAATCAATGCTCGACCCACTAGAAAATGTGTGTTCCATCAAAATTCCATTGAATACATCATAAAAACTCTTCGACGAATGGTTAGGTTACGGTAGCCATAAGTTGACGACATTGAAATGAATCAACAACTGCCTTATGACTTTGTTCAAAGAGAGAAAACGAGGAATAAGAGTAGTAGAATGGAGTTGAAATGGGGAGCGACAGTACTGATCCAAAGTACTCGATTTCCATATGCAAAAAAGACGAGAGCAACTCCATTTAGTTGATTGATATTTGTCGGCTGGTTCATTCAAATAAGCCGATCAAAACGGCTAATTTGCATACGTAGAAGTTGTTCTCGTCAGAAAATAACTAATATGGGAGTTTGAACAAAAATACAGAAGGGAATACAATCAGACAGGAGTAGATATGGAAAAAATGGAATGTTTGATTGACCAGAAGAGGTCGGATGAATGTTTAAGCCGATAAGATGATAATGAAATTTGACCTTAGCATGAATGATTGAATAACTTAAGACAACAATGATCTTCCAGGAATGATTCCACGCAAGAATAGACGAGAGAGGACAACTTTCAATCGACAGCAGTTGGAAGTTTTAGAGAATTTGTTTTCTCGAACCCATTATCCTGATGTTTTCACTAGAGAGAAGGTGGCGGAAGAAATAAATCTGCAGGAAGGCAGAATTCAGGTAGCAAAGTTCTTCATTTCGCATTTATAAAACTGTTTTCTCTTTGATAGGTTTGGTTCAAAAACAGACGTGCAAAACATCGACAACAAGAACGTCAAAAGCCGAAGGCGGAAAAAAACGAAGTTGAAGGTAAGTGTAACTATGAGACAAATTGAACAAAATATTGTTTTTAGCCGATTCTACTGGACCTAAAATAAAGGAAGAGCCCCCTTCCAACGGTTACAATCAAATCAGCAGTGAGCCTGAATCAGGGTAAGATAATGAAGAGAAGAAAAAGAAACCAATTCATTCATTTACAGTTCTCCACCTAAGACAGGCTTATCCCCGATGTCCAAAACAGATTCACCTGGCGTGAGCGTTACAGACAACAGTTGGAGCAATGAATCAACGGCGGTATAACACAGTAGTAAAAAAATCATTCATACAAGTATCTTCAGAGTGTTTCCTCAAGCTCCGTAACATCGTCTAGTAGTACTCCAGGAGTTTCTGCCTCATTGGCTGTCAATATCAGTAGCCCGACCGTATACAACTCATACCCCTTCTACTCTACTTACTGTCAGCCAGTATTTGACCCTAGTTATACAACTTATTCAACTTATCCAGCTTATTCTCAAACCCAATACAACACCCCAAATCCTTATTTGTTTCCTGGAACGAATACATCTCTTTAAAAAATATAATTAATGATAAATATAGTTTTTCGGGTCGGAAAGAAACACAAAAATCCAATGAGAAAAGCAGGAGAAAAAAGTTGTAAATAGAAAAAGCTCTGTTATAGATGTTTATTTGGCCATTTCAGTATTATCTTTTTGAGCTCCCTTTTTCCTTCTCTCTCGATTCACTCTCTCTTTCTTTTACTCTCCCTCTCTTTCTTTCTCTTTCTCAATTCCTCTACTTTTTTCTCTTTTTATTTGTCCCTCTTTCTTTCTCAAAATCTTGTCTATGACTGTTGTCAGAAATCCGTGTGAATTGATGTTTTACTATAGTTTTATTATAATGTTATAGTTACATAGACCCTAATGAAATGCTCAACATCGCTTTATGTTTTAGTCGATCACCTGGGGTGGATCTAAGGACACTTGAATGCATTCCTTTAGAAAAAATTATTGCTTTTCAAGTACTTTTTCTTACTTTTTTTTGCCGACAACACGAAACATCGTAATATTCAAATAAGGACACCGCATTATGACGCGACACCTCCAAGTTGACCAAATAAAACATTTTTTTTACCTCATTTACTTATTTACATTAATGTTTTTATTATTTCTGTTTAATTAACAGGGAAATTACAACATGTCCGGCTCTAAGGTTATGATTATACATAGGATGAACCATGCACAACCGTTCTTCATCAATCTTTTCATTCAAATAGATTTGTTTGTCTGGATCAGAATAACAGTATACTATACACTCTCAGTGATATTCAAAAAATAGTAAATGAAGCAGGAGAACGGCTTGCTCAAAAAGAACCAATTAATTAGGCTTAGAATTAATACCTTGCCAACATCAAGGCGTAAAGCAGGTGTCAAAGCATGAGCCGTCTCTGCCAGTGGCTTCTTCTCAGCTGGATCAATGTCTAGGAGAACGCATACCATTGGCGAACACAATAGTTCAGTGAAGAACTGAAACGTCCTACAGAGTTTGAAAGGGTCAATATATCTTTGATTAGATAGTAACCGACACGATTGTGCTTGGAGCATTCTCACTGACATCGATCTAACTCTATGCAATATGTAAATTATGTGTGAAACATCCATATTTCCGTTTGAGCAAGATACAGATCTTGTCAATCACGTTTCCTCCCTAAATGCCTTTTTTTGTTGTTTTGTTGGTGAAAAGGATGAGCTTATAAGATTTTCATGCGATAACAAGAGAATTGACAGGTGTTTATGACTGTATGTTTCATCCAATTTCTTTCTTTCGTTCCTCATAATTAGTCGGCTACAAAGCGTTTTTTAAGGATTATAACGATAGTTTAAGGATTAGCTGATCTCTAAAAATGGACATGCTTCTTCTTTATCTTTGATTCATATGCCGATCGTTATCTACACCAGATGTCTTGGCTTTGTCTCCTCTACAGGTTTTTGCTTTTTCTTTAACCTCTGCAGGTCACTTTCAGTTTTTCATCAACACATTCCTTACGGCATTTTCTCATCTGTCAATCAATAGCTATGTGAATATTGTGTATATATCTAGTTAATATAGATATTTTCTGATACATTTTTTCTATTTACACGTCAAGTTTCTTATTTCGCATTTTGACCTCGTCATCAGAATGTTACGTAAGTTAACGGAAACATTTCCGTTAAGGGAAATGTCCCAATGTATATACTTGGAAAGCAAACATAAAACGAATGTTAATTATCCTGATTATGTCCTAGGTTTCCAGAAAATCGATCAAACTATCAAATAGATTATCGTTTGTGAGGCTTGTACTCTATAGCATTCTCTACTGTTTCCTATTTTACTTTCTTCTCCTGCTTACTCTCTCAGTGTCCAAATCTTGTGGAACTTCTTATTTCTCTCTTAATTTTGACATAAATTATAATTTCAATTGATGGATGCATCCATGCAACTCATCAGGCTCATCATGCTCCAACATACCACTTTACGGCTTAGCATCAAATTTCGGACACCTTATTAGGCCAAGTAACAGGTGTCCCAGCCATCTACCAGCCATTATATATAACAAAACACTCTCTATTGGATGCTAAATAACAAAACTTTCTCAGATTTCATTTTATTCATAAAGAAGTTATAATTAATTTGAAATCTCTATTTTACCTCATATTCTTAAAGAAACGAAAGAAAACACAACCGCTCTGCAAGTTCTACAACGATGGGAGTGAAAATTACGTGAAAAACGTAAGCTGGATTGGGGTCGTGTGAAAAAACAGTAAATTTCACAGTGTTCATAAATACATTTAAAAAAAAGCCCTAAAGAGTTCATAAACTTAAGGTCAAGGAAGGTCGATTGAAACGGAAGGGTGTTTGAAGTATAAGGTTAACTATATGATATGAATTAAGAGATTAAGTACGAATAATAACAGTCAGAAGATTCTATGTCAAGAGATTAGCCTATGTTGAGATGTTAAGTCTGTGTTAGACATCTCCTAAGACTCCTCTAGAATGTGCTTTATAGAGGGAAACCTATGAATATTCTGAATCCTATAAATCATTTGGGCTTTCAGAACTGCTGAACTTATGAAAGTGTAGAGTTCAGGTCTTCAGAAGCTTCATAACACGCAACAATTTTTCTGATTCATTTAGAGCTGATTTTATTTTTGAGAAAGTTCTCAAATTTCTCATCAGCATCTGTCAGTCACTTCAATCATTTTTTTCCGAAATTGGCCAGCAGAAGCCATTGAATTCTTTGATCTTATACAATTTGCTCATGAGGTTGCAGCCTAATCCTTCACGGAAAATGGTCCGGGGAATCTTTACCAGAGCAGTACAGACAAACTCCGCCCCTCTATAACGGTAGAAGACTATCCGTTGATTCATCAAAAGAAGTCTGCAGTAGGAGAGCCTAGTCGGTCTTAGGCTAAGCCTACTAAGGATCTCTTCGATTGTAGATTACGGTATCAAGAGAAGTAGTTTTTTTTAAATTGGATTATGAATGTTTTAAATGTTTTAAATCCATTAATCTTTCTTCTAATCGTATAATAATTCGAAATTATTATTTATTTCGATTTTATAATCGATTTTTCCTCGAAGGCTTCAACCGTAGACGAAGAAGCCGAAGAATATCATTTTATCACTTTTTTCTCTTTTTTCTTTCACATTTCATCATTTTATAGTTTTAGAATAAAAAATTCCTTTTTTTTCTTCATTTTAAATCCTTTGTTGATTTGTCTTAAATGTCTCTTCCTATTCTTCTGATAAAATGCCAAATTACGGTAGTTTTCTATCAAAATCCACATTTCTTCGTCTTCTTTTTTTCCACACATAATATCTGCATTCATATTTTCTCATTCCTTCATCTTAAACTTCATTTCAGTTGCTCAGCTGATTCTAGAGTAACTCTCATTCTGAACCTCCTGCTGCTCCTTTTTCTCCTCCTCCTTTCCGTGCAACCTTGCCATATCTGACCCGTCCACCAATCGTTGTGTCATATACACCTCTCCTCCTTCTTCTCTTCCTCTATCTATATCCTTCAAAACATTCTAAGCTCCAATTTTCCATCTTCATCAAATATTCAGATTCATTACTTTTCCTAATTTGTGCGTCTGTATAGATGGTGCGAATTTCGTGCGAGCTCAGGTCTATCCGCCAAATCTCATTTTGACAGGCTTATCCAGCTTATCTATCCTTCTGCTATTTCTTTCAATATTTTCTATTGTGTCTTTATATGTTATGAATATTCGTCTTTAACTATTTCCATATAGTTAATATATTTCTCTGATTTTCTTTCAAATAATTTCTATTATCTGTATAATTCTTTTTCAGGTTAGACATACATATCATGGGACCTCCTCCAGCTTCAACTGCTTCAGCTTCACCCTTCTCAGCAGCCTATCCTGGTTTTGCTTCTTTCCAGCCTTTACACTACCCAGCGTTTTTTAACAATCTTCCTCATCATCCCCAAGTTATAATGAACGGAGCAACAGTTCAGCCATCCAGGTGAGCTTAACTAACCAATGCGCTTGTAAAAAAACAACATCTTCTTAATAAGTCAAGGATTACATGAGTTTTCAGATTATAGCCGTACGGCTAAATTTATTTAAATTTCAAGTTTTAAGATTATCCTTACGGAAACTTAAGATAATTTTCAAGTAAAGCAACCTATATTTCTACGTTTCAGTTATCGAGCAAGATGCGGACGCGATCTCAGCCGACGTACAAGTACACGCCGAGAGAGAACCTCTTTCAATAACCTTCAATTACAACAACTTGAATATCAATTCAAAATCAGCCAATATCCTGATTTGGGCAAAAGGGAAGAAATCGCTAGAGCCATTGGCCTCCTGGAGCCTCGAGTTCAAGTGAGTTCATACATTTTTTTGAACCATCTTTCATTTACTTCTTTTTTAGGTTTGGTTCAAGAACCGCAGAGCTAAAGAAAGACTGGCTAAGAAAGCTCTGCAATCAAGCAACTCATCAAAATCACTTAATCCAGAAGCAGAATCTCCTCCACCTGAGCCTAAAGTGTTGGATATCAAACCAATAACCATGCCGATTATACCAATGCCTGGTACTGCTGAATTCGATGCTCACACAGAATCGAAATATCTCAGTATGGCTATTAAGCCAAAGAAAGAAATTGTTGAGCCTGAACCTATCACAACAATCAAATATACCGATCAAAGTCAAGCAGCAGCGACAGGTGAGCACAGTAAACGAAAATAGAAAAAGTTTTTAATAGCATTTGCTTCAGGATGGCCTTCATATGCTTTACCGCCAGCTAATTATAATTTTTATAATAATTACTTCCCACCGTATTACCCGACTGCCAGTTATCCAACTTATGCTTCTGAATCTTATGTTCCTAATAATCCAACATACTGTGGTCAAATAACTCCATTATTATTCGAGCAATCAGATCAATTGTAAGAAGAAGAAAAATTATTTTTTTGTGCGCACACTGTATTTGTATGTTCCAAGTCATTATTCTAATCAATTTGAGATGTTGTATAGGAAAATTCTCTTTTTTTCTTTCCATGTGGTTTCTCTCTTCCTGTCTTCCCTTCCTCTCTTCAAACTTCTACTTTTTGAAAATAAAAATTCTCCAAAAATGTTCAAGAAAGCCATACAAAAAGATGTGCAGGACTTCCTCGCACCTGTCTTGATTAACAAAAGAAATCTCAACTTTTTTTTGTGCTTGAGAGAAAGACATGAGAAAAGAAGCCTTCACCGGCTATTGTCTTTCATCTTACACTTAACTGTGTGCTTAAGACCTTCTTCTCACCTAAGTCCATCAAGCACTGAATTCATGTGTGCGTCGGCATTTGAATCTTTAACTTACGTCACTAAGGACACTTATCTCTAATGGTGACTGACTGGTTCAAAGCCAATTTTGGTGACAAAACAAATACCAAAAAATATGCAGGTGGATGGCATTAGATACTTAACACCCAAATATACAGATGTTCGTCGTCGGCATTTCCATATTCTTTTCATAGAAAGTACAAAAGACAGAAATGCCTAAGGCTTTTGATGTCACTTAATCCTTATTGAGGAGTAAAAAAAAGAAAAATAAGCTTATTCAGATAAATGTCAATCAAATTGTCTTTTGTACTAATTTTTAATAAAAGAATCAATACTTTGCTAATGGCGTTCGTTGAATAATATATACTATACGTATATGGGTAATGAGCATTTCTATCTTTCACAGCTTATAGACACAACCGTATCTCACGAATAGTAAAATTGAAATGAAAACAATTTTCATTCACGTAACTCTCGTGACTTTTAGAGACTCTGACGTGAAGCACGTGTCACTGGCAGATAATCGGCTCAACAGTTGTATATATGATACGGTTAATAAACAGGCTGTTTTCATGTATACCGACCAATTTAAGGATTAGTGAATCTTTTACAAAATAAAAACTTTTGCGGTTCAGATGTGCACAGGCAGATGAACAATAGACAGATGATGTTGATAGCATCTCTGAGCTCCGAAATGATCCCATGCAGAGTATCTTACTCGTTCATTCTCCTATGTGCGAATAGGGGTGAAAGAGAGAGAAAGGAAGGAGAGATAAAGAGAGTGTCAAGAGAAGGAACTATTTACCTATTTTATAAAAAGTTAAATAGAAGCCCTTCTTATAGTTAATAAAATAATTCAAGTAATATGATAGGTAGTATCGGCATCGTTTTCATGTGACATATCTTCAACAACAAGAAGATGACACTTGATTAAGCAAATACAATAGATGTTTGAAATGAAAACAATTTGAGTTTGAGAATAACCATTTGAACTTATTCACATGGACTAACGGCATGATTAGACGTCAATGAATTCTTTTTGTTTTCTCTTTTGTTATAAAATTGTGAAACTGGAACGTTTCCATTAGAGAAAAAAGAGAAAAGAAAAGATGAAAATCTCACAAATATTGAACGTGCCGGCACTTGGCACATAATTCCAAAGAGAATTGGCAAATATTCAAAAGGATTAACAGTACAAGTATCTTTTTATGTTGCCCTAGTTAGGTATATTAGACAACAAACATTAAAAATATAATAATTTTTCCTTAGCTCTCTTCTCTCCCCTCTTATCCTTCTTCATAAATTGAATTCATGAATTGAAAATTTAATTTTTCATTCGATATCCGACCAGATCTTATGTTAGGTCGACACTTCCGTTCCTTCTCGCCAAATCTGCTTATCTTTGATATTTCCGTATATTCGTTCCTTATTTAGTATTCGCATCGAAAATGTTAATGAAAGTTTGAAAAATGCTCAAAATCTTCCTTTTATTCGTAAAAAAAAAGAGCTTCGGTTCTGGAGCATCAGTAAATCACTACGCTACATCTCTTTCTCTTTTTCTGATTCTTTTCTACTTCCTTCTTTCTCTCTCTCTATGTCTCTGGAATAAATATTTTTTGCAGTTTTCCTTCATTTCATCCATAATTTGATTTATAGAGATTATAAATAAAAGCTAGAATATGTGGTTCATGCTCTCAGTTGATACGGAAAAGAGCTAGTAATGCAAGATGAATGTAGAGCTTCAGCCGAAATGGCTGACAGCATTACTCTGAAAGTTGCCTATGGGCTTAAGCTTATCACGTGTATTCTTGCTATTGCATCTGTTTGCCGGTATTTCATCGTACAGGTTAGTCTGATCCTTTTTGTTATCGTAGTCACCTCTTCCTAGAGAATCAACCAACCACAAATATATGTATCTTAAGAGAATACAATGGTTGGCTAATGCTAACTGTCGAACTGTTTTCAACTTCCATCTGGCTTGCAACATCATAGCTTCATTCTTCCAAGGATTGTACTATGTAGTTGAGATTTACAGGTAGTTCCAGGGAAAGATATTTAAACTATACTTTACAAATTTTTATAGAACTTCTCAAAATCATGAGGATGAATGTGGTTATACCATACTAACTGAGACATCCATTCATCTGAGACTACCATATGTCATGGCAATGACATCACAGGTTTTCTCCATGTTTGTTATTTGCATCGAAAGAGCAATTTCAACTGTTTTTCCGAACAAATATGAAACGATTACAAAACCATATTTAGCATATTTTCTAATTTCTCTTGCTGTGAGTTTCATATGTACTTCTTCATTTAAACTTTGTCACAGATTGTGTGCTCAGTGTCAGCATCGTATCTACTGTTGCTAGTTGGCATTACTATAGAGAATATACCTGTCTCACATATTTCTATTAATATTAAGCCTGTAGATAACAGACATCAGGTATGTGATTGAAAATTATTTTCATCTTTGCTCAACTTTTTTCCATTCAATAGATACTGCTCAACATCGTTCTATGCGTTCAACTCATCTCTATTATAATATTTATAATTTCATTGTTGAGAACATACTTGGATGAACGAAATTTTAAGAAAAAAATAGTCAATTTGGGAAACAAATATCAGGTAAATACATCTTTCTTGTTCCTCTTCTTCTTCTATATCATCATATACCATTTAAGGTTGGCGAGAATAAACTAGTAATTAACCGATTATTACCAATCTGTTGTTTACATTTTATTATTTTGGTCATTCATATTGTTGCCTTAAAGCTATATATTACTGTAATAAGAATAAGTTATTCATATGTTAATCATTATACTTTAGACTTATCCAAATTCATCTGTCAAATCTTATGCTATATTTCAAGAAGTAATCAGTCAGGTAATAGATGCCCTCTTAGAGCTTATAGATACAAGTATCACCAATTGAAGGCAGCTATCTACTCCATACTAACTCCATTGATAATCGAAAGACAAATCGAAAAACGAAAGAAACATCCAATCACAAACTATTATCTGAAACAAGAAGAATATTTTAAAGATCTCCGTTTGTATTTCGATGTAACTCCGAATAGAAGGAAATGAATTCATCAATGGCTTCGAGAGAAAATGTCAAAACTTATGGGAAAAACAATGGATATTCTATGGTTTTTAGTTCTCTTTCCTGAAATTCCCAGACTTCTAGCCCCTGTATTCACCTAAAAACGTTGTTCCTTGTTCCAAAATTTCATTTCATCACATCATTCAAATGAACGCAAGCTGTACGAGAGCGTTAAGAACTGCGCATAATCCATATTTGTATTGTATTTATGTTTCAAAAGTTGTATTTTCATTTTTTGCTTTGGTATTAGTTATACGCATGATCAACCAGAAGGTATAGAAGATATGCACTAAGCTTATTTAGCTATATGATGTTTATAGTTTATTATCAAAGATGTTTGGTTGAAGAATGTCAACTGTCGAATTCTAATATATTCACATATGTTCTGGGTTATAGAAATTCCTCTCTCTATCATTCCCATCTTCATTATAACTACTATGAAGTATGGACCATCACCACACGTCCTATCTCAATTATCTATTTTAGGTTTTTTACAAATTTTGAAGATCCATGTGATGCCTTCTATTCATATAAATCTTCCGTTTTCATCAAGATTTTCTATGTTGCTGGCCTTTATACTCAAGTCATTTCCATGTTCTCCATATGTATCGAACGATCAGTGGCAACAATTTTTCTTGAAAAATATGAAAAACTGACAAATCCTTTTTTTGGAATCGTTTTGGCTTTTTTCTCTGTAAGTGCACCAAAGCTATATTACATACATAGAAACGTCATATGATTTCACACGTGCATGAGAGCTCTCACGTCACCTCACCCCCTCCATCTTCTCATTTTTCTGTACTTTTTCATTACTTTGCGTCTGTTTTCAGAACATATCAGGATCTGTTATATGTTTTATCTTTTTAATTATGCCAATACAAGATTGGAACAGAAATACACCAGTATTCTCCTCTGCAGTTGCTGAGACAGCTCTTGCCAATCGGGTTGCATAGTTAATTTAGAAGTTGGGTCTCATTATAACATTCAGACAACAACACTTGTACTATTCGGGATAGAAGCATTGACCATCATCATATTCCTAACAATCCTCTTGAGAAATCGTTTTCATAAAATTCATTTCAAGAAACGAATACCAAACATCGCTAACAAATATCAGGTGGAGAATGAGAGATTAGCATTGTATATTTTTCCTGAAGGTCAAAGAGAATCAAGCTGTGATTGAAAAGCTTCTGCCTATCTGTATAATTCACTTTGTAATCATGGGCATCAACTGCTGTGGCTATGTTTTGATCGCTTATGTCAGATTGTCTTTCTGTTTTCGGCTCACAGTTCACCTTTTGCAGATTATTGATCCTCGTGATACATCATCATTCGCCATATACCTAGAAAGTATCAATCAGGTTTTTCCGTAAAATCAATCATTTTTATTCATTAATTAATCAAGGCTTTTCTCTATTCACTGATTATGCCTATCGTAGTTGAATATATTTCTAAGAAGAGAGCTGTAACATCCAAAATATCTCACGTAGAGCCTGATCAAGACCAATACTTCAACACGTTGAAAGTCTACTTTGATCAGCCGTTGAGGAAGAAATAGAATAGGTGGGCATTGTCTCTTTACTAGACTTTTGATTCAGAGAGAAATAGCAAGAAAAAAAACTCGTAACAATTCCTAATTAGCGATAAATACCAGAAAAGGATCCCATTTGTTATTCTCAGCGCTGATTATATTTTCGAAAACATCGTAAATTACTTTTTAATAAAGTGCTCTAGAACATCAGATACCAAGTCTTGTGCTCCCTCCGCCCGTGGTAGAGAACGCAACAAAAAAAAAGAGAAAAAAATTATCATATGCTCTTGGCTTTCCTATCCTTCATATACTTAATAATCGTCTTCCATTCACAGGTTTTCCACTTCGTTTGCGTCGTTACCAACCAGCTCCTCAAGCTTCTGCGAATATTCACTCGAAATGACATCAGAGAAAAATATTTTAAATTGCAAAATAGCAGAAGAACTGCATGGTGATGTGTATCTCATAACTCTTTATTCTATTAAAATATTTCTATGTATAATTAGCATAATTAGTTTGAGTTTGTTAATATTGTTCAAGGTACGAGCTAGTTTCGTTGTTCTCGAAATCAGATTTGATAGTTTAAGAAATTGTCTTGGATAGGCCACATCAATGGAAAATTGTTATTCATATCTCATATTGTTTGGAGTCTTTTATTGCCCATTTCTGTGATTATTTGTTATTCTTATGATTTACACAGGTATTGCATATACAACTCTTGTTTTTGACTGTCATGCTTCCATCTACTACAGACATTTGACAGTTGTATCAAATTATTGTGATCTCTTAGTACCAATGAGATTTTCAACTCAGCTTAAACTTCCTTTCGTAACTGCCTTGACTGGGCAGATTCTTTCAATGTTATCTTTAGCCATTGAACGAGCATTCTCGATATTTGAACCCTCGAAATATGAGCAAATCACGAAACCATACTTAGCAATTATATTAATTATATCAACGGTGAGACGAATGCAATCTTCAAAAGTTTCAATTTCAATATATGAGTTGCAGATGGTGCTATCATGTTACTTGACATATGGCTTTTTATATTTTAGTTACAAGGATCTGAATGCTCTGACTCCTCTGATCAGTACACGATCATCTGAATCACTGTTTCGATCTGCTGTAATCCTTACTTTTCGAAAACCCTCCCTTAATTAGAGTTCTGAAGATTGTTTCATGGTTCAATTGTGCATCAGAGATTATATTCATTGTTATATTCATTCTATCCTTATATAAATCCTATAGAGATAAAAAATATTTCATGAGACATGGCGCTCAATTGGGATCCAAATACCAGGTTTCATTCATTGCAGCTTTTCTATTCAAACTATTAGTAATTGAAGGTGGAAGAGACTCGACAAGTTATTCATAAACTTCTTCCTATGTGTTTTTTACATTTCATTATATCATTCAGTAACCATTTCTTCTTGGCGATTTATCCATGGGTAAGAAGGGAGTGATGAGAGAAAATGGGGGAGAAAGGGGTGAGAAGAATATAAGTTTTCGAACTGACGTTTATTCAGCTGTACCCTAATGCTAATCTGGGAAAGTATGCCATTTATATTGAAGTCATTAGTCAGGTAATTTCATTTTCATCATTATTGATTAATTGGATTTAATAATTAGTGAATATGTTTCAGAGTCATCTATATTCCTTATTCTTGCCCTTTATACTTCTCTATCAGCTTAAATCACATCATCGAATTCGACAGAACGTTGTTGTTGCCCATCCGAGACAAGATGATTACTTCTATTCGTTAAAAACCTATTTTGATCAGAATTATAAAAAATGAATAAACTATAGTTATGATTCAAAGAATATATCTATTCAAATGTTATGTAACAATAGGATATAAACTGCAGGAGGTCATCCAGACGTGAGATGTGAGAGGAGGTTGACGTGAGAAGGCTTGAAGCTCACGTATTGGACATCGAACGTTCACGTATCTCTCTCGTTATACTAATTAGTATGCAAAGAAGACGAAAAGGGATGTATTCATCAAAGAACTGACGAATTGTCATATTTTCCAATTGAATGAGATCATGAAGTTCTATTTTCGTTCGTAAACTCATTGTTTTAATGAACAAAAACAACAACAAATAAAGGACATTCGAAAAAATTTCCACATAAATTTGAAATTATAAAACAGTCGATTCATTATAAATGAATCAGATTTCATCAAATATTCAAGAGATCATTTCTGAATTTGAAAATTAAGTTGGATTTTGTATTTTATTTTTATTTCTTCTAATTAAAACTTCTTCTGCTGTGTGTGTGTGTGTATGTGTGTGTGCATGTGAGTTGAGACAACATTCTGAAACTTTGGTAAACATTCGCTTGTTTTGTCTTCATCTGCATAAGTTATCTTTTCTGACTATTTTCCTCTTTCTCAGCTTTTTTTTCCAGCTCAACAATGAGCAGAGCAAAAAAAAAACTTTCATGACCTGATTGGCTATTAATGGTTCAGAATAAAGCGGTCGGCTTTTTGCTCATCAGTCACCCGATATTTCCTGAATAAGCTGAAATGCTAATGAAGCTGCTTAAGCGTTGGGAATCTGTGAATTCACACGAATGGATGGTGTTTCTGCTAACTTTTTCTGATTCCACCCCCCTCCCCTCCAAGTCATTCCAAATCATTGTAGTCATGAATTGTATTTGTTAGTCCTTTTTGCTGTTTTTCTTATTTGCCAGAGATTTTGATAATTCGTCCAGCATATAACGCCTCAGGCTATTAAATGTGTACTTCCGTCTGTTTAAGCTGAAATAAGCAGTGTTTCTTAGACAAGAAATGTTGTATAAAAAGCTTAAAGTTTCAATTAAAATTCACTAGACACTTCCGTTTTGTTGACACGAAAACAACCGTTTATTCAAACGGACTAGAACACTTCGTTTCATTACTTCGCACTTAGCGGATGTTGACGAGTGAGATCCCCCACCCCGTAACTTTTGAGAACTTTGTCGCTTTTTGTGATCACAAATGATAAATTTAAATGCTTTCTTCGTAATTTGACGTATCTTATAAACATCGCATCAACATTCACGTGAACATCACGTAAAAAATTTCATTTGACGGCTAGTTGACGTAACGAACGGTTGTGAACATCCTTCCTCTTTCTCTCTCTCACCCTTTCTCTTTCATTTTTTTTCTTTTTCTCTCTCATTGATCCCTCATTGAGTCAGAGTTATTATCTCATTCTGTCTTTTTGCATTTTTTACTATTTTCCTATTATGTTCTTTCTATTAGCTCTTTTTTGCTTTCGGGACAGGACTAATGTCGTATTTCAGCTTCTCTATTATCCAATCGAATTGAACCTTATCGGTTCGCTTGCATAATCTTTGGGAAAGAAGCTTTATGTGGAAGTTCACAATTTGAAGTAACAACTCGAATGTTTATAACATATTTCAATCAAAAAAATAATGAAATATAGCAGCTTTCATGTGATTTCCTTTCGAAATTCTGTTTTTTCTTCCTCGCACAACTCAGCTTCTCGTCTAATTTGAAAGAAAACATGGTTTCTACCTCATTCAGCTTTCATCACAAAAAAAAGGTTAATAGTCTCATTCATCTCTCTCAAGATTTCGGTTAGCTAGTCCTATGATCAATGGCCTCAGTTATTCGGGATTTTTTGAGTTATTCCCCTAACAAAGCTAATTCTAACGACATCTTGTGTTACTTCTTAATCATAAATATGTTTTAAGCTTTTGCTGTGAATAGCTTGGGTTCACAAGCTGCTTTTCCGATAGATTTATCAAATTCAATTTACTTTTCTCCCCAACTATTCTCATTATCTTCTTCTCTGTTTCATTCATTCTCCAGAATAGTTGCTTCTTTCTTCTTCTCTCTTACTCTCTTAGCTTCTATAATTATTATTTTCTCTTTTAATTACTGCTTTATTTAACATTCATTCATCTACCTCACTGAGCTTTTCCAAAGACTGACTGAACTCTTTCAATATTTGTTATTCGCCAAAAAAAGACTCAATTACGCATTTTCTCCTTTTTTCTTCTATACACTCTCCTTCATGTTAACTTTATGAATTTGCATATTGTTAACTTGAAGTTTGAGATGACTCCTCACAACCTCATTCAACCAAAACTATCAATCTATTAGCTCATTTCTCATGAGACAGAGTTGAGAGACGACCTTTTTCTGATCTCCTCCTTTACTTCCTGATTTCCTTGAGGATCTCTTCTTATATCCGGCTAGCCTTCTTTTTCTAAGCATCTTTCCCACACATTTCGATTTCAATGCCTTTTTGTATCGAGCAAATTGTACCGAACACATCGGAAACTTCGAAATAAGTACAAGCATCACATAGTTTTCTTTTAAAAAAATCAGAAACTCAAGTTATTCTTGTCATTTGTGTGAATAACAGAATACTTCTAGACAGGTGAAATGATTAGAATGATAACGGAAGAAAACCAAATATTACATGTATGTAATCGATTTCGTTTAAGTACAATCATTTCCATTTTATGAATTTCCTCTTCTGGTTTGAAATCCATAGTTGTATTTCATTCAAATTTGGGGTGGAGCTTCATCTGCTTTACCCACTGAGGGTTGATTTCTTATTGAATAGGCCCCGTCTTTTTGCGACCTTTCATATTTCCCCTTCTCCTTTCTACTGTCCCTCCCTCGCTCCCACCCTCCCTTCCTCCGTCATCCTTTTTTTCTCCATTCAATCATTGTTGTTCAGAAGTTCTAGAGTGAATCTTAATGTTTTGGCAGTTTAACGTTTCCGACTTTGACAATTCTCTTCTTTCTTTTTTTGCTAAGAAGAATAAGCTTCTCTCCAACTTCTTTGTTTTTTTGCAGCTGGTATGGTGAGCAATGAAAATGTTACGGAGTACATGTTTCCTGAAATGGATTGGTGTTTTGATATTGAAGTATACTATTCAAGTTCGGCCGGTCATCTGGCCGTACCAATGGCTAAGAGTTTCAAAGAATACAAAAACTTCAGGTAGTTTTCAGTTTACACTTTTGAATAGACTAAAGAGCTTTCCAGCTATCGTTATAACGGAGTAATAACTATGACATTGGTGACATTAGGCTTAACCGGCAGTATTTTACTCCTCATACAAGTTTTACTTCTTACTTTACAACTCAACAAATATTTCTTTCAAGATTTATGGTTCTCGTGTATTTTCTAAACGCTTAGCTGTCCATTTGGGAATGATATGCATATGGGATTCATTATATTTATTATCTTGCTTAGGTTGTTATTAATATAATATTGTATGAATTAACATAAATTCAAATTTAGCTACTTATGGAATTCCATCATTCATATATGGAATGCCACCTACATATGGCACAATGGCTTATATACTTTTCATTCTACAGCCATTTGCATCATTTTGTGTGTCATGCACAATCTGGCAGGTTCTGGCAATAGCCGTAGAAAGGTTCAAATTATTTTATATATTTTTATAATTTAATTACGACAGATACTGGGCTGTCACAAAGCCATTAGAACAACGAACTCGTAAAGCCAAATTTGGTGTTTTCTGGATTTGTGCTTGTATTATAATTGGAGCTTCTGTCCTGAATCTTCTACCAATACCATTTGAACGATTTCTAGTTCCTTGTTTTGAGATAAAACCCACAAAACAGTCACGTTACCGTCTTTCAACGCTTCTTAAGCCATACAATAGTACTTCGTCTAGACAATACAAATTCGGTTTGAAAACATTCAGTTTCTGCTTTTATCTTAATTTGCTTCATTCGTTTCAGTCGTTCACTTCCTGCCTGACATCATCTTCAGAGCACCTCTGCCAATCATTATTTTGACTGTTCTAACTATTAAAACTATAATTGTAATATCTTTCTCATTATTAATAGTTATCATCAAATTGCCTTTCTTTTTTCTTTTATAGGTTTGTAATCAACGAACTGTTGGAAATTTGCATATCAATGCCCATATGAAACGAAACATTCCACTTCGTTTATCAGTTTTGTTTTTTTTCTTTTCATTTTCACTTTTTATGTTTTTCAGTTATTAAATTTCAAATTCATATTATGTAATATGCTTTATATGTTTAATACATTACTGCTTGAACTACTGGGTTACGGAGAAACTGTTGAGTAAGTTGTTCTTCATCTTAAATCTCAATCTCATTGCTTATTGCTTCAGAGATCCAGCTGATGGTGATATTGATCGATTTATGAATACTTACTATTTAACGGATGCTTCGAACCTTCTCCTTGTTATTCATAGTACCACAAATTGGTTACTTTTCTATCATTGGCCAAGTTTTAATAAGGTATTAACCTATTTTTAAAATTAATATGCTAATTGATTGAAGCAGAGACAGAGTTTGAAAAGTGTGACGATTACGACTTCCAAAAATTTATTTGTTCGTCCACGCGTAGCTGATTATGTTATAAAGAGTATTTCATCCATACGATCATCTTTAGGAACAGATATTATAATTACGGTAACCCAGAGTCACACATAAGAAACTCAACCAAGAAAAATCGTTTTAAGCTTTGTAATGAATACTCTCAGTTATCAGAAGCTTTCATTGGATCTCAGGAGTTAAGTATAGAACATCCAAACATCAAAATTATTGGTGATCGCGTTGGTTTATTCATAGAACAAGTTCTTCGATGGTAAATATATTTTTGTTTGAAAATATTTCCTTTCTTTTTTCTCTCTATCTCTCTCACGTTGGCTCACACTCTCACCTTCACTATCACTCTCATTCTTCTTTTTTTGAATCATTTTTTTAATTAAAAGTTTCGGAAAAGAAAACACAAATTTTCATTGGAAATGACATGTGATGTCTTATATTCAGGATTTCGAATAAAGGCCGAGGCGACAACATTCGAGAAATGGGACGACGATTGGGAGAAGCTAATTTTTATTCAAATGTACATTTCACTGTGGAAGAATGGAAAGATGTTCGAACTACTGTTGTATCCATCATTGTTAAATACACACTCAGGTATGTTAATATCTCACGTGTTGCATATCATGTGTACATTATTATGCGGAAGTGCCATGCGTTTTTTCGAATTTATTTTTGAGACGGAGGTGCCAGGCTGTTGAAGACGGAATTCGTTATAAAATATTTAAACAAAGCTATTTAAGAGATCAAGGATTCAAATCGATGGGTTGTACTCCATATGAGATTAATGACATGCTAACAAGAGCATTTAACCTTGTATTAAGTGAAATGAGAAATGGAACACTCTGCGCTGCAGTTGAAGCGAATATGAAGGTCTTTATATTTTGATTTTACAAACACATTTTCTATAATAAGTAATTTCAGACATATCGATCTCAATCCCAATGTGAATGGACGTATCCTCGCGAGATTCCACGTAAAACGCGATCTGTATCGTTTGCTCCGAACAAGAAATACAACCAAGAAGAAAGTCCTCCACTCATCACAAGCACTGTCATTTGAATTTTCTGTTCATCACAACCATATAAGAAATGTTTTTTTCTAAATTCCGTTTGGATAAATGGAAGCTGATTAATAAATATTTCTTCATTCGTATAAATAGAATTAAAAAAAACACATCAATACCCATATTCGTAAGTATCACAAATCAAGAAGCTTACAAATGTAACTATGCTCATCTGCTTCTCTTCATTAATATAAAACAAGAGCCTAAGAGGTGAAGCTTAAAAATGATTGTTGTCACATTCAGTGTTGTCAGGACAGAAAGCTCGATTATAAACAAGATAATACCACCAATACCAAATATTCCATGCGAGAAATACAAATGGAAAACCATAACGGCACATCTTATCGATTCGCAAAGCTTGTCTAGAGCATCTTTTTGATATCTGAAAAAGATAATACATCCGTTATTCTAATTACTCTTCAATTAAAAATGGTTAATTAATCGTTTTAGTATAAAAACATAATTTTCATTTCATCACTAGCATGCTCATTTGCATATTTACGTGAATGCGTGAAATTTTAGGTCTGACGTCACGAAAACTGTCTCATTACATTAAAAGTCTAAGGGCAGAGCGGTTGGATACACTCTCTATTTTTCTCTTTTTGTGTATTCTTTTTTCCTTTTCTCACTCTCATTTCTCTTTCTTTGTCAATCAAACCTGTGCATATGTATAGGCTGCTGCTGGATCGACGGATATTTTTCGAGAACCTTGAAAGCCATAGACAACGGATGCACGCATTTTCGGCATCATTTCCCAAATATCATCGTCCGACACTGAATTCACAATGGAACTTATGGAAATATGCTCACAACTCACCTGATTCTTTGCTAGAATCGTCTGCCAACAAAGACTTCTTCAGATCTTTCCATGAAGGCGAAACATTGTCGTAAACAGAACGTGGAGCTGATTCAATAGATTCTCCCATTCCTAGAATGAATAATAAATGAAGGAAATAATAAAACTCGATTCATCATCGAACCTGTGTCTGGAGCTCGCATATCACCATTTACAGGAAATGCAGTTAATTTATATTCCGCTCGTAAATGCTCAGGAAATCGTGGTGATGATTTTATTTTATTTCTCTTTAATACTGAAGAGTTCAAATGAAATAAATGCGATAATAATAGATGCGGGTCTTACAGCGGTAACTTGATGGGGTAACTTCATCTCGAACCGTTTCATCTATATAATTGAAGCCGTTGCTTCTACGTTCATCCAGCATATCATCAAGCTGTGAAGCATCTAATTTTGGGATGTCCATACGATTAGCTCTAGCTAGAAGAATTTCATTTTTGATTTTGTACTTTTTCTTCAAATAAATATATTACTTCGTCGACCTTGAAGAATATTCTGAGCTCGCTTAGCTATTTGATCAAACTTTTCAGCTTTCCTCATATAGCTGTTAATGATCGCAAATTCAAGCAAAGCACAAAATACGAAAAGCATACAAGCTGAAAGAACTTCGTTTAAATAATGAATTATGAATTTATTTCTACCTCCATACCACAAATCAATGGCTTTGGCATAACTGACCTGAGGCAAACCGAATCTTAAGCCGTTTCCCTGAAAATAAATATTATTGTGCTGTCTTTCTTCATAATCTCACCAATGTAGTCAAAGAAACTAAAGTAGTGAAGCTTAAAGTCACTCTGGCTGGTACAGCTGGAAATAACAAACATTTTTTCATTGAAGAATCAAGTTACCTCTTCTATCAATCCAGAATGATACCCACGATATCATTACAATTAAACCCGTCGGAATATAAGACTGAACTAAGTTATAACCAATTGATCTGGCTAAATACATTTTTCCGGCCAAACAACTGAACTCATCTGGAAAGGTAATGTGTGTAATATTTCTTTTTTTAACTAATTTTACCTATCTTAAAAGACCCAGGCATCAATGCGTAGCGATAAGTTCCGTTACAGTATCCTTTTTCTACATTTGTAATTACAAATTCAGGTAAACCAATTTCCGGATTATGACGGATTGGATTACTGCTGAACCAACTGACGTTCATTTGACGAGCAATGTAAGCATCTGAAGAAAAAAATGTATTCATGAGAATTTATATCAAATCTGACAGCTTAAAACTCGTATTGAACAAACTTGGAGATCCATTGGGTAGAACCTGAAAGAAATTATTAAAAAGCGCTCTACTTAGAAAAATGTTGACAACCTTAAATCCAGACTACATGCAACTGTTAGTGTACAGCGACAGGAATAAGCTATAGTTCCATCTGGAGCTATAAACATATTGAAGTTCGGCATAGTGACTTCTTGAAAATGGGCCTCTCTTGCGTTCGCAAAATATAAGTCAGGAAGCCTATAACAATTTTGATTTAAAATTTAAACGAAAAGAATAACTTACCATAACTGCTTCCGTATCTCATCGTCATTAACTAATACGTGGTCAGAGTGATTATGGGAAAGCCGGGGATCCCTCCATGACATATAAACATACAAATCAACATCAAAAGACTGAAATAGTAATCAACACATCAAAAGTTGCTTTCTTCTTATTACCATTTCTGTTGATCGAAAGTTACCAACGCTCTCCAGATACATTCCCAACCGCACGTCCAGCGCAGTTGTCCCATTCTCTGTTGGCGGACGTTTTGATAAATTCTCAAGTAGACTGTCAATCTTAGTTTTTGGAAAAACCAAAGGTAAGATTGAAAATCTGTAAACAAATGAGTAAATAAAGGCGAAGTCAAAAAAATGGAACAAAAAATAATAATAAAAATGAAAACTCACAAGAAGGTGTTGACAGACAGAAGATTCATAATGACATTATGTTTCAATCAATTCAAAGTCCAACAAAGTCCTCACTAGTTTTCAGAGACCTGCAATCCAAAACTTTGTCGCTTTTTTCATTCCAAATTCTAATGATTTTACGCTTTTCCGTTCTTTAAAGTTAGATAAAGTCAAAGTACAAGAAAAAGAAAAAAGAAATGTTCAAGAATTTCATGGATAAACGAAAGAAACGAGAAGAGAGCTCAAATGAGCAGTTCTCATGCCGATTTTGGTGGGCTGAAAAATAAAAAATACAGATGGTATTGTTGAGGTTTCTCACAAATTCCTCTTTGTTATCATTAGCTCTGAAATGATGTGGTTTTCCTAACAAAACGGAGAGATTAGAAGATAGATCTGAGTATTTGATCAGAAAAAGAAACGAAACCGATGAAAATTAATTATATTCTTCTTGTTTTGTCTGTTCAAATGCATATAAACAGCTTGCACATAAAAAAGTTTGGAACTAACGGGAAAAAAACGATGAAAATTAGAAGTTCAAGCGTATGTTCTTCGAATTCCTGTTTTCTATCCTGAATGAGCTGCACCCCATGAGAATGTAGGTGAATGCAACCGCTCACTTCTGAGTTGGAATTCAAAATAAAAGAAAATGTGGTTAATCGACAATGTGATTCACATATCACTTTGCCGAACTCTTATGTAATATTTTAAATAAAAAAGTAAAATTCGTGCAAGATGTGGCCGATTATTGTGCTTTTGGACATGCCAACTTGGGTTTCGAAAATGAATTGAATGCAAGAAGCGTGAATAACGAGGATGAACAAGATGAGCTTACACAACTTTTTTATGTAGAGGAAAAAGTTGTTTAATACAAAAAAAATGGAGAAAACTTGCTTTGATGTGAAGATTATACGAAAAGTCTGACAAATGTCTTGGATGTAGAAACTCATAGAAGGAAAAGGTGCAGTTAGAATGTCAAGGGAAACATTGTCAGACAAAAAAATGCTCGAAGTAGTTTGATGTATAGGGCTGGAACAGAAAAACAGAAAAATTAAAAAAAAAAAGAAGTAAATTCATATGAAAAGTTGGAAAACTCTTAGAAATTCAATGAAGTTGAGTGAAGACACACATACGCACATGTGGTCAAGCCACTTATTCATATTGAGCAGAGAAAAAAAAGATGGAATGGAACAACATTTCGGAAGATTTACAACCTTCACAACACCTTATAAACTAATCGTTCGCTTCGAATAGTCGTTTTCTACACAACGCTTCAAAGAATACTGATGGCTGCACATGCACATCTACGATAAACAAAATATCCAAAATAGCTATATAAGGGGAATTAAGAAATGAATTACTTCCCGAATACATATTGATTCAATCAAGCTTGTAATTTGATGAGTAAGATGTCCTTCAAACACATGTCAAAGTATCCAACAGGAATCAGATGACGTGGAATAAGCTGGAAAACAGAGTTGATCTCGCTCAAGTACATTTAGAAAAAAGGTTATGACTGACAGAATGAGAGGGAGAGAGAATTTAATTTTTATAAAACTCGTAGTAGTCTAACGTTTTCTTGTTTTTGTGACCCGTTTGGGTTCAAAACACGGTACAGGTGAATGTGGGCTCTGTCGGGGGGGATATAACCAATTTTCTTCAAATTTCAATGGGTGCGAACAAGACAAAGTCCATATTTAGGCTATAAGAAAACGTTCAAATAATAGCATTGTAATTTTGAATAGAAAATATCGAAAACAAATAAAAAATATCAATTATTAAAGGAAAAGCTTTTGGAGAAGTTTTCTCTCACTGAAGCGCATAACTACATTTGAATGCAAATCCGAGTTCACGAACCATGCCCTTTGATGGTAAAAGACAACAAAATATGAGACAGTCATAAGAGCATTCATCAATCTTATTGAAAGATAAATTATTTTTCCTGAACATTCTCCTGCTTTATCACATTGTCAAAACGTACACGAATGAAGAGAAAATGAGAAAAAAAGTTAAGCTAAATGTTTTTTGGACTTTGTTTATTGAAGAAAAAAAGAGGAGGTGGAGATGAACATAAAAGGAAATCCGCTTCGAACGAATAGTCGGCGACCGCCATTGCGACTCGTTGTTGTACATCAGCAGATCGTCTGAATCTTTTAGTGTTCACAAGTTGAAAGAAGATGTAGTTCTTCAATGATAACGTTATTCTGAACCATACAATAAAGATGGATATGATTATCAAAGTGCAAATCCTTTTAGACTTGTTACCTTATTTACCTCGAAATGCTCTTCAAAATTGAAGACGCCAATCATGTTTATGAAAGTGTCTTCAAAAGTTAGCTTTGAATGAAACTTTTATTAAGTTTTTTTTCTACATCTGACAAAACAACATCAAGACAATTACATACTAAAGGGATAATAGAATTGAAGGCGGAAGCGGTAGCGATTGGGGTGAGGGTAAGAGATGGTAAATAGGTGTTCTTAAGTAATCGACTCAATAGATTGAACTTTACAATTGTAAAGACCTCTGACAAATCTCATCTTTTGATTATTTTTTCTGACTAGTCGTTTGAAAAAATACGAGAAGATTGAAACTTCTCCAAAAGGGACGTAATCGTTATAAATAGAGGAGAAGTAAGTACAAAACTAAGTCTGGACAATAGTCTGAAAGAAAGTAGCGGAACGGGATGTATGAACGCTGATGGAGACTTCTGATTATGGATAAACAGCAGAAAATTTGGTTTTATCCTCAAAGGAGTTGAGTGACTATTCCAAAACAAACAAATGCATAATCAAATGGAAATTTTTATTTGAAAACAAAGAGATTCATAGGCAAGTGTGAAGATTCTCAACAACGTACATGCGAAAGCTTTGATACATCTCAGCCGCTCGCTCCAAATGACGACTACTGAAAAAATGTATCCGAGATAATGATGGTGTTACAAGTTACACGGAACAGAGTTTCGAGCCTTGTGTAACTAGTAATCACTCTATTCTGTGTAAATTGCCTATGTTCTTTTTCACGTGATTCCCACTCGTAACCATTTCTATCATAAAAACGGGGTATGAACGGTTGGTTTTTATTAGTGTCTCTCTCATCTCCATTCAATCTACTATTTCCAAAATTTTTATTTGAATTTTTTTTGGTCTGCAACCTTACAGATTATGAATAATGGCGAAACTGAAATGAGATATTTTAAAGCTGGAATAAAACAGACTTTGCAGGAGGAGCTCGCAAGATGGGTTGGAAATGAGTCATTTGAAGAAAAAACCCTCAAAAAAAAAAACACGGAACACACAGCAAATGAACTGGCGAAATGAATAGATGGCATGCTCACTCAAACGCTCAGCTTATTTTGCTTGTTCATTGATTATCTCCATGAAATGCCTTCCTGTGATGATTGAATAGAATACACAAGGAACAGTTGTAACACAAGATTGAATTCTAAAGTCTTCTATCAAAATAAATACGGGTAACATCAAATTTTTAACAACAACGGCATGGAAGTTTTAGGGCTCAGATAATCAAAGAATAGATTCGATAGTTTTGCCAAGTACTTCTAGTTGTTCTCTGTACTAAGGACGTTCAAGAAACGATCAAATGTTTGGTGTACCCCCAAGCATTTCACTAAAAAAACATGAAAGCAAGAACGTTTTTCTAAACAAGACTTGTCGCTATAGATAACTCATTAAAGTGACATATGGAAGAAACTGAGTTTAGTTTGGCACGGATATTTTCATTTCATCAACAATGTCGTTGACGGAACTCAATTCTTGGAAGTAATATTGTGACAACTAGTTTCAATAGAAAGTAGACTTTGGTGATTTCTTATCGGTAAGGAAAGAAAAAGGTTCATCATAATCACACCTTACCCTGGAGCACCAGGTACACTAACCCTGTCTTCAGGTATGTTTAATTTATGACTGCATACAGCTAATAAAAAATGCCTAATCTTAGAAGTCAACTTTGAAAAGCTGCAATTTTAATTATTGTGGTAGTTTCGGTTGAAATATTCATTGACGTCTATGAATGTAGAAATTAACAAAGTATGTACAAATAAACATTTGACAACAAAAGTAACAAAAATACCCGGAAAAAACTACTCATCTCTCTGATTAAGCGTTAATCAGTTTTTTGTCGCATTTTACCAATATTCGGACAAACAACTGACGTTGAAACAAAGAGTGCAGGTGATCGTTAACTCGCCTTCCAATTTCAGAAATTCTCTGCCCTCCTTTGCCCACAATGAGCTTGCCTTCTCTCTCTTTCTTACAAACTATTTCAGCTACAATTTGAAGAACCTGAACAAAATTATATATTGAATCTAAGGAAACCTCAGATTACCTCCCCTTCTTCCTTCCACTCCAGTATTTTCGGTTTAAGAGGATAAGCTACATCACTTGGTAAATGATCTAGAAGAGCAGCTCTAAGTGAATCTATGCAGATTTCTTGAGGACTCTTAAATAATAGTACAAAAATATTTCGCCCGTCTATTAGTACCTTGTTAGTAACAGTCATTTCGTCCATAGTCCACTGACGTTTGGCAGAGAGCGATTTTAGATTATCTCTGATCGTATCAACTCCTTCCCCAGTTAACGCAGAAGCTGAAAGAATTTGTTGAGGAACTTAATGTTCACATTACCAAAGAACACAGAATCAAAGTTGCCCCAGCCCCGTATATCCATAAACAGTCGTTTCGTGTCCGAGTATGGAACAGTGTGAGTTGGTTTACTGATAATCTGCCTATATCACCTCGTCATGAAACAAACAAAACAACTGGTTCACCTATACTTTTCCTGCCATTTTGAGTCCATGCACTGAACAATGTCTTCATGTAGCTTTATGTCCTTGTTCGCTGTTCCTAAGCGACCCATCTTCAAATCAGAAAAAATCACAGTTTGCAAAAATTACGCTATCACCTTGATTGGGGTGGTTTTTATAGTCTGTCCACCTACTTTCCCATTCGTTAATATTTTTGTTAATTCTAATAGATGTGTCCTATCTTTGATCAAATCAACCTGTTATAAAGAAATGAGGTAATGAACATTAAAAGAACAATAAACCTTGTTCAATACTAATGATGACGGTATATGAGAATTCCTATGTAAAATATGCATCACTCTATGGTGAATGTAGTCACCCATAGCAGTTGCATCCTAAACTACGTTCTTTTTTTCCTCGCCTTACGCTTGCCTACCTGACAAACAATAATATGCTCAGCCTTAGAAACAGCAATTTCAGGATGTGTTAGGATTTGATCATCCGATCGTCTTTTCATCAGTTTTTTCGCATGTCCTAATCCGACGGTTCCAGGACTATCGACGATGCTTAACTGGACTCCTCCTTCCGTAATAACACATTCTATATTCTTAAAAAGGTGCTTTCGAAAGTTACGCTATGGGACTTCGAAACCGACTTGTTGGGTTGTATCCATTTTGCTACTCACAGCAGATACAGCAGCTCTTACTAACTGATTGGTTAAAAGTGACTTGCCGACATTCGGTGCACCTATCACAGCGACATTCAAGGCACGCTGTAATTAATTAATGAATTCCTAAACTTCATGACTCAATTGAGACCTGATTTGAATACGACCTGTGCACTCGTTTGTACAAATTCCCTAGTGATAATACCAGTTTCATCTTCAGAAAAATATAAATGGATGCATATGAATGTTGTTAACAGATATGATTCAGGCAAAGCCAATCCAAACCGAGAAGAAGGAAAGTTTGAAAATTTATTCTTATTTAGTAGGCGGAAAAATTTCACAACAAAGTATCCATAAAACAAGAAAAACATCACAAAATGTACAAATGAAGAGTAAATAACAATGCATTCGGAAATCGATTACCCTGTTATGAATGGAAACTATATAAAATCTTTGTTTTCTTTTAACTTAGAAATTTGGAAAATATGTACAAAATAAGGCATCCGGGAGCATTTGAGCAAATATACCAAGTAGTTTCCGTAACAAGAAAGAGAATTGAACAAGATTGTCATAAATACATGAGAAAGAAATCACAGAAGAGACGAAGTGATATATATATATATACTCTTTATATTTTCATAGCTTTCTTACCGTACAAGGATACGGAATTCTCATCAGCTATCGCGACCAGACATCTGAAACTCATAGTTCATGTAGAAGTAACTATATACAAACCTCATTTTATGAAAAGATAACACCGATGCATTGCAGAACAAATTATTAGGTGGATATGAATTTACTACACCCATAGGGGACCCTTTTATATCAAAAAGCTTTCCTTCAGTGCGATTACCATTTTTACATATAAGACCAAACATCTGAAGATTATTGAAGTAGTTAATATGTGTAGCGAAATTACCTGAGAATTCTGATGAACATCTGCGTTAATAACTCTATCTACATCAATTTTCAACTCTCTGATTGGGTCAACAAACATTCTGACGTCAAACGTAGCAACTTCTCCGGCTTCCGAAGCGCAAAGCATCAAACAGCTAGAATCTAGCTTAGATCGAACAGTGCAGTGAACTACAGGACTAGTGGTGTCTTCATAACGCATAATTCGAGAAGATCGAGACGGTAGACGCAAATCGTGAACATCTACAGGACCTTTCGAAAAGCCTACAGCGATGAGATCACTGTGACCTAAGTCAGCACTAAGAGCTTTCACAGATCCACATTTTGAATCAACAATCACATCTTGTATTGTTTTCTCGTACTGTGCATCCCAAATTCGAACAACTTTCATATTTCCACTAGCGACAACCCGTCCCTGATCTTGGCACCAACTGAATTATGAATAGATTAATATTTAAAAAGAAGGGAACTCACTCATATCTACAGAAAAACTTCTCATGTTTGTCGACCATATTCCTTATTTGATCTCGGAGTATAGGACTAGAAGTAACAAAGTGTGGTTGAGCTTCCAAATCGTGTGAGTGAATGTTGAACATGGGATCCCAAATCTAAAAATTGGAGCACTTCTGAGAAATATACCAAAGTAACATACTCTAAGTACACCCCGATCTGAACCACATAACAACATTTCTCTAGACATATCGTTAATTACTAGTAATGAAGTGATTGTATCCTTGAATAAGTAAAAAGAAAAATGAGACATGAAAATGAAGAACATACTCTTCCAAAACTATTACCGCCATCAAAAGCGAATTTACGAATTACCGAAATGTTTGAACCGTCGTAGCGAGCTAAAGAGACATTACGGCCATCAGAGCAATAAATAATTTTTCTCAAAGAAGACATGACAAGCTGTCGAACCCGCTTAATGGCCAGAGTACCCAAAGAAGTGTCGCATGGCTGAATGGATACATTGAGTACGATAGATTTAACAAGAAACAATCATGCTACATGAAGGTTCAAGCCAAGCGCTACGAGTAATGCTGGACTCAAACTAATTACGTTGTAGCTTAAGAGCTGAGCAGTTAAAAGCTGTGCTCAGAGACAGATGAGAAGCATTTTTTGATAGAAGCGTTTATAGAAATGAGTTTACCCCTGGTTTCTTGAACTCTTCTATCGCCACTTGTTCAAGCCCTTCTTTTGTGTGGTATGCCCAGTCAGTAGGATTCACGCGAATTAGAAGACGGTCAGCTTCATAATCTTCACATTCATTGGACTGTATCAAAAATCATGGAATCAAGTAATATAACATAGATTTACCTGAACAAAGTCTAGAATTGGCTCGACGAAAACTCTACTGCACCAATCAACAAAATCAGATTGAACGAGAGGTTCTTGGCTACTTGCACTTTTTTTATCTCGAGCAGTCCAGTCTAGTCGCCCAGTCTATAAATTTCGTTGAAAAAATGACAGTAGAGCCTAAACTTACAGTCACACGCTTGGGAGTGAAGCTTTGCGAAGGACGAACCATACTGAGAAGATCTTCCTTAGCCATACGTGCTAAGATATATTTAATATTATGAGAGATGTTTCGAAAACCTCACTTTTATGCTTAGGTGTACCAGCAGCTGAAGTTTTTCTTTGAGGAGGGGCAAGTGGAGTATCACATGAGTCTCTAACAAGACTGGCCGTAGGACTTCCAACTTCGAATACAACATCTAGAAATTTAACAAAGTAACTGATGGAACTTCCAAACAAACTTTTGGCTTCAGCGACCATTGGATGATCATTTTCATTTTTCGAAATAATGTTCGTAACTTGCGTATCTACTTTATTAATTCTATCCACAGCTGCAGATTCTATTTTACGAACTAGAACTTGAGCCATGTTAGCCACCTAAATAGAAATGTTTAGATATAAATTGTTCGCGCAAACTCACTCGTAATGAAGGGTCAACAGCCAATCTCAACAAAGAAAGCCATATTTTCTCCAAAGGCTCATAAAAATTCTTTGTTTCAAGATACCTGATTTGTCTCAAGCATCGATACCTAATTTAAATAGTTTGAACTTCTTATCATTCAGTGATTAAAATACCTTAGCCAGTCATTGATACCAAAGCGTCTGTTATCCGGATCATCGTTCGCTTCGATTTCTTCTAATATAACTTCTTCAAAAAGAAGCTCATTTCTCTTCTGCCAAATAGTCATTCTACTGTAATCAAATACATATCACGATATATTGAAGCTTGAGTTTACCCAGGATCTACTTCGACGGAATTGTACTTCACAAAAGAAGCTATGTCTTGTAGATCACGATGAGGATTCATGTCTCGTGTTCTTAAATCAATGTTTAGTGGTTCCGCGATATTAAGGAGCATAGCAGCGAATCTTTGTTCAAAATCCATTACAAACCACTAAAAAATACTTCCTGACTGTATTAGGGTTATTCATTATACCTGAATCGCAACTACGAGCTCTACGCGAACTAAAACTGAGCCGTCTAATGTACATTTTTGACACAACTCATCACACAGTTCTTGATCAACCTAATTATAAATTATGAAAATAGTGAGGAACGAATAACTAACTGTTGAAGCATGCTCATTATCTTGGGAACTATTTTTAATAAGACACCCTAATGCATAAACAGCTGCTGCACGGACATCAGGAGTAACATCCTCTAATTCTTCCACGACCTGAAATTCTTGAAGTGATTGAAATAGTACTTCTCCCTACCTTATTATATGCCCCAAGACGAATTGCTTGCCATCTAGCTTCGTTAAAATCTGCCCACAACCGACCCAAACCGATCAGTATCCATAGCTTCAAAAGCCGACATTGCTCCTTCTTACACTCTCCTAGTAGCTCAGTGCATAGATTCACATAGCCTTTCTCGGTCAAATTCTCTTGAGCAGTTCTGGAAGCATTCTGTTGAAGTATGATCTTCAAGCAACCAATACCTATAATTATTGTGGAAAAGCATAGCCAAAATAAACGCTGGGACTATTTTTTGTCGGGTTGTGGTTTCAGGGTCGTTCATAATTTGAATGAAATAGTAATACCTGAAAGAAAACAAATCAGCTATAAAAAGAAATAAATTCATCAGACCTAAGTGGAGCTTTCGGTTTATGGTTATCAATTCGCTCATCTCCATTTTCTTTAAACAACTCCGTTTGACAGCTTGGATCAACAGCCAAAATCTAGCATTAATGTTTAAAAACAGACGCAGAATACTACAGTCTACCTTGGCCCATATGAAGCCTAGCCATTGTCTAAGCTCTCTCGAATGACTTTGCAAGAGCTTTTGTACATATGGGAAAATACCAACAGACAACGCATGAACTACAGCCCACTGCCCAAGATCAAGAAATCTACTTAACAATTCTAGTGCTCGTAATCTATGAGCCTGACTCAGAAGAACTTGTAAAACAATTGGTAACTGCATTGGTGGTTTGTGGCGTTCTGAGCCATAGTCCAGCCATACCTACATAAAAAAATACAAGAAAAAACTCTCAATATACTACCTCGAAGGCTCTAAGTTGTTCCACAAAGAACCAGTTGTGCTGTGTTTCGATAGCTTCATCCAGTAAAGCAGAATAATCAGTCAGACCTCAAGTAGCGATTGGATTAAAAAAATTGATCAAGACAAACATACTATCAAGGGGAACAAACAGGCTTCCGGCGAATATAAGGTCAGAAGCTTTACCCCCGACTTTGTGAACATTTTCCACTCTTGAAAGAACTAATCGGTTATACATATGATTAACAGTAAGGTCGAGAATATATTCCCAGGATTCCCAAAGTGGGTGGTCTGAGGTAGATGGGAGAGCAGGAGATGACACAACTCCTAAATAGATAGTTGAAACATTTTTTCTCTCAGTATTCTCACCACAACCGTTCTCCCCCATAATCTTTTCCGCCAAGATAAAACTTCGGAAAAGTGAAGCCAGCAGCAAATCCTTTAAAACAATACTCTTACAGCCTAACAATTGAGCTCACTTGTCTGAACAAACGTTGAAAGTCCTCTTTGGGGAGAGTGCTCCAAGCTATTGTGTCAGTGATAGCTGTGAAAATCCAGTTTAATTCACCTAAGAGAGTTTTTCTATCTCCTATAGTTCCCGGGATTTCTTCTATGAACTTATTGGAAAAATCTTGCCTTCGACCTGTCCGAATTATATACCTGAACCGACGACAATATATTGGATAGTAAATGAGAAATAATACCACAAGAGACTAGTTTGTATGGGAGTTGTGAGACAAGAGGTGAACAAATCTGCTGGTAAGCCGGGGGTCATCGGAAGTCGTTCATTGACACGACAAGCAGCCAGTTGAATACAATTCTGAAGGAGGTAGGTTCAAACAAAAGAAAAAAAACACTACCTGATATTTCGGTCTCTTCTTGAACCTTAAAGCTGCAGCTTGTTCCTCAACATCCATGTTTGAGGTTATGACGGGTAATGGATGGCCGGTAGATTCTTGATGGTTTTGAAACTCTTTGAACCACTCTCTTCAAAGAAACAACTATGTTATAAAGCTACATGAAGTACTTAATTACTTATCGTGATCCTCTGTGAAACGATTAAAAGAATTAATGATAGTTTCCGCAGAAGAACAGTCCCAAACATAAATAGTAGGCCATTCCATCCAGGCTTGTAAGTCGAATATTGAGAGAGGAATATACTAAAAAACAAAACTTTAGAATCTTGAGAACCTCAAAACCTGAGTGAATGTTTTATTAAAAACCCAAATTTCTCCACTTGGGGTTGGCTTTGGCACACCGTGGCCATTGTAATGGAAAAGAACGCGTTCGTCTTTCGCGTTTCTTCGCATGCTCAAGCAAAGTTTTCTGACATCCTCTGCTGTAGGATCAGAAGCTACTTTGTATCTCAACAAAAGTATGTATATATTTAAAATAAGTGAAGTTACCTAGCTCGTGGCTGCCATCGTTCATAGCTTTTCTGAACAGACTGTGTGATTTTTACGATAGCACGGGAAGGATGGCATGCAAAAGGATCAATCCATCCCTCTAAGCGAGCATGGTTCTCAGGTTTAGGGCCCATATCAGGGGGATCAATTCCAATATGAAGACAAAATACTAACGCTACAGAAACTGTTTTCATACGATCTTTCGCATATTTCTTCCTGAATGATCACAAAACCATAAACATAACATGAAGTTCTAATTATAACTTACCATACTTCTTTTTCTTCACTTTCTTCTTTGGCCCCAATAATTTCTTCAGTGTGCCTAGCTTCTTGGAAATAACGTGTAATTAATCTCTCTGGTTTCTAAAACTTAAGATAGGAGTTAAGATAGGTTCAGAAAAGAATATGACCTGTAATACTTCTAATTCACTAGCTACTTTGGCATTACACGATGTTTTCCGTTTTCGCATTTTTCTACTGAAATTGGAAAGATATAATTTCAGAAAAAAAACAGGGATTGCTCCATAATATCAGAAAAACTAAGGACTCCAAAAGTTTCAAATTATTCCAAAAATTCCGTGGTCACGAGCAGACACACTTGTTTCGACCCCCACATTTTCATGCAAACGAGCTTTTCGTGGCAATTCGTTTGCAGCCCCGTGTAGTTCCCATTGCTGTATCCATTCAGATTCACTTCGTTATTTTAATATTTAGATTTTTTGAATGAGAATTCGAAGATCTCCTTCTGGTGGATCAATGGAACACGATACTAGATTATTAATTGAAGAACGTCTACCTTCTGCTCCCTTCCTTCACAATCGTTCCACTAAGAGGTTTTTGGGGAGGCATAGTCAAGTAACTGACACTACGCGTATACTTCTAAACTTTCACTAATTCAGGCTATTACTCTTGTTCTGTTATTTGTATTAGCCTTATCTTTTTTCAAACTTCAGTTTCATCTTAGGGAGCTAGAGACCCTCACTGGTGGACCCTACAGATCGGAACCATTGAGTGAACCTGAAGTGACATTTCTTCCATTTTTTTCATCTCATTCTTCTTCTCAGGTTAGGGTCGATGGAACCAAAGTCTTTAAAATAGGTGTTGTTACGGATTTGGATCAGGACAGTAAAAAAGGTGACAAGTGGCACAGCATTATGAAAACTGGCACTTTCTCTGTATGCATTGATAAATTTTCACGTTGTAACGATTGTTTTCAGTTCAAACAAGAAACGAAAGATGCTCGAGTGCAATGGAAGTCCCCTGCTGATGATATCGTTCTAACTACTGAAATTGCGGCAGGCGGGCGAGCCATGGAACTCTCGGATTTGGTAGTTTTTAACCACCGTTTGCTGACCATTGATGACCGCACTGGCCTCATATATGAAGTTTTCAAGAAATAATTACTTTTCTCATTCTTTCTTAAAGATCTCGGAGAATGCTGCTGTTCCTTGGGTTTTTTTGAATGATGGTCCTGGTCATCAAACGAAGCCTATCAAGGTATGTTTGTTGACTCATATTTAACATTAAAGTGAAACTCTTTTTGCAGGGTGAATGGATGACTGTGAAAGACGATGAGTTGTGGATTGGCGGTCTTGGCAAGGAATGGACGAATAAGGAAGGAGTATATATCAACGATCATCCAATGTGGGTTAAGGTTGTTGACCGAACTGGCCGTGTGCGTCATATCAACTGGGCTGATAACTACAGGAAGGTGAGTGTTTTCGCTGTTTTCTTGTTATCTTTTTTCTCCTAAAGGTACGAGAAGAGTGTGGAATCTTACCACCTGGTTATATGGTTCATGAATCTGTTCAATGGAGTAGTGTTCACAAGTTTGTAGTAGTGTGTATATTTACTATTTTTCGCATCTTAGGAAATGGTTCTTCCTTCCTCGAAGAGCTTCTGTCAAGTCTTATAATGATCAACTTGATGAACAACGTGGAACAAACATGCTAATTAGTGCCGATGAGTACTTCGTATGAATTCTCCGATGATAAAAAAAAGATATGGTCTACATTCAGAAAGATATATCGATGATCCGCGTTGGACCCGGCACTTACGAAGGTACAAAAGGGTTCAGTGCTTTCCAGTTTGTACCAGGTACCCAAGATGAATACATCATTGCATTAAAAAGCGAGGAGATTGTAAGTTATTTGCTTTTCCTTCATAACAAAATCGACGCTTTTGAAGGGAGGACGCCCAGCAGCAAGTCATATCACTGTTTTCGATATAAGCGGAACTGTAATCATGAACGATACTACTCTGCCGGGATCTCACAAATTTGAAGGATTAGCTTTTATTTGAATGTTCAATTTATTCTAGGGCGTTATAATTCATGATATCGATTAATATGGGTTTTAGAAAGTCTTTTATGATCAAGTATTCGAATGACCATGGTGAAATCTAAATTCTGTGATATTTAATATTGCCAAACTAACTGTTTAATTTTTACTAATGTTTGGGAGCTCTTATTTTATTTACTTTTCATACGTTTTACTCACTCTTTTTCTTTTATTCATGATATTTTATCTGGGAAATTAATAAAAAAAACATTTTACAGAGAATGGATCACAGCTTGCACCACGGTCATGCGCCATCCTCGGACGGGTCCAATCTGGCCGCCTCTGTGGATGCTTTCTTAAGCTCTTTGGATGAGTCTACTCAAGCCGCTCATGATCATCATGCTCATCACCGTTAGTCTTACTTTGTCAATTGTAATATTTTTGCATGATTCAGAAGGAATGGATCACAGTGCACATGCTGGGCATATGATGAAGATGTGGTTTCACGGCGGTTGTGAAGAAGTAATATTATTCGATTTCTGGAGAACCGAGTCTTGCATGGGTATATTTGCTATTATCCTTTGTTTGCTGAAGGCTCAATTTAGGAATATTTTGGTCATGCATAGCCATTTTCATTATGGGGGCTGCATATGAAGGTTTGAAATGGTTCCGTGTCTACATGCAACTGAAACAAGCAGCTAACGGGAAAATACAAAAAGAACCTGCTGTACAACTATCGGAAATTGAAAAAGTTTGACGTGTCAATCAAGTTTTATTGAAAATTTTCCTTAAGGCCCCATTGCAACATAAACATTGCTCTCAAGAAGATGTCTACAATCCAACCACGACACCACCTAGCAGAAGAGTGACACTGAGCAGATCCAGGTGACTCAAGAGTTCGAAAGCATTCAAAACATCAAGTTTTCTAGCCCATTCTGTTCTTCTGGAGCTTTCTCTGTAGATCGTATCTTAGAAGCAGTCCTGTATATTACTCAGCTTGTACTTGCCTACTGGTTAATGCTTATCGTTATGACTTACAATACATACTTAAGTAAGACGATAGCTCTTTTCTCATGATAATGATTGATTTTCTTAAGCTGCTGCTGTTATATTGGGAGCCGGCTTTGGTCATTGGCTGTTCGCAGTACTTAAACTGAACAGTCCGTTAGGAGAGACAGCAGACTCGTTTGCAACTGACGCATGTCATTAGAACTCTTTCACCTCAAAATCTCTATTTTCCAAGTTTTTCATGAAGGAAAATGGTATAATATCTCTTCCCCAGCAAATCTCCTTGGTTATCTTATCAGGCATTTAGAGATTATTTCATGCTTTCTTTAAAGCTTTTTTCAAAGTTATAGATCTTGTTAATTGTTTATTATATTTCTACACCAGAGCTTCTTTTAATAGTTAGACGATAGTCGGATACCCAAACTTCTGAATCTCGAACTATACTATACTGTTCCTCATATCATATCAAACGATATGTTCTTAGGTTTTCCTTGTTTTCATCTTTAATAAAAAATTATTTATCTTCAATGTCTCTTAATCTTTATCTAGTCTAGTTGGCGACTGCTTTATCCAAATTCTCAGTCACAACAGCGAAAATGCTGTCGACGCTTCCTTCAGCGTTGATCTAAATGACAAATTATTGCTTCCTTTTCCGGAATCACTACGAAAACCTTAACAAGTTTTCCTTTTTTCTCATAATAATCAACAACTGGAGCTGTGGCTGTTGTGAAAGTATGGAGCCTCTTCTTGATGGTTTCGGAGTTATCGTCAGCTCGTCCACTGCAATGATAAAGTTCATACCCAAATATTAACCGATAGATTGTTTTCAATGAAGTACAAAGATGTTCGCGTGCAATCAGTGAGTCCTAATGATAAAATGTTCACCTGGTTTCCGCTCTCTTCAAAAGGCGCTTCACCAGAGTTTCCTCCTCAACGTCAAAGAAAAGTACAAGTTTAGCGTCTTGGATCTGAAGAGTTTCATTTCTGATATTATCATGATTATTCCGAACCTCGCTTTCGAATTGTTCGCCTTGGCTCACTTCACGTGGGTATCCATCGATAAGGAATCCTTTGCTGCCTTTCTCAACAGCTTTGAGCATGGCCTCCTTGATCAAATCCAACACAACTTCCTAGAAATTCGGGTGAAGCTTACGGGAAATTTTTTTACAACACGTTTAATTTCAATAGGGTTTCCATAAACTAACCAGAGGTACTAATTGTCCTGCTTCCATAATTTGGGTCAATTGAGAGCCACGGGAAGATCCAGATTTCACTTCATCTCTATAATTCGAATTATTACATTTTATAGAGCGGATAACTGAATAGTATTAATCATGGGATGAATAATACCTCAAAAGATCTCCAGATGACAAATGGCTCAACCCATATTTGGCAACAATTTTCTCGCATTGAGTTCCTTTTCCTGAACCTGGTCCACCAACAATGAAGAAAATCGGAACATTGGCTTGTTTCAATTGTGTTAAATCAATGTTTTTCCTATCAATGGGAGCCTAATGTATGTATATCATGAATGATTGAGTATTAGGGTTACCTACCATTTCGTGGAATTTTCAGAGTATTTTCCGCTGAAGCCTGAAATAAAATAACTGAATAATTGGAAAAGAAGAAGGGAGTAAGCTTCAAGAGTGACAGTTCTTGGGATCAACTAATGGATGTATTGACTTGCGGAACTACGCAGGTCACTTGTTAGACAAGCAAACCTACACTCAACGTGCGTCCAAAAAAAACTATGAATTTCACGTAAGAGCAGTTTGACGTGACTTTTTCAATTTTACAGCTTTCATTTTCATTTGAGCAGGCGGACCAGCCGGTTGTGCATGAGTGTAATAGCATCCCTCGAAATTACGAAAGGTAATTATGATCACTTTTATTCGACAGAACTAGAAACTGAGTATCACATGCAATCATAATTACCCTTGTTCACAATGATCGCATTGTTGCAATTAACTTATTCAAACAGAGTTAAAGAATATAGGTAGTCTAAACGTAAATAAATATTTATATAAAGCGGAGATAGACACTGAGAGATCAACAGCTGTAAAGATTGATGCTACATGCTCTCGAACTGATTAGTGTGAATTGAAAGCGGTGAAAAAAGGAGATGTATTAAAAATAAAAAGTTGTTTATACAGTTTGAGTGGTTTTTAGTTAGGCACAAAGAGCATCGTTTGAAGAAGAAGAACGGAAATTCCGATCGATCCAATAACAGAACGTAAACCTGATAGAGAACTAAATATTCATGAGTAATCCAATGAAATTACATTTAGAATCGATCAAAAAAGAATGAGATTGTTATAAAGGTATTGATTTCATTTGATTCCAAAAAAAATTGATATAGAACGAGAAAGTTGAACAGGAGTAGACAAGATGAAGATGGTTGAGTTGAAGGCTGATTCAAAGCTATGTAATATCATTGAACAGCTTTTTCATAGCAGTTCTTGCCACAGACACTCAAACTATGCCAGAGAGCATAGAAAAAAGAAAAAGTTTAAACTCTAACAAATGGATGAATGATGAGAGAAGAAAATAAGAGCAGTTACTTGCTAGTTGGAGAATTCTCAAGTTGAAAAGCTCATTCACTTCATTTTTAGGAAGAAGATTGGAATTGAGGATGAAATTGAAAACAGCAAACTGCGGGCAAGTCTTGTGGCAAACTCTCATTTCGTGACGATAGCTTAATAGCGAAAGAAGCTAGCTAACTTCGTGTGTGCGTGCTTTTTGTTGATTTTGAACGTAATAGCGACTAGTAAGGCATGTAACCATAGGGTTGTCCAGTGCGCTTTATACAACATGTCTGAAAGGGTTTGATGTTAGAAATCAATAGCTAAGCAGACATGCACCCGGTTGGGCTCAGCCGAAAAGGATATGTGCGAGTAATAGCTACATCAATAACATTTTATAAGTAATGAAACAAATGTTGTTTATTCTCGATTAAGGAATTTGAAAGGCATTACGAAACAGACTCGTATAAAAAGATAGAATACTGCGAAATACAAAAAGAACATGATAGCCATGTCATGAAGAAGGTATAATGTAAAACTGAGAGCGGAGAGTTTCCAAACAACTCATAAACCTGAGCAAATTATAAGGAAATAGGACTGTACTTAGAGATATGACAGTTGTCAACCTTATTATAACAACATATTACAAAATGAATATTATAGAGACCATGAATTGAGAAAAGGCAACACATATACAAACCTATCAAACTAAACGAATTTTAATGCAAATTTTATGGAATAATTGAAAAGTGAAAATATATTCATAAACTCTCCGCTCGTTATGATGTCTGAGACTTAAACTTCAGTAGGACTGCTTCTGGACTCCTTTGGAGAAGAAGACTTGCGGTCACCCACTCTGAGTGTGGCACCATCGATGAAGTCCTCCATCGTTGGGGCATTTTCGAAAGCTTTGTTCACAATGTTTGGATAATAAGGTTGCTGAGAATTATTGTAATCATTAATCATTAAACGTCTTGAATATCATACCTTATTCTCCGGATAGTGATAATGGGGAGGACGCATATACTTCTCAAGTAGTGGAGAATTTGGATGCTTCTCTATGGAGTCGTCAGAAAAACTCTGAAAAAAATAACAATAGAATCTCAAAAATAAGTAAGAGAAAAATAACTACGTCTACCCATTGATCAACTACTTTGACCATTGGCTTTACGTACTTTATAGTCAGGTCCCACCTCCTGGGTAGTATATAAATCAAGAAGTTTGTTGGTCAGCTCAAAAGCCACTCGTCCACCTGCATGCTCTTTCAAGAACTGAATGAGAAGAACACCATCAGGGTGTAGGCATTCGGCAACAAAACGGTCAACATCACGTTTGCGGTACATTGTTCCTTTCTGAGGTATTGGATTAACACCAGAATAAGGCACTGAGGCCACAAGTACCTTTCTGCGCGAATTCATCTTGATGACAACAAGTCTGGCTCTTAAGCTTGGAACCATCATCGTGACCACATAGTAGAAGAAGTTGATGAGGGTGGCAGCCAAGAGAATTAAAAACCAGAAATAAAGAAGAAGATAAAGCTTTTCATTAATCATGTTCATCATGATCACACATTGTACAGTGTGGTTTTGCTTATTTCCAAGACGACGAATCTGTATGGATTTCGTGAAATACTAATCTGATTGAGAAAAATTGTTACCGTGAAATCACACATAATAACACGTGGGAAAACAGAAGACTCAGCCCATTCGTTTCCTTGAAGGATATTGGCAGCGACCTGTAAGATGCTTATTGACAGATCGTATACAAGATAAGGCAAATACCTGGTAACCCCAATGGAGATAATCCTCACCCAGAAAGTGATTCAACATAACGATTTGCATAAAGATGTTACAGACGTAGCTAGCCTTTACCAGAAGATACAAGTACATAGCGTTATATCCACTCCTTGGGCTTGTTTTGAGCTATACTTATTGATATTACCTCCATATTGAACTAGTAACTTACAGCTCTGTGGTAATCAGCAGTTCCAAACACGGAAACAGTGTCCATGAAATAGTTTGCTAAACTACTAATCTCTTTGTCTCTTTGCTCTCCGGTCATATCCTTGATTTTATCGGCTTCAGAGAGGAATGCTCTGGGATTAATTGCTAAGAATAATTTCACTTTTGTTTATCCTGTCGCGATATCTACTATACCTGTTTGCTCATGGAGAACATTCCAAATGCAATTGGGTAGATAGAAAAACACAGCCTATAATGAAAAAAATCAAGATTAATCATATATTCAATGATACCTGAATTGCAAGCATTATGGGAACCCATCTATAGTAACTGATTTGGTCGACTCTTTCAGAATGGTCGGGCATGTTCTCCTGCTCGAAAGGAACATGATAAGAGTTAGCAATGAAACAATAATCTTCAGCATATTTTTCCCAGCCTCCTAAAGATGAATAATAAGTGTGAAAAATTACAGCTTGAAATTACCTTTGAATTCGTTTGGAACCCAACATTGGATAGGGGATCCGAAGTATTGCTTAGCCGAAATGGCTAAAGAGAAAAACGCTAGCATCATAGTCGTAACATAGTAATTGAGATAGTCTACTGAATCGGCAACCTGAAGAAGCCAATGTTCATTCATTATCATACAAAATAACTACATACCTCTTGCCTTTTCACAGTATTTATAAATTTGTTCAAAAATGGTACAGACAACATAGTTGCCTACCACTTTGAGGCAGTTCTGAAATATTTTGTTTGAGGCAGAAAACTGGAGAACTCAGAAACAAAGGTAAGACACACAAGTCCTAGACCAACAGATATGCGATGACCCGAGACGAGCAAACATAATAAACATAAATACAAATGAAGAAACAATCATATATGGAATAGAACAATGTATAAGCATTTCTCAGATATCTGAAGTCTTTGTCTTCAATTAATAAAGCAAACTAAAAGCTTATAGCAAATGAAAGAGAAACTAGCTGAGAATTGAATTAATCGACTTAGATCAACACTTTCGTATCGTTTGGTTTTTTTTGTTTCATCGCAAATCAAAAAATGCGCGAACGGAACAATGTCGTCGACTAAAATGACTCAACTATATCCTTACTGGATAAAAGTTACTGTCAAGTCGAAATTTCCTACTGGAACTGAATGGTAGCTCGTAGAAGAAGTTTAATTAAACCAATTAAAGTGAAATGAAAATGAAATGATGAAAAGGTAATTAGACATTTCGAAAAAAACTCTGGACCAAACTACCAGTTCGAACTACAGGAGAAAAAAAAAGAAATTTTGAATAGTGAAAGTACAAAAAAAGTTGGCGACCTGCCACGACTAAAATGAACAACAAACTGAGGAACGCGAGACCATATGTGCCGAGAAGGAGGTGGCGACCCAGAACTCCTCCTTCGAGAATGACCTGGGAACTCCATGTTGCCTAAAGTATTAAGACGAGAAATTATCTTCACTTTTGATACGAACTGATCTACCAACGAATAAGGATGTTTAGCTAGAATGACTATGATTAGAATTTTGCGTACTCTAAGTGACAAGTGAAGAAGCAAGAAATAAAGTGTCGGTTGCATCTTATAACTTTTAAGAGGTGCTTGAAGAGATCGCTAACATCTATTTTGATTTAAAAGATTACGAACACCACTGCGAAAACTTAATATCGCGAAAACACAGAGCATTGAACATCCAATAAGAGGCCGCCAGAAACGGTCAGCATACGTGCCAATGAGAAAAAACCACTGTTTAGCATTCTTAGGAGGGTCATCTACACAAAAACTAGGACGTTGCGTCATTGTTCTGAACCCCATGGCATAGTACCCTATAAGTGGAATATTAGAAATAACAGGGTCTGTATGATATCTAAGAACCTTTCTCAGATACAAATTATTCCAGCAATTGTGAATATAAGTTGTCGGCAAATTTTAGTGAGTTGAGTTTTTCGAGATTGAGTTATATGACCTATAATATGAGCAGAGGAAAGACCCTTTCTTCATCACCGTCATACTTTTCGCGATCTGTCTCTGGGTCTTATATCTATTTGACATTAAGGGGTTATTTGTTTTCTTAAGTATCGAGATTGGGGTCGTTTGACGCTATCAGACTTACGATTCTGCTCATCAGGCAAGTTTCCCTCTATAATTCGCATATAATTCGCAAATTCGGAGCAACCGTCAACCACCCGCAAGACGGAATTAAAAATTCAAAATGAAGGACGACGCGCGAAGTTCCTACGTTCACGTATATGTTAATTTCCTGGGGACCGTTTACGTTTTCTTATTTGAACAACCTTCAACTGAAAAACATTTCAAACATCTTTTTTACGAGAAGTTTTATTTCGAGATAAGAGTTGTATCATTATGTTTCTGTTTATTTGTCCTAATGGATAAGGTAAACAGTTCAATATACACTCATACATGAAAGTTCCATCACGTTGTCACCAGCTGGAAGTTTATACTGTTTCTCTTCCTCTCCATCTAAAATTGTATCGGAACATATAAGAGGAACTGGAGGTATTTGCATCGGCGTCATATTTCCCACAGTCTGAAACAGCTGTGATACTGAGAAATAACACTATAAACTCACCAAGGCGTATGGAGATGTTCCCAATGGACAGATAAATGTTAAGGTACGCACCCACATCATATCTAGAATACGTGAGAGGGAATGGAAAAATAATTCATCGTGATCATACCTATTTGAACTCTTAACTCGTCGACTTGCGCTTCTGTTGAAGAAGCACACGTCATTCTAACTGTACCTGTCAAGCAATCATTTTTATACGGATTGATGCATTGTCCTCCAGTGTCTATAAAATCCATTGGTAACTCAAATGGGTTCTATAAAATAATACTCTTTAAACCTTCTATGTTCTCCTCACCTACACCATTATCATCATTCTCATTACCTCCATCGCTACCGCTCCCCTCTTCATCTGAATTGTTACGATTAGTACCAGGGTTTTTGTCGATATTAGTTATGTTTCTTCGTGGTCGTCGATTTTCTTCTTGTGATTTAAACTTCTTACTACTCCGTGAAGCATTTTCTATTAATAATAACAAGTTATAATTCAAATGTATGTACCTTCTGGACTCCAAGCTGACTCAGGACTTGTAGTTGGAATGCAGCATAAAACAAGTTGAAACAGAGATAATAAGAATAGAAGTTCAAATACTTCCATCAGTAAGAAAGTTGTAAGAGTAATGAAGATTTGTTTGTTTTGCAAAAGTCATAACCTCTTTTCTTCTATCAATTAAACAGTCAACAGTTTTCTGAGCTATAAACTAATTCTCACGCGTATAAAAGCTATCAAACATGGTGTGAGTCAGAAAACTTTTATCGGTCGAGTAAGATTGGAACAACATGAGTTTACTGTAAACAAGCGAGTGTTTACGAGAAAGTCAAGATTTAAGCCTACGTACAGACGTTAACAGTTTCTCCCAAGTTGCCGGGAAAAAAAACATCTGGTTCATAGATGAGTTGACTCAACAACAAGCTTGAATAAAATTTTATTACCTATACTTCTATTATATAAAATCTGACTAGAAAAGAGTGAAACGTTCTCCTGACCCAACTTCTAAGCCTTTCTCTATAGTTTTGGATGATATCTTATTGTTGTACACGAATTTTGGCGTATTTCCAAAAACCCATTTCCATTCTCTCAGGACTTGGTAGTTGCGAACAATATCTTCATGTTCCATCATTTCAGATTCGATGTCTACATCTTGTACAGTACAGAGCTAGATATTGATTTGATATCAGGAATGGTCTTGAATTTAAAACCTCGAATTTTTCCTTGAAAGCCTGAATTATCGTGCTCCTCACATTTTCCACGTTCACATTCTCATCATCTTGCTTCAAAAATCCTACTGCGGGTGCTCTAACACTTTGCGTTGCATTCGATTCAATAAAATTCTAAAGTTCAGTTTAGATATATCAAATACAGAGCACATACTTTATAAGGAGAATGTAAAGCTCGTTTGAGCCTCTCTAAGTCAGCTTGAATTAGGAGTGTCAAATGGTGATAAGCTTTCCCTTGTGATATACGTGCAGCTGTCCCCGAACACTTTCTGTTTCCTGGTAAAAGCTCCATATCATCTCTTTTGTTTGGTACAATCTATGAAAGCTTTGCATCGAATGTGTGATGAAAAAAAGTTCTTTACATTGACTTCATACTGCTTGTTTAAACTATCAGATATGAAAGACAAGTTTCGTGGACGACAGTGATCGCTGTGCGATGTGAGTATTGATATGTTCAAATTGCCTAATAAAACCATCATATCTCAAAATCGGTGAAAGCTAACCCAGGTCGTGATAAACTGTTCCTCCTCCACTATGCCTGCGTACCAAATCAATGCCTTGTTCGCGAACATAAGGAACATTAACTTCAACCCATGGATTTTGATGCCGTCCAATGACAACTGCGGGTTTGTTGCTACAAAAACGTGGCTATGTATAAAATTTGGTACTGTCACACCTCCAAACAATCATAGCATCGCCTTCTTTAGTAAGATCATGCTTCCGAAAGAGAAATTCTTCGAAAGCCAAGTTTTGATATATACATTTTGAATGTGAAATGTAAATTTTGGCTAGTCTTTTCAAGGCAGTGTCACACATGGTTCCTCAAGCGTTGGTTGAAATAGGTTTGGTATTGAAAAACGAAAAAAAAGGTTTAGATACCTCTAAATAGTAGCACTAAGAAGATTATTATACGTTTATTTACATTCGGAGACAACAAGAACAGAAATGTTAACTTATAAATAGATGAAACGATTGAGATCTCGAGCACTCAGGCTATTTCTCCAAGATAGATCATTTTATCACTCGACGCAGATAACACTGAAAAAAAAATTTTTTAGTTCAAAAACAAAAATTAACGTACATATGGGTTCGTTTGGGTGGAAATCAGTTGCATTGACTGATCCCAAATGTCCAGGAAGTTTGAATACAAGATTCTTCGAGTTAACTTCCCAAACATAAACAAAGCGATCACTAGAGCCAGCAGATACACGTCTACCATCTGGAGACCAGGAACATTTGAGAAGATTCTAAAATTATATGTGCAACTATCTAGTAGACTCAATCACCTTCTCAAAGTTATGCTGATGAGCATAATATGTTTGTACTAAACGGTTGGTACCTTGAACAAATGGACGCACATCCCACTGCTTCACTAAAACAAAATACCGAGCCATCACAAGACATTCATCTTCCTTACATGAACAATCCATCGAGTTCGTTAACAAAAAGTTACCATTTGGACTGAGAGACATTCCAGTGACAGTGTCTCCATGTCCTCTCAAGACATAGGAGATGTCATCTCGTCTCAAATCCCAAACTTTTATATCATTGTCAATTCCAGCACAGAAGACTAGCTCCGCTGTGTCATTAAAGGAAACAGAAGTTTGTTGGAACTTGTTCTCATAATTTTTGATAGGAAGTCGTTGTCGAACATCATGAATCTGTAAGAACTATATGAGTTTCTATCAAGGCTCCTGCGTAACTTTAACACTGCCATCATCACTTGCTGAAGAAACTAATGTGGGACCCCTTCTGGCAGGATGACAGGAGTTCACTATATCATCATGACTTTTAAATTTTCTTTGACATGCTCCTGTTTCCATGTCCCAAACACGTAGAGTCCGATCGGTGCCACAAGTGAATAGAAGACTGAAACGAAAGATGATAAGAATGTTTTGCAAATATGCAAAACCTTGAGTCAGTATTGAAGTTAAGATCCATAACAGCTCCATTATGACCTTTGAGAATAGCGAAATTCTCACAATCGCCATATACATTCCATAAAAATATCTTAAGTATCAAACATATATAATAACAAGAGATCAAACAAACCGTTTGATCAAATCCAGCTGAAGCCAAGCAGGTTCCATCAGAGCTAAATTTGGAAGTATATATTTCTCCTTGATGACCTTGCAGTAACATAATCGGAGCCTGTAAATTAATTTTTGTCATACATCTAATTGCTCATCATACCTGAAGATTCGATAATCTGTTGTTTTCATGAGTGAAATCATCGAACTTTCCTCGCTTGGCTGAAAAATGAAAGCATACTCTTGAATTTTCTTTGAAATAAAGAATTACCGAGTGCGAATTCAGGAGCAGCAGGTCTTTTAAAAGTATCGAGAGCCATAATGTGCTGGAAAGAAACATTAACAAAGTTTGGAAAAGTTTAGAAAATAAAAGGTAATAGAACCTCAAATGATTGATAACAGAACAAATTGAAACTTCGCAAATATTTTACAATTATAGTCAATAAATAATGAGATCACTGTAACTCCAGCTGGGGTCTTAGGAGTTTAGCCTTCACTTCATTAGTTGCAGAAAAACCAGTACCTGTAACATATTAAAATTTGAAAGATCATTTAGTATTTAACGAGTTTTGAAAAACCATTTAAATCGCTTCTAGATAGGCATAATGAACTTAGCGTTTTCAAAGGACGCGAAAATTCGCATTGGGGCGCGCTATCATAACGTGCGATTGTGAAAGCCTTACCTCCTCGTTGGAGTTCAATGATATCTTTCTGGGTTATCTTCTTGCCTGATACGGGATCAATCCAATCTTTCTTGATGAGCTTCTCAACAACACTGTATGCAACAACTGCTTTGCTAGAACAAAAACTTGAAAAATGAAAGTGAACGAAAAGTCTAACGATGGTTTCAAATAAGCGCAACGTGAAGTGTTAGTGAACACGTCGTATGTTACAGGACACATATAGCGATCCTAAAGCACTTATAATGGATATCATCCGAACAAGAATACCTTTTTGGGGCCAGATCCATCTTTATCTTCAGGAACTTTAGTGAATTTAACTTCCATTAAATCTTTCATTCTGATTGGTTTCTCCGAAATTGGACAGAGCACCTTCTGACTCTGAACAAATTATTCAATATTCATTTAAGCTATCATCTCTCTAACAGGTTTCTCTAATTTCGTCGCGTTCGCAGTAGGGTTCAATTCTGGTATCCAGAAGCTCGGAAGTTTGCTGCTCATGTCACCTTTCATATTTGATATTTCTCCCTCTTTACCGTGGGCTTTCACCTTGGCTTCAGGTTCATTAACTAGAGTTGTACTCGGGCGTTTCTAAAAACGAGGAATAAACTGAGTAATACGCGTTTTCCTACGAGTGCCGACACCCCAGTTATGCTGGTTCCTTCAGATATAGCGAATTTCTTAACTTTTTCCTCATGAGCGGCTTCGGTTGCCTAAAAATGGAAAGTCAAGGCTGCTCAGCTAGGATTTGCAACCTGCTCCTCCACAGTTTTCATTTGATCACATTGCTTCTCCCATTCTTTAGTTTTTTTAGCTATAGCTTTTGTTTGAGCGAGGATATATTCTAGAATTGCTTCTCGATCAAATAAATATCCATTCGGAGTTATCACGGGATCCCTAAGAACCGAACAACTAAAACACTTATTTTTTCACATACTTGCACGGTTGTAGGGTTAACGAGCAGCAGTCAAACTCCTTAATTGAGTCAGCTCCTAATCGTGCATGTAGAGTTCCGTACCCACTGACTTTGGCATCTCTATGCCTTTCGTGATAAGAATAAACAGCAGAAGCTGTACAATTTTTTCCATGTCGGGTCATCGGCTTAATATTTCAATTATTTTTTCCGGTGCTCACAATCTTATGTAACAACTTGGCAACACAACCAACAATTGAAAACGAGAATTATATAACAATTTTTATTCAAAAGCAACAATAACCCATAACAATTATTAATCATGGGCATTTACTTTGCTTTCTTAGCACGAATCTTGCGAAGGTAGAATTCTAATTCCTTTCCTTCCAGGATGTATCCATTGGCCATACCATGTTGTCCTGGTCGGGATGAAATTCTAGCTAAAAAATGCAGAACGTGGAACTAGATTCTTAAGTATGTGGATTTACCAAGAATTCTTCCAGATTGGAATTGCTCAACAAGAAGAGGGTCGACGGCGGCTCTCTTTTGGCGCTCTTCGTACTTGGCTTGACTCTTCTTGGATCTGAAAAAAAACATGAACAATTTTATGAATACAGGAACTCTAACCTTGTCTTGTTGAACAAAGCGGCATCTTCCTCGCTCAACTTGACTCCCTTCTTTCTTCCCAAAGGTACGGCATAGTAGCTTTCATACCATTGTCTGAATGGAGCAGCGTCAATGGTGATGACGGCTCCCTTGACAAGAGTCTTGGTACGGACCATTTCGTTGCTGGTAGCGTTGTAAACGGTATCAACAAGACGGGTCTTGCGGGTGATTTCTTCAATTTCACAGATCATAAAAAACAAAAAAAAACTAAATCTTACTCTCGGAAGTCCAGGAGAAGTTTCCATTATCGAGTCTGAGAGCTCTGAACTTTACGTTTCCTCCGCGGACACGAACAAGATGGACGCGGTTAGCTCCAATCTGCAATCTTACAACTAACAAAGAAAAATGAATTTTGAAATATCAACCTTGGTGTTAGAGGCAGGACGTCCAAGCTCGAACTTTCTCTTCTTGTGAGGGACTGGACGGACTCCTCCAGTCTTGAAACGTTTGTGCCAAGAGTCACGTGAAATACCCATCTAAATAAAGAAAATTCAGAAATTAAAAAATTCAATACTATTGTTTTTCACGGAAGCAAAAAAGTTTAACATAAGAAATTGGAATCGAGTAAGCTCTACTATATTTCAGATCTATTTACGTAAAAAACAAACACGAAATTCACAACATTTTGAATCTAAAATATAAAATACGGAAACAGAATGGTAGGCCAAGAGAAAAATTCCGAAACCCCATGTTGGTTGCGATTACGGTAGACTCGCGTAGCGCTGCAGGACCTTTAAACGAAAAGTGTAATTTAACATGTTAATATGAAAACTGGACATCAAAATGCGGTACATCAGTAAAATAAAGTAATAATTTATATTTAAAATACGGAAAAACAATTAGAGCCATTTTTGCTAAGTTGATTGAAGCATATGCTTTTTCCAAGAAAGGTTGGAGAAAAAAAAGAATTTTGAGTTTTTAATCCAACGAAAATGCTAGTTGACATGTTCACGCGGGAAAGTTCAATGCGCGAAAATTGAGTTTCCCGTAGAGGAAATATGTAATTAACCGAAACATTGAAGCTGTTAATTATGTTTTTTGCAATTGAAACTCTTTTCTATATTTGTATTCTTTAGTTTCAATGGAAAGCCAAAACAATTTTGGTTTAGTTGACAGAGCCGACGAGGTTAGGAATAAGGAAGCTATTCAGGAGTATCTGAACTTTCTTGATGACTCGGTAAGACTGTTAACTTTGAAACTTGAAACATTTTTTTTTCAGGCGGATCAGAAAGTTTATGTTCAGAAGGCTGAAGAACTCATCCAAGATGAAGAAGTTAGGCTCATCGTGAATATGGACGATTTGTATAGAAAACTTCCTGAGCGAGCCCGAGGGTATTAGATGATTCTTCAAATGTTTTTTGGAACACGTTTATTTTAGATTGTTAAAAAACTTCGTTGAAGAAATATTATGTTTGGAGCAAGCTGCTCGCGAAATGATCTCGAGGGCTAATCCGGATTACACCAAGAAACAGTGAAGAAAAACACCGCACCATAGTTACATGAATATGATTATAGTGATATTCATGTTGGTTTTGAGGGAGGGTTCGGTGATCGACACGTCAATCCACGCTCATTGAAGTCTAACTTTTTGGGAAACATGGTTTGCTGCGAAGGAATAGTTACCAAATGTAGGATTGTTCTACTTTTTGGATAGTATATTCTTCTTCAGGCTCATCGGTTCGTCCAAAAGTAGTTAGAAGTGTACATTATTGCCCAGCTACTAACAAAACATTAGAAAGAAAGTATAATGATTTGACTTCTTACGAAGGCTTACTTACAAGTAACGTGTATCCCACAGAGGTTCTATATCTTCTATGATGATTTGTTTATTTTTTTCTCTAGGATGAAAACAAAAACCCCTTAGAAACTGAATTTGGATTGAGCACTTACAAAGATCATCAAACTTACACCATTCAAGTCTCTATTTTTTATGTTGTGTTTCATGATCTTTTCTCTCCAGGAGTTACCTGAATGTGCTCCTGCAGGACAGCTACCTCGCTCAGTTGATATCATTGCTGACGATGACTTGGCTGATCGAGTGAAACCTGGCGATCGCGTCAGGGTAATCGGATTGTATAGAGTCCTACCTAATAAACAGAATGGATACTCCAATGGATCTTTCCGGTACGCTATGGAATTATTCTTATTTTCAACGAATCGTATTCAGATCAATCCTCATTGCGAACAATATTCAGCTCTTATCTAAAGATGTTAATCCAGACTTCGATCCTGAAGATATTAAAAATATCAGAAAGTTGAGCAAGAAAAGAGATGTACGATCTTTCTTTGATTTTTCTAGTGTTTCTTTAATTCTCATCTCTTAGGTCTTTGAACTTCTTGCCCGTTCTCTAGCACCATCTATTTGTGGCCACGAAGAAGTTAAGAAAGCTATTCTCTGTTTATTGCTCGGAGGTCATGAAAAAATTCTTGATAACGGTTCCCGTCTGAGAGGAGATGTGAACGTTTTACTCATTGGTGATCCCTCTGTTGCCAAGTCTCAACTCTTACGGTAACAACTTCGTTATTCATTTGAATATATTATTTTTTCCTCCAGTTACGTTTTACATTCTGCTCCTCGCGCTATTGCCACCACTGGTCGCGGTTCTTCAGGAGTTGGTTTAACAGCTGCGGTTACCACTGATGCGGAGTCTGGAGACAGACGTTTAGAAGCTGGTGCTATGGTACTAGCTGATCGCGGGATAGTTTGCATTGATGAATTTGATAAGGTATGTTTATGCTTATTTCACACGACAGGGAATTGAACCGAAAAACAGCACTCTCAGAGCTGCATATCAGCGTGGAGTTTACACGACTGAAATTATGTTTTTCGAATAGGATTTCAACATCTCAGATAACTATTAGATTCAATTATGATTCTTCTAGACGATAAATTTGTTACATTATAGATGTCTGATATTGACCGAACGGCTATTCATGAAGTCATGGAGCAAGGGAGAGTGACAATTGCCAAGGCAGGTATTCAAGCTAAGTTGAACGCTCGTTGTTCTGTCTTAGCAGCTGCCAATCCTGTATATGGACGGTATGACTAAGAAAGTAGATGAACGCTCAATCTTTTTCTCTAGGTATGATCCCTTCAAAACTCCAATGGAAAACATCAATATGCAAGACTCTCTCTTGTCGCGTTTCGATTTGATTTTTGTTCTACTTGATGAGGTTAGAGCTAATACTGTTTGAGTATAACTATTCCGATTGAAGCATGACGCGGATCGGGACAAAACTGTAGCTGACCATGTCTTGAGATTGCATAGTTACCGTACACCTGGTGAAGCTGATGGTACTGTACTACCCATGGGAGCTGGTGTAGATACCATGTCTACGCTCGATTTGGATGGTAATCATAAGGCTAGTGAAATGTACGAGAAGAATACTGATTGGACGAGTTACAAGTAAGAAGTATTAAAACATATTAATATTATCGTTCTTTTCAGGGATAAAGTTCTCTCCATGAACTTCGTGAAGAAGTATATTCATCTAGCCCGGACAATAAAGCCAAAAATAACGGAGGAAGCTATGAATTTCATTGGCGAAGTTTATTCTGAGCTGAGATCGTTCGATATTACAAAAACTGACAGAGAACGAGTAACCATAGTTTTTTACTTCTTCTTAATTTCCTGATTTTTAAGACCATGCCAGTTACTGCTCGTCAGTTAGAAACTCTTATTCGTTTGTCGACATCGATTGCGAAGGCACGCTTCTCGAAGAACGTTGACAAAACTGATGCTGAGATGGCTTATCAACTGCTTCATTATGCTTGTTTCAAGGAGAAACCAAAAGCAAGAGTCGAATATGAGAATGCAAGGAAAACTAAATCTTCTCGACATGACGAAGATGACGAGGATGAGGAAATGGACGATGATAGCCAGGTTGTTTAGTGGTTTCGATTGTTATTGTAACTATGATATAGGACACAGCAACTCAGTCTCAGGCCGAATCAGAATCTTCCCGATCAACACAGCCAAGAACTCCTGGTCGAGGAACCCGTAGAAGAGCTGAGGCTCAAATTGAAGAGGAAATGGAAGTGGAATCTGAGACGCAACCCACAGCTAAAAGAGCTAAGACGGAGCCTGCCAGTATTAGTGTAGATAGGTAAATTATCGTCCGAGTATAGGTTTTCAGTTGAATTTACAGGTATAAACAGTTCCAGAAGTTTGTTAGAAAGGCCTTTGACGAAATCGGGGTGACCGATGATATGATTGATCTGGAGGATGTGACATCTAGTATGGAATATTTATCTCTTTTTTCAATTCTGTTTTTTTGCAGAAGTTCAAGAACAAGCCGGAAGATTGAAGTTTTCTGAAGGCGAGCTCAAAGCAGCTTATGAACAGATGTCCGCGGACAATGCCATTATGATAGCTGATGACAAAATAACCTTGATTTAAATATCGAAACTAACTTATTCCCCCCTGTAGCATTCGATCTCATTTTAGCCCGATTTTATATTTGTATGTTATACAGGCATTCGGTTGTTTCAATGAATTCTTATCAAAAAATTTGTGTTGGAATTTATTGTGACCACATTGTTTCACTAAACTGATTGGTAGGAATATTCTGAAACTGATTTCCAATAATTTTGTACTGTAAGATAGATAGGTAACAATGGCATTTATTTGCGGATATTATATATTGATGGGAGAACAACGAGATGCAATGTAACCAGAACTATACAGCATGACAGGGGATCGCAAAGAAACAACGATTTAACGAACACGTTTTTAAATGATCATTCATTTTCAATAAATACGAGGACTCTGATGTCGGAGTAACGAGAAACCTTTTAATAAACAAAAATAACAAAATAGGGAAAGTGATAAACTAATTTTCAGCATCCGGATCATATGTTGGAGATGTTGGGCTGTACGTAGGAGATGAAGGCGAATACTGAAAAAAACAAATGACGTTAACTTTTTTTTAACAGCGCTACCTGAGGAGAACTTGGTGTGTAAGTCGGAGATGAAGGACTGTACTGAGGAGATGATGGTGAGTACTAAATTGTGAATTATTGCGCTGAAATCTGATAAGTAAAGTACCGCTGGTGATGTCGGGTTTCGGCTTGGACCAGTTGGAGTATAAGTCGGCGAACTCGGAGAGTACTAAATATTCGAGATAGATCATGCAAGAAGAGAGTTTTACCTGAGGACTCGATGGCGTGTAAACCGGAGACGTTGGGCTGTATTGGGGAGATGAAGGAGAATAAGCTGGGGAAGCCTCTCCTCTTGGAGAAGTAGGACTGTACTGTGGGGAAGATGGTGAGTACTGAAACTGATAGTTACTAATCTTCAAATTTTCTAGAACTGTGAACCTGTGGACTACTCGGACTGTAACGAGGAGAAGTAGGACTGTAAGTCGGACTTGTTGGAGAATAAGTAGGTGAAGTTGGAGAGTATCTCGGACTTGACGGACTATATCCACCTCCATAGCTTGGACTTGTTGGGCTGTATGTTGGAGATGTTGGAGAGTATGTTGGTGATGTAGGAGAATATCTAAAAGGAGATTGTACTTCGTGATTATTACATCAACATACGTTGGACTAGTAGGACTATATGTTGGAGATGTAGGAGAATATCTAGGACTGCTCGGAGAGTAACCGGGAGATGATGGAGAATACGACGGAGATGTAGGAGAGTAGCCTAAAAACAAAAAGATGAAATTCTCCATACACTGGGTGGGTCTTACTCGGACTTGTGGGGCTGTAACTAGGCGATGTCGGAGAATAAGAAGGAGAAGTTGGCGAGTAAGATGGAGAAGTGGGAGAATAACTAGGGCTTGTAGGGCTATAACTTGGAGAAGTTGGAGAGTACGATGGAGATGTTGGTGAATAAGCAGGAGAAGTTGGAGAGTATCCAGGACTTGCAGCTCCAAACGCATTGGGACTTGTTGGGGAGTATCCTGGTGACATTCCACCATATCGTCCACCCATTCCGGGTGACATGCCAGGAGATGCGGGGGACCATCCCCCTTCTCCATAGCCAGGAGACATTCCGCTTTCTGATTGACCAGATGGGGAGAACGCAGCACCGTTTGGTGTCATTCCACCACCAACAGGAGACCAAGCAGCCCCTCCAGGGTAACTTGGTGTTATACCAGAATTCCAAGGAGTATGAGCAGGAGACATAGAGGAACTGAAGCAAAATAATTTAATTGAATAATAATGAACGATACTACCTGGCAGGACTCTGGCCAGCAAACAAGCCTCCGACACCACCGTAACCACCTCGCATGTTTGTTGGAATCTCCATTCCAAATTTACACTTCTCCGCATCTAATACAAGATCGAAGCACCCAGTTCCAGCCTTAGCGAGCTGACCGAGCATAATATTTTCAGAGACACCTGAAAAAGAGGAATTAAAGAACGAAGAAAAAGTTTTTAACCTTTCACGGGATCCACTTCAGCATGTACAGAAGCTTCCATCAAAATATCAACAGTTTCTTCGAATGAGCATCTCATGAGTGCTCCTACTTCCTGTCTGTTGATTCCATGTCTAGTAATAGCCATGAGATGACCTAAATTGAAAAATTAACTGTAAATCGAAAGCAATTTCTACCTTTAGCAGTCATGACATCACAGAGAAGAGCCAAGTGACGATAATTAACATAAGAACCGTCAAAGGAAATGACATTATTCATTTCTCTTTCGATAGCTTTTCGCACAGCCTCAATTCCGAGTACTTCGAAGATTTCACAGATGTCATTAGATGAAGTTCTTACTGCATCGACATGCTGCTCCGATAAGACCTGGGAAGTACGAAATTCGCATAGTTCTGAGCTGTTTGAATACCTTCAACAGAGCAGTTCCATCAGTTTCCAGCAACCACTCCCGAATAGCTTTGAAAGATCCCTCTTGAGTAATGATCATTCTCTTTTTGTCATCAGTTTTTGGTTTATGCATGTAAACTTTCGAAATTGAAGTGATACCCTGAAAACAGAATTCTTTAAATATATAAAAATAAAACCAACCTGTAGTGTGAGATCAGATAGCATGTTGGACTCAATACAACGTAGGAAGACATCGTCCTCCATCTTATCAATCTGTTCTTCCTCAGCTCCTTTATCATCTTGATTAGTGAGTCGGATTCGGAACACGAGTTTTTCAGCGTTATCATCAGTGTAGATTACGTTCAGATCATCACCAAATCCTTGGTGTATCTTGTCAGCTATTTGCTCCATAGTCAATTTTTTGTCTGTCATTCTAAATCGTAACATTCAGACCGCTTCTTTTTTTTAAATAAAGAGCCTACCGTTTTCTGTCCAGTTCAAGACGCAAAAGCCAAGGAGAAGCTTGAGAAGGATCGAAGTCGGGCATTTCGTAGAAAATAGATACCCACTCCTCATCTTCTTCGATACAAGTGTTTTTGACATCAGGATCATAATAGATAGCTGTATTTGCCGTAACCTTACGGAGAGTGGTGTGCTCAAGCTTGCAAAGAACATCTTTAGCTTTCTCGGCTTCTCTTGAATAGGATATTGACAATGACATACTTTTGTCTGAACCTACTTAGCCACGTTTCCTTGGAGAAAAACAGTGAGTGAGGGTGTTTTTAACTGCTTGGAAACATTAATAATTTCTTTAAGACGGGGTACTCCAAGAGTTACGTTCTGAAAGTTACAAATTAGTGTTGATGAAGAAGTCAGTGTATATAAAAACCTTAGCTGACACTCCGGCGTAATGGAAAGTGTTCAATGTCATCTGAGTGGCAGGTTCTCCTAGGGATTGAGCAGCGAGAGCACCAACCATTTCTCCAGGCTGCGCAATAGCCTGCTTAAATCTTGTTTCAACCTCTCCTGAACACATATATAACTCTTCCAACCTCTCGGAGTCAAAAAATTTACCTAATAGCCATTCGAAAGCTTCAGAATTCAATTTATAAGTAGAAGCCATTTTTTTTGAACAAAGCGTCGATCGGATGAGAATGTTCATCAGCAAAGTGGCATTATATTGAGCTTGTTTAGAAATCCTGTCTTCGCCAGACACAATAATAAGTTTCGATGATAGTTCGCGTACTCCTTCAATAACGCGTATGGGATTCAGGTCAGTAGGTTTTCTAAGAAAGAACGATTACGAAAAAATTCAGAACTGTACAGATACCTGGTTTCAACATGGAAAATCTTCTGAGCATTCCAGATGAGACGTTGTAAATTGCATGGCAAAACAATCTTGGCATCTCCCGAAGGGAAAATCTTACGTAGAAGTCGACGATCTTCTTCCAATTGTCCCCATTCGGATTCTGCTTCTTTGAGAGCATCAGAAGATCCTTGGAGTTCTCGTACAACATCTTCCGTGTAAAAATTGCGGAGAACTCGATCATCCGACAACTCAAGTTTGAATTCTTTCTCGAATAGAGCATTGGTTGGCTTCATAGTGGGCATGTTTTGATTTTCTACCCACATGCCGTCCAAGCCGTCTTCTCCATACCTCAGCTGAATCATCTGACCCAATGAGTTACGAACCTGAACACACAATAACAAAAGCCCAACACATCGAAACACACCGTTCCATCATAATTGACCATAACACTCTCCATAGCTTTGATGAGACGACGTTGAATATATCCTGTTTCGGCTGTTTTTACAGCAGTATCGATTAAACCTTCACGTCCTCCCATAGCGTGGAAAAAGAATTCAGCAGGAGTGAGTCCAGCAAGATACGAATTTTCGACAAAACTAAATTTATCTAATAGATAATACTATACGCCTCAACTTACCCTTTCGATTCAGGTCCATAATCGTCTTTGATGAAATGTGGAAGGGTTCTATGGCGGAAGCCAAATGGAATACGCTTTCCTTCTACGTTCTGCTGTCCTACGCAAGCAATAACCTGAAGAAGTTAATACAAACAGAAAAACGACTTGAACGAACTTGAGATATGTTAATTTTAGATCCTTTCGATCCAGAAACGACCATGGATTTGAAATTATTGAACTCTAAAAATAGAAATTGAAAGAGAATCTTCGTTTTTCTCAAACCAGATAGAGATTTTTGAGCTGAACTACCAGTACGATCACGAGCATCGTTCAGGATTCGATTAACTTTATTTTCGAAAGTTTGACGCAATGTGTTACCAGGTGTAGGCTCAAGTTCATAGTTGTGAGCTCTAAATTTTTGTAAAAAAGCAGTGTTCGCCTATCACTTACTTTTCAATAACGTCAACTACATCTCTTTTTGCTTTTTGGATGGTATCCTGGATGTCTTTATAAGTGGCTTGATCGGCAATAGTGTCTCCTATTCCAATAGTGTGACCTTCTGCTAGTAGCCAAGCGTTGATAGTCGTTTGAATATGCGAATAAAACTTTGCAGCAACCTGAAAAATTGTATATTTTTAACAATTAGAAATCCACATCATTACCTCATGACCTAACTCCAACGCAACAACGTGCAACAAATTACCGGCTGAACGACCAATTGTTCTTGAGCATACGATTCCGGAAATTAGTTCACCGTGTTCTACTAATACCTTGAGAACATAGTATCATAAGCACCTGATCCTTTCACTGTTTTACTGACCTTTGTGTCACCAGGAGATATCCATTTATAAGGCCCACTATCTTCATCGTCCGGATGAGTACTGTGGGTTCGTAGTACATTGACATTTCCCGGAATGATCAATGAGAATACTTGCTTTCCTGTCCACAACGGCTTTGGCTTCAGAATTGCCGGCTGAGGAATCTTACCATCCCATGGAGGAAGGTACATTAGCAAATCCATCATTCTAGGCTGAAAATCAGGGATTTGTTATAGGTTTATGAAGCCAACAAACCAATTCTATGAATACATCTCTTTTTGTCATCATACGAACAGCACATAACGTATCCTGTACAATACCCATGACAGGCTTATTAGCTTGCGGAGTAATCAACTGTCTGAACAATTTTGGCTCGAAAAGTAACCAAGAGATCACTAACCTTGGTACCATTGCGATTTCCTCAATTTCGGCTCTCGTTTCTAAGGATTGTGGTAAATGAAGATTCATTTCATCACCATCGAAGTCAGCGTTGTAAGGAGTAGTTACGGATAGATTCATACGGAACGTAGACCAGGGCAAAATCTTAAAAAAAAGTGTAACAACACACAAACTCAAAAAGCCTTACTTTCACTCTGTGACCCATCATGGACATTTTGTGGAGAGTTGGCTGACGATTGAAAACAATAATATCACCATCTCTCATGTGTCTTTCGACTCTGAAATAAAAAAGTCTAATGAAACGTCACATGAACGAACCTATATCCTGGTTGTAAATGCAAATCTGCGGCTCTGGGGTGATATCGCAAATCAACTCTTGCTCCATTTTCACGAATGATATATTTAGCTCCAGGATACTGAGTGTCTCCTCTGTTTACTAGCTCTTGAAGTCTTTAATGCCATAATTTTTAAAAAATAGAATAATCTTCTGACTAACTTGTCGATATTAAAAGGAGTTACTATCTCTGGGAATGTTAGATTTTGTGCGATGGTACGAGGAACTCCGACAGTATCAATAGGAAGATTTGGATCAGCAGTAATTACAGTACGAGCAGAGAAATCCACACGTTTACCTGAGGTAATTTAATGAAGAAAACTCATATGTGTACAACTTACCCATAAGATTTCCTCTGATACGGCCTTCCTTTCCTTTCAAACGTTGCTTGATAGATTTAAGAGGTCTGCCTCCCTTTTGAGTGGCCTAAAAGTTCGATTATTGAAGAATTCTAAACCTTGCAATCTAACCGTGGGTAAACCAGGAATACAATTATCAACTAAGGTCGCAACATGGTATTGGAGCAACTTCACATCATCAGCTATAACATGAGCTGCTGCTCCATTCGCTTCGTTTCTGAATAAAGATTAAGTAGTTAGCTAATGGTTTTAGTGAGCTCACTTCCTCAGTTGTATATTTGTTTTAATGATATCAGAAAGCTTATGTGTTAAATCGTCCTGGTTTCTAGCTGAACCAAATGTGACTACGGCAGGACGAACTGCTAGGGGAGGTACCGGTAAGACAGTACAGATCATCCAATCTGGACGAGCAAAGCGGGGATCCATGCCTAAAAATGTTTAGGTGTACAGGTCTATGTGAGATGCTATCTACCCAATATATAACAATCTTCGTCCGAAATTTCTTTGAATACTTCTAGAGCTCTTTCAGCAGTTAATACAATTTTCCTTTCCTTTAATAATAAGAAATTTAACCTATGAATGGGAGTTTGATCTCACCTGAGTATCCTCATTTACATTTTTTTTCCACTCGGCATTTATATCAATTCCTGCTTTTTTATAGGTAGGCTGATACCGACCACAACCACCTGCTTTAACAACTTTTTGTTCTTCATTTTCCTGAATCAAACAATTTTTTCCAAAAAACTTTGCGTTGTGTTTACTTCAGGGTTAGCATTTTCAATTTCATCTGCGCTCTCACAGACGCTTTTTGATTTACATATATCATATATTAAGGCTAATCTACGTCTTGGATTTCCTGCAAGGAGTGAATCATATTATGACAGTGTTAAACATTAACATACCCTGCGTTTTTTTCAATATGTCTTTTACTCTAGCATTTTCTTTATCCAATAATAATTTACTACAATAGAAACAAACACAGCGAAGTACCTGTAATTTTTAATATACTCAGAGATATGTTAACAACTTACTTTCAGAGTTTTCGCTAAATAACCAATATGGAAAACAGGTTTCGCTAACTCCATATGTGCAAAATGACCAGGACAGTCGGATAAGGAACCAGCACAAGTCATACATCTAAGCTCAAGGTAACTTATAAAAATAATCGTCACTTACCTTCCCCGACGTTCAATAACTCCTTGCCTGGGATCCATAAGACCGCCTACTTTAGGTTTTCCATTCTCATAAATTTCGGGAAACTCAACTTCTCCCACAGACATTCGTTTCTAAACATAATTTTGAATATCAAAATACGGAAAAATTGTTACAATTTCGTCTGGACTGAGAATACCAAATTGTACTCGCTTTACTTCCCGTAAAGGAGCACGAAAGTCAATACCCACCAACGCCATCTGAAGAAAAAAGTTGTATGAATGGAAAAGATTCTTATATCGGCAGACTGTTTCCACTCTTGAGAAGCAAGATGATTACGTCCAGGAAATAACGAACTTATGACTTGTTATTAATTTAAATTAATAAAAACAAAATGATAAAAAGAAGTGAATTAACCTTTTCGAACGATGATCAATTGATTTCAAAAGCTTTTTGAAGAATTCGCATGAAATAGCATTAAGCGAAACAAATCAAAAATTTGCAATGGAGCACGTTTGTTGCAGCGTCCGCGCAAAACATTCAAAATTATTATTTTCAACATTTTGACTTAATATTATAATATTAATTGTTAGTTCTCTCACTATTTAGAAGAGTTACCAATTTCAGGTAAGCACAAAACTATTTTCGAGATAATAATAAATATTTGAAGTTGTATAAGAGTTGGGTATCTTGACGCGATATAACCACCACCACGCCCTTTTCTCATGCATCTCCCATCCTTCAATGGATGCCGAAGCCTGACTGTATATGTTGGCCCACGACTTTCCACTGTTTTTTCAAGTTCTTATCATCAGCTTTCCCCTTTTTCGAATTGTTTACATGATGAGAATACAAATTGATCTCCTGCTCACTATCAATCTTCTGTTCGGAACGTTAATAGTTATGAGTTCGTTTGTCAACTTGAAAATTTAAATAATTCAACGTTCGATTTCAACAACCATCAAACACTTGTGTTCTTATAGGAATGAAACCCGGTTTGTATTTGCTTTTTGTTCTTTGTCCCTATAGAATGTATTGTCCAACATAAACTACGCTGAGATATACTTATTTTTTCTCGGATTTATCCTTATACGAAAAGAAGACATGGGGGTAACGTCCTTGTATTTCCCGGGCACTATGATAAACACGTCCAGACTTATGTCGTAGATTCTCGATTGCGGCGGCCTCTAATTTGGCCAATGATATCGTCGTCAACGTCGTCGCCTACGCAAGGGATTGTCATCGATTGTTCGTTCATAATCACTTGTCCGCCTGTGTCCTTTGTTTCTCGAAAGAGACTGGCGACTCCAAATTGATGCCACTCCTCTCTCTCTTTCTTATCATCGCACAAACATCTCTTGAATCACAGCAGTGGTGAGGAGATGAGGAGCCAAATTACTGCATTAACATTTGACATTTCTTTTTATGTATATAAATCTTTCTACTACTACTACTAGCAACAGTTGTTTATAAGAGAACGCGAGGATGTGTTTAAGTGTAAGCCTGCGTGTGTGTCCCTCTTAGCCGTAGCATTTATTGATTGATAGCGTCTTGAAGTGTTCCGATGTAAACTGATATTTGGCAACAAAGGAAGTTCATTTCATCATTCTTTTCTTCAAACCCCCGTTCTCCAAAGTTATCAGAGTAGAGTCTTAGTCTCTTTGTCACTCTAGCCTCTTTTTGCAATGTCCGCATTTTTTGTTCTGCCTGAGCTTTTCCCGGCCAGATTCGAGGACATCCCTGTTCTTTGGCGCACGCCCCCCCCCCTCCTTTTTTTTTCCTCACTTTCCTCTCTTGCAACAAACTCTGATGACTGCTATTTCTCATGTGTCTTCCTGTTCACAGCTTTTTGGCTTGCGTTTGACTCTTTTCCTCAATTTCCTCCTAATTGAATAGATCTAAGAGAGATATGCTCAGCGCCATCTCCAAACTCAAAAACTTCTTTCTCTTGTTGCCCAGTATGATTCGATACGACATCTTCTTAACATACATATGTATAGTTTTCGCTATATTTGTGTCATATCTTTCTACAAGTTTCTTCTAACTTCCCATGCAAATGTGGTTTTTTCATAGAATGCGCAGCGTTTCGTCATCCACACATGACGAAAGACCACCTCCACCACCATTACGATTCAGCAGTGGTAGCGGTGAAAGAGAGCAAGCTGTGAGTTTATTGATTATTATATTATCTTTTTTTATTTTTCGGAGTGAAAGTTAATGAATCATTTAAGGTGATGGGTTTGAAGCCGTTGCCAAAAGAGCCTTCAGAACAGAAAAAGAAAAAGAGCCTTTCTAATCCTTTTGTTAAGAGTATGTTTTTTCTGTTGGTCTCCCAATTTGCTTATTATATTTTTCAAGAGAACAAAGAGAAGAAAGATGAAAAGCCTACAATTTCTGAACCTTGTAACTTCGAGCACACGATTCATGTTGGTTATGATCCTGATACCGGAGAGTTTACGGTTTGTTGCACTATTTAACTGCTCTTTGAACTCTTTCTGAATCGTTCCAATTTTAGGGAATGCCCGTAGTATGGTCTAAATTACTTCTAGCTTCGAACATCACTGTGAAGGAACAAAGACAGAACCCGCAAGCTGTTCTGGATGCTCTGAAATATTTCACTCAGAAAGATACAAAATCGAAATGGCTACCTTATCCGCATATGAGTAAGTCTTACCATTATATTCACTCTTTCCTTTTTTCGATATATAGTCTCATAATAGCTTTTTTTCATCTATTTAGCGTTTATAGACGCTCCTAGTCCTTCAGCCGGTTCTTCTCCTAGGAATAGAAGTCCCGCTTATTCAAAACCTCCTTTCCTACAGCAACATAGCCCTTGCCCTGCTCATTATGGTATGTAATGTTCCTTTAAATTAGTTCATCTATGAATAAATAGTTGCAGGTTCTGCAACTTTTATGCCTGGCTTACCACCTCCTTCTCCGAAGCCTGGAAGTGCAATAAAGTCCTCCAAGTCAAGCAATGGGTATTCTAACACTGCTGAGAATCGAATAAGTATGCCACCGGTATGTTCAGTTCAGTTTTCTTCCCATCATACACTCATTCACTAAAGAACTATGCACCACCACCTGTTCCTGAAGAAGATCCCGCTGAAATAGGAACACCACCTCCGATACCAGATCGGCCTGCTCGTACCTTGAGTATCGTAAGTTTTGAATTTGATCTATACAACAAAAACTATATCTTAAGTATACGAAGCCAAAGGAGGAGGAAGAAAGAATTCCGGATTTATCACAAGGCACTTTTGGTGTGCAGTCACGAGGAAGAAAGTTAGGAATGAGCGATGAAGAGGTTTTTTCCTTGTTTTTCCTTTTTCTCATAATCTCCAAATTAGGTGTTGAAACGGTTGCGAAACATTGTGACTATAGGTGATCCTCAGAGAAGATATGACAAAATTAATAAAATCGGATCGGGGGCTTCCGGCTCTGTGTACACAGCTATAGAAATGAGCACGGGAGCGGAAGTTGCTATCAAGCAGATGAATCTTAAAGTAACGATAGATTTTTGGATGCAGTTTCAGTTGACCGCCTCTGTTTCAGGATCAACCCAAGAAAGAATTAATTATCAACGAAATTTTGGTGATGAGAGAAAACAAGCACGCCAATATTGTGAATTATTTGGACTCTTATCTCGTTGGAGAGGAGCTCTGGGTAAGAATATGGGCTACTAAACTGACTAAAAAATCTCTTTAGGTTGTTATGGAGTATTTGGCTGGAGGCTCGTTGACTGATGTTGTCACAGAATGTCAAATGGAAGAAGGGATGATCGCTGCTGTTTGTCGTGAAGTTCTCCAAGCTCTAGAGTTCCTTCATAGTCGCAATGTAATTCATCGAGACATTAAGTCGGATAATATTTTGTTGGGTATGGATGGCTCAGTCAAATTAAGTTAGTGAATTGTTTTAATTGGTTTTAATCAGTTGTTTCAGCGGATTTCGGCTTTTGTGCTCAAATTTCTCCTGAGCACAACAAGCGAACTACTTTAGTGGGCACTCCATATTGGGTATGGTTATATGACAGTATTATTAGTATTTTTCTATTCTAAAGATGGCGCCTGAAGTTGTTACCAGAACCCGCTATGGACCTAAAGTAGATGTTTGGTCTTTAGGCATTATGGCGATAGAGATGGTTGAAGGAGAACCTCCGTATTTGAACGAAATCCCCCTAAGGGTAACAATTTACTTTGTCTTCTGAAATTTTATGAATGCTTTCCAGGCTATCTACCTCATAGCTACAAATGGAAAGCCTGATTTTCCAAGTAGAGATAAATTGTCGCCTACGTTCCAGGTAAAGAGAGTTTTGAGAGTGGTTGCTTATCAAGTTTTTTTTCAGGATTTCATTGATTGTGCATTAGAAGTAACAGTTGATCAAAGATGGTCTTCTTCCCAACTATTAACTCACCCCTTTTTGCGATGTGCCAAACCACTGGCGTCTCTCTATTATCTGATCGTAGCGACTAAGAAAAGCATAGCAGCTAGCTCCTAGAAGTTCGTTATTCAAACGTTGTTGTAAAATGGAACAACTCTGCCAAAAAAGCTCACTCTAGTCTTTTCCATAATAGTTAAATTTGTCAGCAATACTAAAGTGCTTTGATATTATGACGAGTATAAGATTTTTATGCACATTGTGCTCATGAGGTGTCTAAATTTGAACGAAAATGTTCTATCATTAGATTTTATAGTGATATACAGCTGAATCTCATTTAGATAATTTATTGTTAAAGTTTTATATGATTGAAAGTTTTATTCGATTTACTGTCTGTATGGACACAATGCTGTTGGTATATTATATTTTTGCTAATAACTCACATCAGTTCACTTATTTTTTTCTGCTGCTAGTCATGGGTGATTGAGTTTGTTGTTTCATTAGCTTTCTGCGTCCATCCAGAAATCATGTGTTCAGAATGCTTTTGTTTTACTTCCATAAAGATGTTGAAAATAATAATATATTTATTGATTGCATTGCTTAAATTATTAATAAATATATAATTACACGTCTCGTTCAAAAGATATCACTATCTTCGTGAAGAATATGATTTAAACCAACTCGTAAAGGTGGATATAAATAATCACAATAAATTAGACTCTTGGTGGAACAAATAGACATTACCGTCCTGTTCATGCAAACACTGGGATCAACTCATCCGTTTGAATTAGATACTTATTAAGATCTTCAGTATCGTCGTTAGCTGTACTATTGCCAACTTCTAGGGCTGATGCTGAACCTGAAAAAGTAAAGTGTCACACTGTTTTTTACAATACAATTGAAGAGTGAAAGATCCATTACTTACCAATATCTATAAAGTACAACTCCTCATCAATTTGTTGAGGGGCTGCTAAAGGCTGGTCATCTTGGAACTTTGACGATTTAATTTTCTCACAAACCCCCTGGAAAGGGAAAGTTATGTCAACAAAACACGTAATCAACAAACCTTATCCTCGATGTTTCCAAAGTCCATCTTCAGATCAAATCCTGGTTTACATTGGCAAGTAATAGTTTTCTCACTACAATAAGCATTCAACACATCGCATCTGAAAAGAATTGTCAAACAAGTAGATGAATATTAGGTACCTCTTCTCTTCAACTAGAGTTTCGAGACAATAACCACCAATTGTTCCATTTGATCTCTCATCAACGGAATCCATAAAAATAACAGTCGTTGGATCATAGCACCTTAGAGAATTAATGTTTTGTGATCCACTCTCAGTTTAGTAGTTACCTTCCGGCAATATTAGCAAATCCTTCTGGGCATGTTGAAATACAGCGCCCGCCGTGTACAAGAGGTTTATCAATAGGGCAAACACAATAACCACTGTCGCAGGTGGAGTTTGGTTCTTTCGAAGAACATTGTGCATCATTCAAACATCCTTTCTGACCAGCGAACAGAACTGTAAGAATGTTAACGAGGCACTGGATTTGTTTCTCACCTTTCAAACATTTTCCGTCTATCATGTAAAAACCTGGTGGGCATTCAAGTTGAGATGAACCAACTTGTTGTACAGGGACATTTACATCTGGTTTTGGCATAGAGTTGCTCGATGCCAGCATAATAGAAGTTGAAGAACAACATTGGAAGCGATTTTCCTGTAATTAGAGATCAATTTCTGTTGGAGAAGGAAGTACATACAGCTTCAGCAAAAACACACGCAAATCCTTCAGGACAAGGTTGCTCAGAACACTCAGCGACAGATCTATCTGTTCTCACGAGAGGACGAGATCCGAGAGGGCAACCAGAAGCGAAAGAGAAATCTGGAGTGCTCACACCCATCCCGTTAAACTGAAAAACGGAATGCAACTGTTTTCTACAATCTGTCTTACTTGTGTAATAACTCCTGAAGTTTGACTGTTTGGATTATTTACTCTTAAATTGTCTCCAACATTGAGAGTGCTTGCTCTGTTGAAATCTGCAGCAGTTAGCGCATCACCGCCACTCTGTACACTGATAATGATTGGCTGCTGCCCATTTCCTGAGTTGAAAGCGTTTGTATTATGACCAACATTGTTTCCGAAGCGAGAGTCAATGTTCATACCAGGTGGTAGAATCTGCAACATTATACGATATATTTAAAATTCTTGCACGTTGAGTGTTACCTTGTCAGAGCTAACGCCAGGAATAGGATCTGGTACAGCTACATGGCCAACACCAAGTACTGCTGGGCCACCTGGGAATGTTTGGGTCATTCCATTTGGGCCGGGGAACGTTTGAGATGGCAGTTCTCCGCCAATCTCTGTGCTGTCGGGTCCTAACTTTTTCATAGGACGAGCTGCGACATTATCCGGGATGAACGTTCTAACAGCAGTGTCGATGGGAGCACAACAGAAAGAATCCTGGTAATTATAACAGTTAGACAATGAAATGTACGAGTAAGAGTACCTGCTTCTCAGCGGAATAGATACAAACATATGGAGCAGTAGTGGGACATGGGTTTAACTGCATATGACATGTTGGAGGATATCCATCTCTGGATACATGTGGAATTTGTCGTGGGGGACAGAACCCTTAGAAAAAAATAATAGATAGGTTGCTGGGTATAAGAACATACCTTTGAAACGATCATTCAAATCTCCTTGAGTACAACATATGTATTGTCCTGGGTGATCTGAATCAAGACAATGATAGCCAGAAGGACAGTTATTAAGAATTGGAGAACAATATTGTCTTTCATTAGTTCCTGAAATAGAAAATTTGATACAACTTCTATACTTCATCTCAAACCAGGGTTGACGTAAGCAATTCCTCGGGTACATTGAGGAACAGCTTTAATGTTAGCTCCACTTATGGAACAACACAAGTGATGCTGAGGGTTCATACTTGCTACGCAGCTATAACCCATCGGACATCTTGAAATACAAATGTTCATTTATTTCATTGTAACCTTGTGCTCACTTTGAACTTCCAGGGGGGCAAGCCAGGGGTCGACCACCATATTCGAATACTGATGAGCCTGAGGGGCAACGTATCGCTTCCATATCAGAACAGCAGACAGCTCTACCTGTGGAGGAAAACTCGCATCTGAGATACATAATTGTATTGGGATATCGTTTATTAGCTTACTTGTAACCATTAGGACATGTGTTATGAACAAAGTTGCATTCTTGTGCAGCGCCCCCATTCATGAAAGGTGGAGAGCCATTTTTGCAAACTTGTTTAGCATGATTCCCCTGAATAAATACTGAAGAGCTGGTTTATCAAATTGGACTTACTCCTTGTCCAGGACGAGCTGGTGGTTCATATTTCTTACAACAAATAGCTAACTTAGGTACAGTAGATGTCATGCATCTGGAGTCTCGTGGGCATCCCCCTAAATCCACTTGGCAGATTTGAACCTAGACATACAGCTTGTGGAACAGAATAATTGTGTTAATAACCTGTGTGCCTTCAAGAAAAACGGGAATAAAGCTTTTTTGAGCACATTTTGGAGGTGGAGTTCTACAGCAAGTTCCCTCTTCAAAACCTACATCCCGGAAGCAAATATGATTGTTTGGACATTCACCTGAAAATAAATGAGTAAAAAAAACTTGATAGAGCAAACCTATTCCATTCACGGTGCAAGTATGCCCATTGGATTGTAAAGTTGGTGGACATGTTGAAATACTTCTTATTAATGCAGCAAGAGTTTCAGGTTCCTTCCGAGTTTTTCCACCACGAGTAGGCGATGGAGGTCTTTGATTGGCGGAAGAAGAAGATGAACAGCACATGTGGAACCCACTTACGGTACTAAAAACTAAAATTATATTCAGAAGGTCTACAGATAAAACCTTGATTCTACGCATATATTGTCATCTGGACAATCATCTCCGTCAGGATTGCAAGCTACAACACTCTTTGATCCTGAATTAAGATATACACAAGGCAACTGAGTCGAAGTACTACCCGGTATCACATATGGAGTTCTGTTCTCGGGACATGATGTGACAGCTTGGCAGCATATTGGTTGGTTGGTCGTAGAACGAACACAAGAAGCAGATGAGGGACAAGTTCCCATGACATTCAAAGTACAGCTCTGAAGAAAGAATAATTAGATAATTATAAAGTTAGTTACAACCTTAGGCACTGTATTGCCTTTCTCATAGTAGACATTCATTCCTCTTGGACAAGTTCCCAAAATACTGCTAGTTTTAACACATAGATCAGTGCAGGATTTCAAGGAAGAGAATCGATTAGGAGTTCCGCCGCAACCTGTGACAGAATGGATATCAAACTTCTGAGGGAAATAGTACCGTTATAGTTAAAAGACTGGCACTTGCGAGAATTGCTGTCATAATACCATAATGACCTGGAAGTGGTTCCGGAGCAGACATTTCCACGAGAAACAACGGCGTTACATGCTGTTTCTATAAACACTGTGTTCATGACTATCTCCGAAAAGTATATTACTTGCTAATGGACAACAATAGTCCTCAGAATTGCACTCATATCCTGAAGGACATGGTACATCTTCAGAACATCTTTGAGGCTGTTGATTTGGATCGAACAAGGGCGAAACTCCACCACACACTTAAACATAAAATACTTAATAAATGCTTAGATGAAAAAATTAAACCGTTATCAACAGCATTCAGACAGTGGTTTTGACATTCTTTCATTGATCCAAAGTTGTTACCATTACCATTACAACCATAGTATTGGAAGGCTTGACACTTTCGAGTTGAGGGATTGAAATAAAACCGTTGTAGGGTGAGGGATCTTCCATAGCAAGGTGTTCCAGCTGATACCATTTCGTTGCAAGTCATCTCTGAGGTTGAGTTGTTGACTATCGCAAATTATTACTTGAGCTTACCTGCAGTTGGACAACAAATCGGATTACTACCGAAGAGAGGAGTTTCACAAAGATGTTGTCGAGGACATGTATTGGGCGATGATATATCGCAAGCTGCGTTAACAGCCCCGATTCTATAAGCTTGGCCATTTTTACATTGAGTATCCACACAAAATCCTTCGCATTCTTCTAAGCTGTTGAAGTTATTTGAATTTCCTCCGCATTGACTGTAATTATAGCTGAATGCTGCATATATTTCTTAATTTACCTGAATTTGAAAGAGCGACAAGCACCGGTAGAAATGTCAAAATAGTACTTATTAACCACTGATCGAGAAGATGCACAAGCGATTCCAGCATGCCGAGGAAGAGAACAAACTTTCTCTAAAAGATATGAAATTTACTTTTTTTTAATCAAAATTTCCCATTGGGAAATAGAGCCTCTTCATATACTTTTTCATAAAGTTGATTTTGGCGGTAGTTGTCAATAGAAAAAATCGATAATTTGGAAACATTTATAATTGCGACTGGGCTGATTAGCATTTACTAACCTCTGTTGGGACAACAGTATTGGCTTCCTGAGTTCGTGATACATTCAAAACCTTCACGACAAGGATTTGATTCGCTACATGTTGTTGGACCTCCTCCTAAAGGTATTCCAGCAGGGCAGACCGCTTAAAAAACAATAAGGTTAGACATTGTTTGCTAGACTAAACCTGCGGCTGGGCAACACTTTCCTTCACGGCAAGCATGACCTGATGGACAAGGCTTCGATGAAGAACATGATCCTGGAAGAGGAGATTCTCCATTTGGACATTCGTCTGTAATCAATTTTCAATATGTAATCATACGTTTAAAAGTTAGGAAGATAAGTAAAAAACTTACAATCATCTATGTCTTCAGGATTCGAACAGCAAATATGCTTATTGAGGGTTGAACTTTGTACACAAGAAAATCCTTTTTGACATGTGCTAAAAATAGGATTCTTTGAGTGACTTGTTTAAGCGTTCACCTTTTTTGGTTCGGAGAGCATTCAACATGAGAAGTAGATTTGGAGTTGAGAAGAGCAGCAGAATTGAAAGGACATCCCAAATCCCTTCCACAACATCTGAAATTAGGAAAGTGTAAACATTTTTTTTTAGTTATACCTTGTGGTCGTGCCCCCAATTAAAGTACATCCAAAACCAAGAGGACAAGACGACTCATCTGATAAAACACAAGGCTTGGGCTTTCCAGTTTCAGGCTATAAAATATGAAGTAAATGAACATTTGTTATATTTCAGAGAGCTGGTTTGCTTCAAGGTGTTTGACAATTTTTTGAGTGATCCAAAAAAGGTCAAACAATTATTTTCTGCAATTTCTGTATGAATTGAATGTTTGTGTTCCGTTGTGCATTGGACATGTGAATGGTCAACAGTGAAGAAAAAAGCAAACAAAGAGTTAAAGAAGAGCGGATTGGGTGGAAGAAGATGGAGGTAAGGATTTGAGGTGAGAGACATATTTCCAGAGAAAAACTAGAATGATCAAATTTCCTTAACGGATGATTGAGGCAAACAATAAAAACGTTGCTCCTTGATTGTGAACTAAATCAGGATGACTGTTATGCTCAATGACGATTAAGACGTTTGTTCTTGAGGGCTAGCTCATGATTTTTGTATAGAAAAAAAAGGAGAAAAAGTTCAAGAGCTTTTTCTTTTTTATACTCACTTCTATGTATGTCACTTGCTCCCTACCGCACATGGTTTGGGATGATGAGCCTGATGGAAGGATAGGAGAACCTTGACAACAATATGAGGTTCCTGTTCGTTCATACATTCGGCAGACGTATCCTATGATAAAAAAATTAATTTGTTTGGGCCTGATTTTCAACTTTCAAAATTAAAATAAGTTTTAACTTACCATCGGGACAACTACTGATGCTGGGATTACAGGCTACGGGAGCTGATAGAATTGTTAAAGGTATTCCGCTTCCGCAAAGGTCATCTGGTTAAGTTATATATTTTGTTTTAATGCTATACTTTCAAACCTGGAGCCTGGTAGAACGGTTTAGATAATGGATCTTCTTCATTATTGTCAGGAGAATCGGACTGATGTAATGCTATACACTGTCCTGATTCTGCGTCGAACACTTTCCCAGAAACACACTTTCGTTTTGTGAAATGCCTGGAGGTAACAATTCTGGATGATCACTAGGCTTTCTTATGCTTACCCCTCCAAATTACAATACAAGTAAGATTCTGGATTGGACGGGTCCGGCTTTTTAGTATTCGATGTAGGATCACATTCTAGCTCAGCGAATGATGCATAAAATAAAAATATCTGAAGAGCAAAATGTATATCATAATTGAGTTGAGAGACTGTACCTGTGACAGAACAAGCGGTAAGAACCGCATCGTCTTTCGTTAATCTGTAAATGAGCAAAGTTTTAGAAAACGGCTAGGAAAAAAGAATGAAAATATTTAAGGAAGGAGGTCGCGTGTTAATAGGACCTTCTCTTAGTGAAGCTAACGAACAACTGTCTATCATTAGGAGGCGGAGGCTCCTGATGACTAAGAATGTCAAGAAGAAAACCAGATGGAGCTCATGCTCTGACAGAAGAGGAGAGACAAATGTGCCCTCAGGGGGGTCACAGTTTTTCATCAAATGAAGATGATGACCATAGGACACCTAATGCTACTCCAGCTGCTTCTCCGCCCTTTTGTAAACAAACAGTCTTCAGGGGTTCCCTCTCTACTATCTTTCTCTCTGATTTTTCTCTCATTTCAGTCTCCGCATGGCTTCGTGTAACAGTTCTATGTATGATCGTTTGACTGAGCGATGAGCAAAGAAGAAAGAAATATTAAAAAGAAAGAAGAGACGAGAATAGCGTGTGTTGTGCCTTAATTCCAATTGTCTTTAGTTTTAGCTGCCTTATTGTCTACCCGACTCTCGGGTGCTCTTTGTTTTGTTGGGATTTATGACACTTCAAAATACAATTTTAGTTTTCCTCTTAGTACACAGTATATGCGGAAAGTCATCACGTTTTTTCCCTATTATTGGGAAATATGGTAGCTCCTGTAAGGTTATGTTCAAAGGTTGCGAATCTATCGCGTAGATTTGATAGAATGAAGAAAAAAGATTTCAGTCATTGTTCATGAAACGAAAACAGAGTGTCACCGATTGTCAACGTGATTGAGAGAAATTGAGGTGATACTGTTGTTTCATATGGTTTTTAAAACGCTCTCTTCTTTTTCAGATTTTGAGTCGTGTGAAGGATATTCACCCAAGTTTTCGAGTTCTGTAAAAGACTACTGTGACGTTCGTTTTTTTTTAGCATTCAAGTTCTAAGCTTCTCGCTATTGTCGACTAATTTGAAGCTCCTCATGTCAAGTACCAGAGTGCAGGTGAGAACCTTTACCGGCTTGTTTTCTTCGATTTGAAAGGAAACTTCGTGTCGGAAGTTTTTAACATTGAAAAAAATTAATTTTTCAAATTCTCCAGCTTCTGAAATAATTGAAGATGAAAATAAACAAAAGCATGATTCAGGCAAAATCAAAGTTGAGTCACTTTTATTTACTTGAACGGTCATTTCCGGAGGGAACATGACGAATCTTCAGACCGGATCCGGTCAAAGTATGTTTTTCTCTTATTTCTATTTGTATCTTTCCTTTTCCAATTTCGAAGTGATGAGATTTCTTTCGAAATTAGACAATATTTGTTTTTCAGATTGGTCATCTAATCTTTTTTCATTTCTTCATGAGGAACTGCCGTTGATCAAGTGAACTTTCAAACCCAGTCTTTATATTGAAACATGAAAGGAAAGCGAAACTTTAAACTATTTTCCACTAGTTTAATAATCCTGACGAACATGACCATTGTTCGATCGTGAAATATCATAGTTTGATTGACTTCTATCGTAAAATTGTTCTAAAAAAAATAGGTGAGTGAGGTTAAAAGTGCAAATGACCTCGTCCTCCACTTCTAGCTCGGCGTCTTTCGAAATACTCTTTCTTAGCTTCTTTTGCGGCAGCATTAAACGATTTCCCGATTCCTAATTGACGAAGGCCTTAATGATATGTTTAGACTTTCAAGAAATTGTTTTTTCACCTTGGATATGTCCACTATATCCTGCAGCAGGTATGTCATTTTCTTCTTCTTTTTGTACCTATACGAATTATTTGTAGACGACTTTTTTCAAGCGGAAAATCGTTCCGAGCTTGTCTGGTGCTTACTTGTTGCCATTGTCTTTGTGTGGATTCTGCACTGGGCAAATTGTAAGAGTATTGACCTCCCAAAACAGTTTGACCACGATTGACCAGTTCTCTTCTCTCCTAGATAAAGGATACAAGTAATTCAGCAGTTGTTGTTCTTATACCTTATTTCTTAGAACTTCTCCTTTGCTCCACCAACCTCCTTCAATACCCTCGAATGGATCTTTCTCAATTCTTCCTATAAAATTTACATAGGTTTAGCAGAGCAAGGTTGAAAACTTGGTCTTTGAAACCAAGCAGGCTAGGAGATTGTCATGGCAACAAGACATATTTTACTTTACTTTCAGAGACTTAAAAGAGTTCGATCACTCACTTCTAGGAATGCTTCGACTTCTTTGTTGCACTTCGGCTGTTTTATTATTTTGTTCATGCCTTCTTACGTCATTAAACTGGAGAGATTAATCGAATGAAGATTTAGAATAGGCTGGATACCTGTCCATTGGAGCTATGTGACTGTGCTAAGTATGGCTGTGATCCAGGATTCTCATTATATCGGACCATGTTTGGGGTAGAGACAGGCGTACTACTTGGCATTGAAAAGGAGTTAGAGGTTTCAGTTGGATACAAGCGCGCATTTTCCGAGTTTCCAGGTTGCATGTGAGGCGGATAGCGGACCGGAATACCCTGCGCTGTATAACCTACTGACATTTGAGAACTTCCTGGCCTCAAAATGCTAACAGGGGAGCCTTGTTGGCGTCCCCCCATTTCTGAATTGATTCCTGTGAGACAAAATTCATGAAACTTTCAAATTTCGGATATTTACCATGGTTTGAATCCACAATGACATTATCCTGGAAAGTAATATGCGATTTGTCAGGAATGTGTTGCTGCTGGAATAAAAATATACGTTTTTAGAAGAATTGCGAACAAAGCAGCGGTTAGTTACTCATAGCAACAAACGACGCTCGTTGTTTTATAACATGAAATCGAAAAAAAACCTGTAAGGTATAATTGATGGTTGAAACTTCATCACCAAGTTGAGGACTGAATCCGTAATTCGTCTGAAGGAAGGAGTAGATTTAAAAATTCAATAGGTTATTGGAAAAAGAACTCACTCTTGGTAGGCGCGTTGTGTGCGGAGAAACTGAAACTACCGGATCTACGCTGCTGTTCTGCTAAAATAGATAAAATAATATAAAATATATATGGTACTTGTTTTTACATTGATGTTCTCAGGAGGCACATAACGAGAACCAACTTGCCATTTAGCTCCCGGCAGATGTCCAGTGAAACCTAGTGTAAGAACTGTTAGTGTATATATTTTGTATGCTTTTTTTTACCTGATATAGGTTGGTTATTATAACCAGCTGGCATTCACTAATTTGTTTGTAGATGGGAGTGAGGAAGATACTTGACGATGAACAAGTAACGTTAGTTGTGGAAGAACTTCTCTAGCTATTGAACATTTGGCCTTGGCAACGAAAAGGAGGGGCGATGCAAGCACCGGAAGAGAGCAAACCCTTTCTTTCTTTGGATTCGTCATGACTCAAATTTTCATAATTTCCCATCTGTGATTAGGCAACCACATCATATCAAAACCATCGCATTTACAGAACTAGATAAGTAACTCAGGGATCTGAAGAGTTCGAACAAATACGAATATTTAGAAACTTCAACTATCTCTTATTCGATGTTAAAGACATTTTTTTCTCGCAGAAAAGTTCGGATCTTTAGCTACTTACATCTAGATATCACAGATTATAGCTAGTTTTAGCATATACGGTTGTTATCAATTTCTTTTATTCATTTCCAATCATTTAACTCTTTTTTGCAGTTTATTGGAGCCAATATCTGATCTTAAAACTGTAAGACTGAATGAAAAACTATATTATTTCATACTGTAACAACTTTGTAAGAAAACTACGGCCATATTGAGTGATATGCACAGATTTTAAATCTGTATCTATGCATGTTAGATAGATGTTTCTTGGTTTCTTTTATTCTATTCACTATTAACGTTTGAATACTTGATTTAAAAACTTTGTGTATTTCTCTAATTCAAAATTGCCGCAAACCTAGCATTGATCCATTTTCCAAGCTGTAAAACCAAAGTGGAAAGAAATGCACGGGTGGTACGGACGCGTACTATGTACGGTGCGACCGTGACAAGGTCATCGTGCAATGAGTGCATCGGACTTAAACGGAATACGTTGCACGATTGTCTTAGTTCGTCCACTTTCCAGATGTTTTTTGCAAGGCAGTGTGAGAGTGAAGGGTAATATGGGGTTAGCGCGGAATAGGAATGCAGGGTTTTGGATAATAGCCTGTATGTCGAGGCAGAACTAGGTAAATTGTTCTAAACGACTAGGATGTCTGAT